ATATCTGAAAAAAGGATATTGTTATGAACACGTTGATACCATGATCACTCTAGATTGAAAAATGAAAATTTCAGAATGATAAATGTCAATAAGTGGCAAATGGGATGTCATTGTACTCACAATGTTATTTCGAAATCAGTAAAAATATACTGGGTGTCCCATTTAAAATAAGAAAATATGGGTCATTTCCGGTAAAACTGGAAGTGACAGAGAACAATTGAATAAATCAAATAATGCAAATTTATGAAGAACTACACTCTCATTCCGAATGCCATTTGTTTGTTTATAAAGTTATAGGGGTGAGTTACTTCTGAGAAACACCCGGTATATTTTTTCTCGTGGGAAAAAAAGTGACATTTTAGAACCTGTCACAGCAGAGATGAAATTTCAAACTTTCTTCTCGTCACATAAAATAGTATTTTGTGTAACAAGTGGGGAAAGTTCAACATTTCTCACGAGTGATGCAAACACACTAGTGAGAAAAGTACTTTTCCCCACATGTTGTACACTATACTTTTTCTACAACTGCACTTATTCAAAGATTCCAAGTAATGTAACTTATTGGTATATTCATTTTATAATGTGGCACTATACCACATTGTATATTGTGACCAAAGAGTAGACGCCTTTCCTAGTTCCTCAAAGTATTTAAAAATAGTTATTTATTATACAAGGGAAAAAAGTAGTTGATTTTAGCTCCAAGCGGAGGGAGACAAAAAACCGTGAGCTAAAATCTAATATTTTTCCCGTGTATAATACACTGTTTTTTTCTGTGACAGAAGGAAGGACGAATCAATATTGAGAAGATATTACATTATTTCGAAATCTGAAAATTATCGACGTGAAATTTCAAGTTTTTAACAGTAGGGACACCTGCGTTTTATAGGCATCTTTATCATTCTTTTGAAGTAATCAAATATCTGATGTCACTTCTGTCAGTTCAATTCTGTGATTCGATTTTAAAAAATTGCGAATTCAGTAGTTGTTTAGTAATATACGAAACCGCGAAGTCGAATGGCAGATAAAAGGACTTGCAGTTCTTTCTCGGAGACGGTATTATTGACTCATTTTTCGGAACTATAGCACAACAAAAGCCATCAACAGTGTATAGATATGTGATATATATCCGGGAAGAAAGTACTCACTTTTTTCCCACGGGAAAAAAGTAATTTATGAAAAGTGACATTTTATAACCTGCCAACAGAGATGAAATGCCAAACTTTTTTCCCGTCACAGAAAAAACGTACATTTTCCGAAAAAGATGTTATTTCTTCATTTTTTTTAGATTCTTGGAAGTTGGATTTGTTTACGGAAATTAATTGGCATATACGAAAAATGTAGGAACTGTGAAATGCGTCTACTCTTTGGTCACAATATTCAATGTTGTAGCGAAATCTTATTATATAGTTACCTTTCTTGGGAATTCCGATTGGATACCTACTTATAGCAATAATGGATAGATGTCCGTGTCTGTCTGTCAACTACAAATAAATAATTATATTTTCAATGGTTTTTACTGTTTCGAACAAAAAATACTTGCCCGGTTAAACATTCCAGCACTTTATACTTGGCTAACAAATTGTCCGGCTGAAATTATTAGGTGCGTTGTGAATTCGAAAATTCTTCGTGCACATTACCTGTTTTAGTCGGATCGTTGTTACCACCATACTCAACCAGTAGAGTAAATGAATTGTCGAGAGCCATTGACTTAAGTGTTATTTTTTGTACAAAAATCTACCCACCCCGTTACAATGTCGCATAGTGCGACATTATAAAATGAAATATATATATATATATAACTCTTTATTAGCATACAAAGTGCTCTTCACAGAAAAATACAGAATAAGCAAAAAAAAACAACACAAGTATCACAAATAACAAAAGTCCTTCAAAAGACAAAAACAGGTACTATAATAGGTACAACATATTAAAAGTTTCTATAGGTACAATAATAAAAATCAACTAGATACAACATATTAAAAGCTACTCTCATAAAATATAATTTCATACTATTAAAACTGTTTGAATACATAGTCTCTGCATTTTTTTTGGAAAAGGGTCAAAGTCGTGAGGTTTTTTGCCTCAGAGGGTAAGCTATTGAAGAGTATTAAACCCTTATTAAATACTGTGTCACAGTGCATGTTATCCATTCGAATATAAAAATCATTTGCAGTTCGAGTTCTAGTCTCATGAGTGTGTACATTTTCAATATAACTTAATTCGTCACTGAGGTAGGTTGGTAACATACTGTTTTTCATCTTGAACACAAAGACCAACATATTGTAATGAATTCTTTGTTTCACAGTCATCAATGATAATGTATCTAACATATTTTTTATTGGAGTACGTTTGTTACACATGAGTATAGCTCTCATGGCACGATTGTGTGTTTTTTGAATTATGTTCAACTGGTCATTATTAAGAAAAAATAATAGGGTTCCACAATAATCGAAGTGAGGTGCTATTATAGACTTGTAAATAGTCAACTTAGAAAAAAAAAGAAACTTTACCATTGAGCCTGTACAAAATGTGGGTTTTCTTTGCAATCTTTTTCTTTATATAATCACAGTGTGCATTCATATTCAATTCTTCATCAATCATTACTCCCAAGTACTTATAGGTTTTCACAGTCTCAATTATGACATTATTAATCATTAAGGTCATTTGAAACAAATCGTTTTTCAATGTTTTATGTTTGTTTCTGTTAGCTATCAACATACATTTGGTCTTTCCAAGATTCAGCATCAGTCCATTATCACACAACCATGAGAAGATACGACTCAAGTCCTCATTTAAAGATGATTCAACTTCTTCTGGTTCACCAGCAAAGTATAACAAAGTATCATCAGCGAATAATTTCAATTTACATTTTTCTACTTGTTTGATGATATCGTTAATGAACAAAATAAATAATATCGGTCCCAATATTGAACCCTGGGGGACTCCATATTGAGTTTTCAGTTTACGAGAAAATACATTGTTATACTTTACTATTTGTGTTCTATGTCGTAAATAACTTTCGAACCAATTTAATACATTGCCTGCAATTCCATATCTATTGAGTTTTAACAACAATAAATCTATGTTGATAGTTTCAAAAGCACGCTTGAAATCCAAAAATACAACTCCTATCACCTTTTTTTTGCTAAGATTTGTTTTCCATTGGGATATTAAAAATTGCAGGGAAGTCTCACAGGAGTGAGATTGTCGAAAGCCAGATTGTTCCTTGATGATTATATCGTTATCTCCAAGAAATTTCAGCAGCTGATCTTTAACGACCAGTTCCAACATTTTTTCATAACTTGGGAGGGTATTTATGGGTCTGAATTCACAACTGTCCGAAGTATTGATCACTTTTTGAATTGGTATGACTGTTGATAGTTTCCAAGCACTCGGAAAAGTGCCAGTGCTTAATGAAGTGTTTATAACATCCAGGAAGCAGTTTCCAATTGCTTGAAAAGCTAATTTAATTATACGAAGATCAATCCCGTCATTATCAGAACTATTTTTCTTCAGTGAATCAAGAATTTTTTTCAAATCTATCATTGTTACAATTCGAAATGCGTCAAATTTCGGTTTTACCATTTGAATATGACGTATAACATTATTGAAATCGTTGAATGGTTTAATATCATTGACAATTTTTTGTATGCTATTAATAAAAAAATCGTTAAAAGCATCAGCTATATTGAGATCATTTTCAATCATTACACCATCAAAGTTTATACTTGAGGGATTGTTTTGTTTTTTTCCATTCAACAATTCTTTCAATGATTTCCACATGGCCTTATTATCACATTTGTTCTCATCAATTTGTTTCTTATAATATTTTCTTATTTCTGTTCTTATCAAAGTATTCACAACATTTCTAATTTTCTTATATTCTACCCAATCATGATCCAATTTGGAATGTTTCGCTTTTTTATGTAGATTATCTCTTTCTTTAATTTTATTTATCACATCCTGGGAAAACCATACATTCAATTTGAAATTGTTGGATATTTCATATTTTCCAAAGGGAGCATATGTATTCAGATTATCAATAATGATATTCACCAATGACACTGACATATATATTCTATATCAATAGTAGATGAATTCCATTTTGCATCTATCAAAGATAACTGAAATTTGAGTTCATCAAAATTTTTATAACTTCTCCTGATAGCTATTGAATTTCTACATTGAAGGCTTGTATTCTCATAGTTTTTAATTGTAATCAACAAATTAGAATGATCAGAGACGTTCGGGAGATCTGTAATTATGTGGTCAACATTATTCTCGTTACTCAGTAGATAATCTATAAGTGTAGCCGAGTCCTTTGTCTGTCTTGTGTTTCCTTCTATCAGTTGATTTAGACCCAATGATTGTGTAATATTCAAAATTTTTCGACTATATGTAGAATCTAAATTTAAATTTATATTGAAGTCGCCAACAATGATAATATTTGATTTATCAGATACCAATTCCTCAAAAATGTCTTCCAAGTTTTCTATGAAATCTGCATGTGAAGAATTTGGGGAATGATAAAGAACACAAATTGTTACCCAGTTTTCTAATAATTTAACCTTAATTGCTAATATCCATAGATTCATATTATTTGATCTATTGAGAATCAGTCGGAAATGTAATTTCTTTTTTTATGTAAATTGCTACTCCCCCTGTGTGTCTATTATTTGAGTTACATAATATTAATTTGTAACTATCAATGTTGATTTCATGGACGTTTATTTCATTGGTGATATGAGTTTCAGATAAACAAATGAGCCATGGATTATACAAATGAGCACAGTAAATTATGTTGTCTAAATTTTTCCATAAACTCTGACAGTTAACATAGAATATGTGTGTGACAAAATAAGTTACATTACTCGGATTCTTTGAATAAGTGCAGTTGTAGAAAAAACATAGTGTGCAACATGTGTGGAAAAGCACTTTTCTCACTCGTTGCACAATATACTATTTGTTGTCAAAAATCCGTTTTTCCCCAAAATTGACAGGCGCCAACATCAACGCCCAAACGGACGAGACGCAAGAGACGGCCCTCACGCTGGCCTGCTGCGGCGGCTTCACCGAAGTGGCCGATATCCTGCTCAAGGGCGGCGCCGATATCGAGCTGGGCGCCTCGACGCCCCTCATGGAGGCTGCCCAAGAGGGCCATCTCGACCTCGTCAGGTAAGCCACTCGTCCTGTTCAAATTTGTTCAAAAACGTTAAATTCTGATTTTGTATATTGAAAATATTGAAATAATGAACATTAAACATCTTCCTTTTTTTGAATTTCCTGATGAGATATCAACTGTCGTGATACAGCAATTTATAATTCGATTCAATGCATTCAATTTAAATCGTCCTCATTCTGTTGTGTTCTTTTCCGAAATTTTACTGAATTTACCATTTATTCAGAATGTTCTTATAACCGAAATACAGAGTGGCTCATTGAAAACGGAACAGAACCACATTATAAAGAAACGCTGGAACATATCAAATACAGTCGTATTGAATAAAAAAGCGTTCAAGTATCAAAAAGAAAGGATTTCGGGATCCTAGTTCTAGTTGTGTAAAACTGACTCAGCCAATGCTTTGTGTTTTCAACCTATTTTGACTCCTAATATCATTTTCCGGAAATTGGGATGGTTCCATGGCTGTTGACGAGCAGTGTATATCACTGAAGATGACCCCACTAGGTCAATGAGTGCATTTTTGATATATCTCTCACTCCAGCAAATTTCAGGATCCTTACCCAACGATTACGTAAGATACAGGGCTGTTCCCATTAGAAGTGGGTCACACTGTATAACATTAAAAATAATCTTCCTTTTTGAATTTCCTGATGAGATATCAACTGTCGTGATACAGCAAATTATAATTCGATTCAAATCATTCAGTTTGAATCGTCCCAACTCTGTTGTGTTCATTAGTCAACTTTTTTGACGATGTTTTCTTCAATTCATTGTATTTTCCCATGTATACAGAATAGGCAAGAACATCAATGCAAGAATTCAATGAAAATGTTCTTATACCAAAATACAGAGTCGCTCATTGAAAACGAAACAGAACCAGATTATGAAAAAACACTGGAACAAGTTCATTTTCGAGGGCGGCATCGTTCTATAATATTTTCAGCGTTGCGGCGTTGCCGCTCCTATCAAAAAGTTGCAACAACTTTGTTATTTCAAATGGAACACCTTGATATATCTCATTGCTTTATTATGTTCTCCCTGAAAAGCTGATTTCATCAATGTATCACACTTGGGGTCTAGGTCGTGTCGAAACTATTCATTATTGATCAAATCGGCTTTCATGTCCCTTTTGATTCAGTATCTACTGACATCGAATTGGAACAAGTACAGGGTGATTCAAGGTACATAATTCTGATCATCCCTGTGTCTGTTCCAATCAAATGTCAGTAGTAAATCAAATATAAATATATTTATTTATTCAATAAGAAATAAAGAGTTAATTATTGCAAGAATCAATATAAAGACGAAACATATTAATGAAATGCTGCCGTTATTGCTGGAACTCGTTAAATTCAAGATGGTCCAGATCCAAAATCATCTGTAGTCTAAGAGGGAGGGAGGTAGGAGAAAGGCTCTCCCACTTAGATTCATCATCACGGCTATAAAAGAGGATGTATGGCGTTTCGGGGGATCTTAGTCGGGATAGCTTCTCAGACGAAGTTCTTGATACGGAGCTATCATTGAACTGTTACCATTCATTCTTGTCTAACCGCGTAAAGCTGGTAAATCCAGCTGTCGATAATAAGATACTCGTCAAGACTATACGAAATGTTGCATCTTGATACTCTAGTACGAGGAAGGATCGTACCGGAAGAGCTTCAGAGTTGAAATCAATCGTGGCGGCGCCCTCATGATCTTGGTTATGTGTTCTCTGACGGTCAATCGACTGCATATCTCGCAGTAGCATTGGTTATCTTCGGTCAATTTCTCCGGCTCAAAGTAGTAGTCCAGCAACTCCTAAATTGATCGACACGATCGCTCTCCGTTCCTCCAAACATCGTGAAACAGTCACCATCTTGCTGCTGAAAAAAGTTTGCACCATCGTTGTGACAGCTTCTCCGTTCTCTTCAGAGAAATTACAAGAAAAGGTGATTGATCTTGTAGTATGTTGAGTAAGAAGCCCAAAAACTCGGAGCCCTACCAAGAAACCAGGTGCTCTTGGCAATTCTGAAATTTCTAAAGGAGAAAGTGACACCCTCTTGGAGAATTGCAATAAAACGAAGGTATTCCATTTGAAGTAACAAAGTTGTTGCTACTTTTCGATAGAATTGGCAGCGCTGAAAATATTTCAGAACGATGTCCCCCTCGAAAATTTAGTTGACGTGTTCAAGAGTTTCTTCATAATCCGTTTCTGGCGACCTACAGAGCCAGTTTCGTTTTCAAAGGGCTATACTATTATAGTAAATTTGTTATACCATTACTTTCTCCTTACCCTAGTGCTTTGATTATTTATCTCTTCTTAACCAACACAAATCATCTTCACCTTGGCAGATTCCTTTTGGAGAACGGAGCCAACGTGCACGCCCAAACCCAAACGGGAGACACTGCTCTCACCTATGCCTGTGAGAACGGCCACACCGACGTCGCCGATCTCCTCCTCCAATATGGCGCCGATCTCGAGCACGAATCCGAAGGTGGCCGAACGCCCCTCATGAAGGCCTGTCGGGCCGGTCACATGTGCACCGTGCAGTTTCTCATCTCCAAAGGGGCCAACGTGCGACGCCCGACCACTAACAACGACCACACGCCACTGTCTTTGGCGTGCGCGGGCGGCCATTTGCCCGTGGTGGAACTGTTGCTCAGCCACAACGCCGATCCCAATCATAAGCTCAAGGTGAGATGGTTAGACAGTGCGATTTATTCATGAATCGTTGAAAAATCCGGCTCGAAGGACCATATGTTGAATGCATTCACCTGAAATTGTAGGGATGCACTTGACAATCCGGTTCGAAGGACCATATGATGATTGTATTCACTTGGAATTGTAAGGCTTCATTTGACAATCTGGCTGGAAAGACCATGATGAATATATTAACCAGGGATTGATTCAATAATCTAGTCTCAAAGAACGAAAATTCACATTAACTATCCTTCGAATTCTTATTCATTTCTAAATGACCCCGCACTTTTAGTACGTAAAATGGTTCTCGGTGAAATTTTCTGAATTTTCAGTATGTTGTAGAATTCTATGAACTGATTGAACCTGCAGAATCGTAATGTTCTTTGATGAACATATTCTGAGATACAGGGCGTTGAAGTTACAAATCGGTAATTTTCATTTAATTATTTTCCCGAAATTCAAAGATGCCAAGTACAATTCTCTACGCTCATATCATTAACGAACCTCCATATTACTCAACATGATTCAGATGGTTCAGATGATAAAATAAACATTTCAGTGATGTCTGGAAATTCGATGTAATAATGAAATATCGAAAAAATAATTTAGGCATGCAATATACTATTCTCATTCCATCATGAATCACAATTCATACATTTCATACAGGGTGATTTGAAAAATTGGTGACACCTAAGACCGATTTATTCATACACATCTTGTATATTCGAGTGAATTGTTAACCTCCCAAGATAGCTGATACCGTATTCACATGATTTCGTTGAGATATATAGGGTGATCATGAAGATTTTCGATGGTGAAAATGACAAAAAATCGTGTTTTTTGAAATCACCCTGTTATTCATGATTAACTCGGTGAAATTCTCTAATTATTTTTTAATATATTCATCATTCGCTCCTCAACGCTGTCTTGAAAATTCAGTTTCCTATCATGCCTGGTGTCATAGTTATCAATTCAGGAACTTACCATTTGCATGAAAAGTTTGAGAGACTTAATGTTCACTTACATTCGCATAGTGGCCGATATTTTTCACAAATAGTGAAACGTGAGAATGTGGAGACGAAAATAAGTTCAGTATTCATATACAGGGTGAATATTAGAAATTCAATAACAATAGCAGATATATGAATTTAATAATATTAATAATAATGTACAGATAGTTAGGCGAATTTCGTTGGTAAACAAGCTCTGCCAAAATGAAAAACGAACAATACCTAGGAGATGGGAGAATGATTCGGTCTTTCACGCTTCCATTTCTTATAGGGAGAGTTGAATCCTGGAATCGACAGATTTTTTCACATTTGTTTTCCACTCTGAATCAGGCGTTTCCATCATTTTCATATTTGCTTGCTATCAGTTATTATTATAATATCATTAGATTCAAATTCATATCACATTCTAATGATATAATTCAATACGTATATATGATGGTGAAATAGAAAATAATCCTAAAAAGTTGATTCCTATTGAATGCAAAAGTGGGTTTCTACACTATTGGTTCATATTCGATATTATATCAACTAGGTGAGCTATAATCAACAACGATCTGTCAGTGAACTTGTCACGCGGATATCGATTGTTGATTTCAGTTTGAGTGTTGTAATTTAGGATATTTCCTTTGTCGAATTTATTGTTCATAATTTTATCTCATTATAGTTCTCAAGTAGTGATAGTGTTCCAAATGGCGTTGGTTAATAGGGGGGACTGTTACGTTTGTGGTAGAAACTGTAGAATACAGCAAATGACTAGGATACATGGAGAAGAGAATATCGAAAAACAGGAAATGGCTATATTGAGAAGACAAGCTGCAGAAAGACCTCCTCTCGATATTGCTGAGGAAACTAGAGCTTGTTTCAATTGTTTCCAGGCAATACTCAACGACATCAGACATTAAACAATTACAAAATAATACCAACTGTCTTCGTCTCAATGTTTTATCTCCAGCAACAAGTCGTACTTGCGTAATTCCCACATCAATATTCACAGAATGCCCATTGACTGTAGAGTGAATATTTTTATTATTTCTAACATTTATGTTCCCGAAAATGTAAGAATATGCAACTGCCAATAACAATACGAGGGATTATCAAAATATAAATAGTTTTTCCGATGATGAGTTTGAATATTTGACGTCACATTCGAAACAGCAGTTTCGAGAATTACAAGAATATTGTGGCTCCATTGAGAAATGTGGCAATAGGCGACTTATATCTGAAAAACACCTATGAACCAATAGTGCAGAAACCCATTTTTGCATTCAATAGGAATGAACTTTTTAGGATCATTTTCTATTTCACCATCATATATACGTATTGAATTATATCATTGGAATGTGATATGATATTATAATAATTACTGATAGCAAGCAAATATGAAAATGATGGAAACGCCTGATTCTGAGTGGAAAACAGATGTGAAAAAATCTGTCGATTCCAGGATTCAACTCTCCCTATTAGAAATGGAAGCGTGAAAGACCGAATCATTCTCCCATCTCCTAGGTATTGTTCGTTTTTCATTTTGGCAGAGCTTGTATACCAACGAAATTCGCCTAACTATCTGTACATTATATTAATATTATTAAATTCATATATCTGCTATTGTTATTGAATTCCTAATATTCACCCTGTATATGAATACTAAACTTATTTTCGTCTCCACATTCTCACGTTTCACTATTTGTGAAAAATATCGGCCACTATGCGAATGTGAGTCCAACTCTTCCTGCAAATGGTAAGTTCCTGAATTGATAACTATGACACCAGTCATGATAGGAAACTGAATTTTCAAGTCAGCGTTGAGGAGCAAATGATGAATATATTAAAATAATTAGGGAATTTCACCTAGTTGATCATGAATAACAGGGTGATGTCATTTTCATCATCGAAAATCTTCATGATCACCCTATATATCTCAACGAAATCATGTTCATACGGTATCAGCTATCTTGGGAGGTTAACAATTCACTCGAATATACAGGATGTGTATGAATAAATCGGTCTTAGGTGTCACCAATTTTTCAAATCACCCTGTATGAAATGTATGAATTGTGATTCATGATGAAATGAGAATAGTATATTGCATGCCTAAATTATTTTTTCGATATTTCATTATTACATCGAATTTTCAGACATCACTGAAATGTTTATATGTTTCACTCTGTAAACAATTATATCATCCGAACCATCTGAATTATGTTGAGTAATATGGAGGTTCGTTAATGATATGAGCGTAGAAAATTGTACTTGGCATCTTTGAATTTCGGGAAAATAATTAAATGAAAAATACCGATTTGTAACTTCAACGCCCCGTATCTCAGAATCTGTTCATCAAAGAACTTTACGATTCTGCAGGTTCAATCAGTTCATCGAATTCTACAACATACTGAAAATTCAGGAAATTTCACCGAGAACCATTTTACGTACTAAAAGTGCGGGGTCCTTTGTTTTTTTTTTCTAAAGATACTGACTCAATATGAGAAAATTTGTTCAAAGTGTTCAGATAATATATTCTAATTTTAATAATGAAGGGAATCGCGAAGGGTGGAGATAATAACACACATTCGTCTTAAATAAGTTCTGGTAAGATATGATTATTGGTAAAAAAAGTTGAAAAACACCATGCTTCCTCAAAACACTCGTATTCTCTATTAAAAATAAGATATTGACGTGAATTAAAAACTTTGTGTTAGGGAAGGGATCACATTTCAATCCGAAGCATAATGAAGCCATGTTCAATCACGCGATTTTGCCACAGGGCGTTAAGAAGTATACGGTGAAAGAGTAACTTTGGTTTTTCCTTATACAGTGTGTCCCACTTACCATGCTCACCATGGGTATCTTTTTAACGGTGAGAGATACGAGGTCGGTTAAATGACACCAAATGTGGAGTTTGTCAAGGCCAACTAAAATGTGAAAAAATATTTTGATAAAATCTATTCGTTTTTGTTTTATACGCAAAAAACAGATTTTGATCATTTTCATGTCTCCTCCATAACTTCTTTATTTATGAAAATATTCCAATAGGAATTTCACATTCTCATTGCAGTTTTTCAAAGTGATTTCGAAAAAAATATGAAATTTATACCAACTCTTCTAGAATTTGATATATCAGCACCAGCTTTAGTTTTTCAAATGTAGGTCATACCTCATTATGACTCAGTTACAAATAATTTATTTTTCTCTTACAGATGATATGTCGCAGTAATAGTTTTGTGTTGATAACAACGGAGTTATCGTCATTTATACAAGAACAAAAAATTATTTTGAAACCGTTATCTTGAATTTTTTAATTTTAACAAAAAAATCATGATCTCCGACCTCAAAAACCCCCACTTACCAATTTTGAATGGAATCGGACCAAATCTTGTCCGCCATCTTGGAGCAGCCATCTTTTTCAATTTCAACAAAAATTCCATAATGTATTGTCACCGAAATTAGGAACACCTGCCAAATTTCAAGATAATCGGAGTTATTGAATTTTTGTTGAAATTAAAAAAAATGGCTGCTCCAAGATGTCGGACAAGATTTGTTCCAATTCCATTCAAAATTGGTAAGTGGGGGTTTCTGAGGTCGGAGATCATGATTTTCTTGTTAAAATTAAAAAAATCAAGATGGCGGCTTCCAAATAATTTTTTGTTTTTGTTTAAATGACGATAACTCCGTTGTTATCAACACAAAACTATCACTGCGACACATCATCTGTAAGGGAAAAAGAAGTTATTTGTAACTAAGTCATAGTGAGCTATGACCTACATTCGAAAAACTAAAGTTGGTGCTGATATCTCAAATTCTAGAAGAGTTGGTATAAATTTCATATTTTTTTCGAAATAACTATGAAAAACTGCCATGATAATGTGAAATTCCTATTTGAATATTTTCATAAATAAAGAAGTTACGGAGGAGACATGAAAATGATCAAAATCTGTTTTTTGCGTATAAAACAAAAACGAATAGATTTTATCAGAATATTTTTTCACATCATAGTTGGCCTTGACAAACTCCACATTTGGTGTCATTTAACCGACCTCGTATATCTTACCGTTAAAAAGATACCCATAATGAGCATGGTAAGTGGGACACACTGTATAATAATCAAGTCATCAGCTTTTCTGGAAAACTAATATTTAGGCTAACATTCTGGAACATGTACGATTTGATCTAAATTTTACACAAAATCCGACAAGGATTAAAAAAGTTATAGTATGAACAATTTGGGCAAATTTTTTGGTGGCCGGTTTATTTTGCCGGTGAGTGTACAGGGTGTTTCTTAAGTACGTGTAGAAAATTCAGGGGCATGTTGCTGACGTCAAAATAAGAAGAAAAGTTCGTATAAATATATGTCCGAAGGTTATTCGTTTCTGAAATACAGAGTGTGAGAGTTGAATTCTTATTTTTGATTTTTGTTAATAAATTTCACAACTTCGACACCCTGTATCTCAGAAACGAAGAACTTTCGGACATATATTTATACGAACTTTCTTTTTATTTTGACGTCAGCAATATGCTCCTGTACTTAAGAGACACCCTGTATATCTGTCATGCTGCCTGTTTCGGTTCGAAACTTCGGAAAGAGAAGTGCTGACACCATCATTTGAATTTCTCTCAAGGACAATTCGACGATGCTGATCGAAGCGGCAAAGGGCGGCCACACTAACGTGGTGCAGCTGCTGTTGGACTATCCGCACTCGATGCAGCCGACTGCGCTTGCGCAGCAGCAGCAGCAGGCGGCTACGGGGGCGACCAACTTGGCGATGCTGCCCGGCCAGGTGGGCAGTCGCGAGTCGCCCGTCGGGACGGCCGCAGCGGTGGGGGCGGGCGGGCAAAGCGTCGGGGCGCAGGGATTCTTTCAGCCTCCTGCCGGTGAGTAACGTGTTTTTATGTATATTGTTACGATTTTCTCTGGGTCCGTAAGTACTTAACACTCGGTATAACACTTAAAATAATTTATTCTGAACACTACTATACAATATTTACAATACTCGTACTAAACACTTCCGATTCACTTCTTCGATCGTTATTATAACGCTTCCAAATAAAGACTTTCCTACCTGTCCCTAACAACAACTATTTATACTACCTAATAAAACGTCTAGATTCCACTCGAAATATCGTGAACAGGTCGATAATCTTCTCGAGTCATCTCAATAGCCGTCGATTTCTATTCCAAGAAATACGGTTTATTTACTTCCGTAGCAGGTAGCTGGGATTGATCGCCAGGGTCGTAACAATATTTATCGACGCTGTTTTGCAATATCCACTATCAATAAAGTTTTCAAGAGGAATATTTCTCACAGTCGCCCTTTAAAATGTTTGGAGAATGTTTTTAATGTATGCGTTGGAATCATTCTTCAGCAATGTTTACTGAAAACATGAACCAAAAAGGTGTAAAATTGTACCAACCGTACAGACAAAACTATTGAAAGGGGCAAAAATTCAATATTAAAAAAAAAATCTCGGAAACGGTAAGACTTTCATAATGGGAGGTGAGTCATCCCTTGATCTACATTCTCCCTAGGATTGACGTGGTCTTTACGGGACACCCTGTATATCTCTTTGAATAACAAAAAAAAAGGATCTCCATGATAGGCATCCTTATCTTGGACACAGTGTTTATACTGAGTGGTCCATTGAAAAGTGAACAGCAGCTCTGAAGGTTACCAGAACCGGATAATATGAAGAAGCTGGAACACGTCAACTACATCGTTCTAAAATATTTTCAGCGCTGCTGCGTTGCCGTTTCTATCGAAAAGTAGCATTACCTTTGTTATTTTAAATGTTGTTAGATTCTCCATAGAGCTGATTTCATCAATGTATTACACTAACTTGGGGTCTAGCAAGAATGATTACAGAAATATTGGGTGTTCAAAATCGAGATTTTTCAACTTTTAGGATTTTTTTGTGTCCAAACTATTCATTATTGATCAAAACGGCTCACGTGTCATCCCTATCTTGATTTACTATCTACTGACATTAAATTGGAACAGATACAGGGTGATCAGAATTCTGAATCTTGTTTTATTTAACCAAAGAAGATTTGATGAGAAGAATAACTGCAAAATATTATGCATCATGGATGTGAATTAATCATTATTTATATTTATATTATAAATTAGTACCGTTAGATTCGTCAAATAATCCTTTTTTCGGAGTGCTTTTCAAAAAATGGCCGCCATTTGAAAATTGTCTCATTCTTATCTCTCATATTAGTCACTAAAACTTGTGATAGTAATTTTCTGACATCACCTGACATCAAAAGTGACTAATATAATAAGAGTAGGCGTGAAAACTGTTAAAAATGTCACATTTTGATACACCTAATATTCAAGAAGGTATGACTTTTCTAATAGATTTGTTGTGATCCGGTATTTGAGCACAATGCATTTTATTAATACTTTCAGATCGACAGAAAATTATTATTGCGTTTATTTCTGATGAAAAATATTAGTTCTAGGAGAAACGCCCCATTAGTTTGAGATGAATTTTTATGGTTTGAAACTTGTCTGCCTGTACTGGTATAAATATGAAAAATGTCTTATGCTTCGATCATGTGAACCCTAGTTGTCCGTTCAGGTGTTATTCAACGTTGAACTGAAAAAAAAAACGTTTTTTTTTTTTCATAAAACTAGTGGAAAATAATTTCTTGTTGAAAACCATGCCGCATTTTCAAAATATCAGTATTTCCCCTTCCTATTGAAAAAGTCTCATGTTTTCCTGTTTATTTTTCGCTTATGCAGCTGCCGTCCTTCAAGAAGTGCCCGACGCCGTTCGCATCGTCCAGCAAGAGGACGCCAACAGTCCCCCTATCGACGTCGACAAGCAACAGGTGCAATCGCCCGCCAATCGCACGGCCGACACGCAAAAAGTATCGACGGGAAGGAAGTGCGTGCTGCCCAAGAGCCGGTCGGCTGGCACCGTTTTCGACGGCAATCTCACGTCGGCCGAGGCCCAACAGGTGAATAATCCATTTTTATTATCGAAAGAATGTGTTTACGTTCCTAAAGTCATGGTTTTTATTCAAATCCATGTTTTTTAGAATTTTTTAAATTTTTGACCCCCTGAAAAAAAAAATTTCGTACGCCCTAAAAGTTGTAATTTTCATTATCCATTGAAGAAATTAGAGAATTACTACTTTTAGCTTTCAGAAACCTCTAGAAAAATGTATTAACACAATTTATTGTAAGCCCTTTATAAAATTATGAGGACGCCTTTGAGGTTAACATTTCGATCATCTAATGACAAAATACTAATTGGTCGACACGCAAACAGTGTCGACCGGCAATCTCACGTCGGCCGAGGCTCAACAGGTGAATAATCCATTTTTATTATCGAAAGAATGTGTTTACGTTCCTAAAGTCATGGTTTTTATTCAAATCCATGTTTTTTAGATTTTTTTAAATTTTTGACCCCCTAAAAAAATTTCGTACGCCCTAAAAGTTGTAATTTTCATTATCCATTGAAGAAATCCATTTAAAAAAATGAGAGAATTACTACTTTTAGCTTTCAGAAACCTCTAGAAAAATGTATTAACACAATTTATTGTAAGCCCTTTATAAAATTATGAGGACGCCTTTGAGGTTAACATTTCGATCATCTAATGACAAAATACTAATTGGTCGACACGCAAACAGTGTCGACCGGCAATCTCACGTCGGCCGAGGCTCAACAGGTGAATAATCCATTTTTATTATCGAAAGAATGTGTTTACGTTCCTAAAGTCATGATTTTTATTCAAATCCATGTTTTTTAGAATTTTTAAAAAAATTTACCCCTTGAAAAAAAAAATCGTACGCCCTAAAAGTTGTAATTTTTATTATCCATTGAAGAAATTAGATAATTACTACTTTAAGCTCTCAGAAACCTCCATAAAAATGTATTAGCACAATTTATTGAAACCCCTTTATATGAATATGAGAACGCCTTCGAGGTTCAAATTTCGAACTTCAGAACCCTCAGATATAATGGGTATGCCCCTGAATTAGTGGTTTTACTTTGAAATCCAACAGGCCCAATAGGTGAATAAATATGAAATACTGGAACTTACATTTCATTTTATTTTCGACACTAGGATTGAAGTCTCTCATGATTTTTCTTTGAATCCTCACTTTTTTAGATTTTCTTCTCATTTTGACCCCCTGAAAAAATATTGGTGCACGCCCTTAAATTAGAAATTCAAATAATCCATTGAAGAAATAAGAAATTTTTTAGAAAATTTTTATGTTTGACCCCTAAACAAAATTTTTGGGTACGCACTTAAAATCGCAACTTTGATTATCCGTCGAAGAAATTAGGTTATAAGTACCATAAGATTTCAGATTTTTTTTCCTTTTCGAATCATTCATAAAAATATGAGTGCGCCCATGAAGTCGTGATTTCAATCACCCAATAAAAAAATTGAGAAATTCCCACTATTTGCTTTTAGAATCCTCAGAAAAAAGTCGGTACGCCCGTGATTCAGTGCTATTCATTCAAAAGCCAACAGGCCCAACAGGTGGATAAATATTGTGAAATACTGGTATGGTCTTTACATTATTTTTTCTTTGAATCCTAACTTTTTGACACCTGATAAAAATTTCCTGTACACTATTGAAGTCGTTATTCCGCTTATCCTTCGAAGAAATCAACACGCTAAAAGTATCGACGAGAAGGAAGTGCGTGTTGCCCAAGAGCCGGTCGGTGGCACCGTTTTTGACGGCAATCTCACGTCGGCCGAGGCTCAACATGTGAATTAACATAATTAAATAGCAGAAAATTTGGCGAAACTCGCATATCTTATCCGAATCCATATATTTTTAGATTTTTTCATTGTTGACCCCCTGAAAAAATTTACTGGGTACGCCCTGAAAATCGTAACTTTTGCTTTCAGATTTTTTTCCATTATCGAATCCTCCATAAAAATATGGGTCCTGATTTCAATTGTCCAATGAAAAAATACTGAAATTCTTACTCTTTGCTTTCAGAATCCTCTAATAAAGTTGCTTTGTGCATCCGATATGTTTGAAATCCCATCCTTGGTTTTATCCTACCCTCAATTTTTTTTCAAAATTTCTCAATTTCTGACCCCTTCGAAAAAATAAGTACTTCTCTGAAATCGTGGTTTCCATTGTCTATCAAAGTCACAATCCAATATTTCTTCACACCCAATCAGAAAAAATGAGTACGCCCCTGATGCTACAATTTTCATTTTATGGATAGTAACAGACAATTGAAATTCCAGTTTTTATATTTGTCTCATCTCAGTTAAAAAAATGGCACGCCTATGAAGTTGACATTTTGATAGATATTTCAATTCCTATGTTAGGTTTTTCGACCTTCTCTCATTATTTTGACATTTTTCAATTTTCCTGATGTAAGACAATTTGTGTCCTTCAACGGTTGCATTATGATGATTATGACGTAATCTTCAAGGTGAGGACGCAGCCTCTCGATTTCGAGGAGGAGGTGTTCTCTGCCAATGCCGCGATGGACTTCCTCAACAAGGACGAGTCGAACAGCACGCTGATCGGCTTCATCAAGAACAGGAAGAAGCAGCAGTTCAACAACAACGCCGACGAAGGATCCACCCAAAAGCAGCAGATCCTCGAGGAATTGCACGTGAGTGTTCTTTTCCTGTCATAAAAATTGTGTATTGTCAACATGAATGTCGGAAAATGCTTCCTTAGGGAGCTAGAGCCCCAGAGCTAGAGATATTTTCACAATAAATCCATCACGATGAACTGTAATGAAACAAAACGTGAGTAGAAACGTTGAATTTTAATTATCAAGTTCTAATTTTTTCTTCATAAGAGGTCGCGCACTCAAAGTCATTGAATATAAAAAATGACACTTCTCGAAAACGGTTCGTTTTTTGGCAAAAATGGTTTGGAGAATCATATTTTGGTAGAAGAAATGAGATGAATCTTGAAACAAAAAAACTTGAAGCATTTTTATAGCATCTGTTACGCGTTTCACACTTCCCTGTATAATAAATCATGTTTTCCTTACCTGGATACGATTTGTAAGATTAAATCACCCCTAGGTACCAAATTTCGTTATTGTAGGATCAATGAAAACAAAGATATTTGAAGAAAACTGCATTGAAGGATCTAGCTTTAAAGGACTCTAGTGTCCTTAAAGGACTCTAGTGTCCGTAGGAAGCATTCTTGCACACCTGTTTATAGGAACAGTTTTTATTATTTCCATCTGAAGAATTGCCTCCCAGATTATACGACACCCTGTATATAAGAAATAATGGAAGTTTTTTCACATGGACGGGCTCGTAGATTATAGGAGGTGAAGGTATCCGAATAATTTCGATGAATACTTGTATGGTTATTTATATACGTGGACGAGCTCGTAGATTATACGAGGCTGGATCAAGAAAGCAAGAAACTTCAGTATATTCAATATTCGCCTAAAACATAAATCATGTTTCGCGAGTTTCAAGTCAAACTAAATGTTCCCAGACATTAATAGTGGTCATTAATCGGGCTCATTATAGGAGGTGAAGATATTTGAATAAGTTCAAGTATTACTTGTATGGTTATTTATATACGTGGACGAGCTCGTAGATTATACGAGGCTGGATCAAGATAGCAAGAAACTTCTGTAATAATCATTCCAGAATTACGTCATTTGACAGGTTGTTGAGGGGCAAACATTGTATTTTGTCAAGATTTGGCATATAAAACCAGAATAAGTGGGATCGTTCTCCTTGGAATCCGAATTGGAACCAGAAAGAATTCCATAATTTTGTTAGTGAAACTGTTATCATATTGTGGATGTGGCAGGGATGGCCAGGGCTATGCTCATAAAAGGTAACATAACAGATAGTTTGTGTGCCTTTCAAGAAACCATGTCAAAATCACGTGTTCTAGAATGATCAATATTTAATATTCGCCTGAATCAAAAATTATCTTTTGAGAGTTTCAAGTCAAACTAAATGTTCTCAAACATTAATAGTGGTCATTATTCGGGCTCGTAGATTAGAGGAGGTGAACATATCCGAATAAGTTCAATGAATTCGTGTATGGTTATTTATATACGTGGACGAGCTCGTAGATTATACGAGGCTGGATCAAGAAAGCAAGAAACTTCTGTATATTCAATATTCCCCTAATACAAAAATTATCTCTCAAGAGTTTCGAGTCAAACTGAATGTTCTCATAAATTAATAGTGGTCATCACCATCATGTTACTATTTGAAGTATGTCAATTTCCAGGGCGTATCACAATCATGTCAAAGTTCGTAGATTTATATTTTAAATTGATTCTTGTCATGATCATTCAAATATGTGGTAATTCATGTATTTGTACGAGCCCGTAGATTATACAAGACTGGTTGATCGAAATATGTAGGCGGGCTCGTAGATTATACGAGGCGAGGTCATTAAATTTGGACAGAAGTATTAGGTGTATCATTCTTCCCATTGCATTATGTCAACAAAAACTGTGTTTTATTCACAATAGCGGGTGGAGCGTGAGCTTCACGGAAAGACCCAAAGTCACAACCACATGTTCCAGTATCCGATATCTCAGGAACAATGCCCATCCACTCCAAGTAATACACTGCCTCATATGCTGAGCATCGACATTGCTATGCAGCAACAAAAGCAGCAAGGTAAGTGATGGTTTCGTTTTTTTTGTGCATACTGCATGTGAATTATTTAATTTTTGCTATATTTTTCACTGAAAGTAGTGCCTGCGTTTCTTAGCTGATAAATCAATATTTGAAATTTTGTTATATACATAGTAGGGGTGGGCGATAGTGATTTTGGATTATCGATTATCGAAATTTTATATGGACATCTTCCCATAAAGAAAACAACCGTTACGCCACGTCCTAAGTCATAATATCAGCCAAGTGTAATATTGCCGCCGATATCAATCAACGCTGTCCTATGTCGTCCAACGTGTCTTCTTAGTTGGAATGGACTATAGGAGTGGGCAATTACAATTAACAATCAACGGATATTTCGAAAATTAATAAAAATTATCCATATAATCCATATTATCAATATTATAGATAAATCGATAATTATCGATATATAGGAAAATTTGCCTACCCCTAATACATAGTCACTAGTCAGAATGATATAGTTGATATACAAAAGTGTTTTATATTCAGAAAAATACAAATTTTCAATTTTGCATCACATTCCTTCAAAGTTGAGCTTTAGTCTGTACCTCATCATTATTTGTTGTTCTGGGTTTCTATGAGTGTTTTTTTTTTTTTATTTGAATTTTGCATGAAATTCATGTTTTCTTCTCCATCTTCACTACCTTACCTGCATGCCCTCAGACATAATCCTATCATACCCAAATTTTCCTCTTCTATGGCAGGGAGGAATTGATTTTTATAAAGAATACAATTGAGAAATGGTTCAACACTAGATTGTTTCCAAAATATGACTTACAAATAATTGAAATAAAAAGCCAAAGCTCTAAAAAAGAAAAAGAGTTCAAATAATGTAATAGTTTGCTTAGTACCATTCACAATCCGAATTTCAAATGTGATCTCTTCCATACATCAAGATATTTGTTTCGGCGATACTCGACGACATTTGGTCGAATGAAGTACCCCTTTTTGAAATTCCTCCTTGCCTTCCCACTTTTCGGCTGAGGTCTTCGACTATAGGGCGGCTTGTATTTTGTATTATCAGGGCTGGCACTCTTTCCCGGCCAAAACCTTCAAGTCCACAATGCTTTCTACGCAGGCGCCTCCGCTGCATCTCCCACCGACGTCGCCGCCACCGCCTCCGCGTTCCAAGGTCAGAAACCACCACCTCCGCCGCCCCAAACGCCGTACTACTTCGCTCCGATGCCTACGTCGGTGGCGGTCAGTTTGGCGGCGGGGGCGGTCTCGCCGCCTGCTGTCGCTGCTGCCAACATCGGGGCCAATCAGAGTCCGCCTGTCAAGTTCCAGAGCGTTACTTCACATGCCGAAGTCAGCCAGGTTGGTATTTTATTTAAGTAGGCGGGCTTGTATATTGTAAGGGACGAGATCATCAAAGTTATGTTTGTGGTCATTGATATATGTAGACGGGCTCGTACATTGTACGAGGCGCGTTCAACAAAATCACTCTTTGTCAGAATATTCGATTATTTGACTTGAATTATTTGCAAACTTTTGCTGGTTAGTCAGTAATATTATTATTGAGGCCTTGAGTGCTCAAAAGGGACATGAGGTACTAGATTGGAAAGTTGTCTGTCAAGTTCCAGAGCGTCACTTCACATGCCGAAGTCAGCCAGGTTTGTATTTTGTTTATATAGACGGGCTTGTATATTGTACGGGACGAGATCATCGAAATTATGTTTGTGGTCATTGATATATGTAGACAGGCTCGTAGATTGTACGAGGCGTGTTCAACAAAATCACTATTCGTCAGAATATTCGATTATTTGACTGAAATTACTTGCAACCTTTTGCTGGTTAGTCAGTAATGTTATCATTGAGGCCTTGAGTGCACAAAAGGTACATGAGGTACTCGATTGGAAGGTTGTCTGTCAAGTTCCAGAGCGTCACTTCACATGCTGAAGTCAGCCAGGTTGGTATTTTATTCAAGTAGACGGGCTTGTATGTTGTACGAGACGAGATCATCAAGATTATGTTTGTGGTCATTGATATATGTAGACGGGCTCGTACATTGTACGAGGCGTGTTCAACAAAATCACTCTTTGTCAGAATATTCGATTATTCGACTGAAATTAGTCAGTAATATTATTATTGAGGCCTTGAGTGCTCAAAAGGGACATGAGGTTCTAGATTGGAAAGTTGTCTGTCAAGTTCCAGAGCGTCACTTCACATGCCGAAGTCAGCCAGGTTTGTATTTTATTTATGTAGACGGGCTTGTATATTGTACGGGACGAGATCATCGAAATTATGTTTGTGGTCATTGATATATGTAGACCGGCTCGTAGATTGTACGAGGCGTGTTCAACAAAATCACTATTCGTCAGAATATTCGATTGTTTCACTGAAATTACTCGCAAACTTTCACTGGTTAGTCAGTAATGTCAGTATTGAGGCCATTAGTACACAAAAGGTACATGAGGTACTCGATTGGAAAGTTGTCTGTCAAGTTCCAGAGCGTCACTTCACATGCCGAAGTCAGCCAGGTTTGTATTTTATTTGTGTAGACGGGCTTGTATATTGTACGTGACGAGATCATCGAAATTATGTTTGTGGTCATTGATATATGTAGACGGGCTCGTAGATTGTACTAGGCGTGTTCAACAAAATCACTATCCGTCAGAATATTCGATTATTTCACTGAAATTACTCGCAAACTTTCACTGGTTAGTCAGTAATGTCAGTATTGAGGCCATTAGTACACAAAAGGTACATGAGGTTCTAGATTGGAAAGTTGCATGTCAAGTTCTAGAGTGTCACTTCACATGCCGAAGTCAGCCAGGTTGGTATTTTATTTAAGTAGACGGGCTTGTATATTGTACGGGACGAGATCATCAACATTATGTTTGTGGTCATTGATATATATAGACGGGCTCGTAGATTGTACGAGGCTTGTTCAACAAAATCACTCTTTGTCAGAATATTCGATCATTTCACTGAAATTACTTGCAAACTTTTGCTGGTTAGTCAGTAATGTTATTATTGAGGCCTTGAGTGCACAAAAGGTACATGAGGTACTCGATTGGAAGGTTGTCTGTCGAGTTCCAGAGCGTCACTTCACATGCTGAAGTCAGCCAGGTTGATATTTTATTTATGTAGACTGGCTCGTATATTGTATGGGAGGAGATCATTGAAGATATGTTCGTGGTCAATAATATATATAGATGGGCTCGTAGAGTGTACGAGGCGTGGTCAACAAAATCACTATTCTTGCAAACTTTCACTGGTTAGTCAGTAATGTTAGTATTGAGGCCATTAGTACACAAAAGGTACAGGGTGATTCATCATAAATGTCCCCCCTCTAGCTCACTTATTTTTGAACCGTTTTAAAAATTTGAAAGATAATCTAAAATGATTTTTCAGAATTTTTTTTCCCGTTGCATCAGAAAATACAGGGTGCTCGGGACAAACGATCTACAGAGTAGTAATTGATTTTTTTAAATGGAACACCCTGTATTTTATTGTATTTTTAGATTCTTCCTGAAGAGCTGATTTCATGGGGTTTAGCGGGAATGATTACAGAGATATAGGGTGTTTAAAATCGAGATTTTCCAACTTGAGAATTTTTTTGTGCCGAAACTATTCATTATTGGCCAAAACGGCTTCTATGTTCCCATCTCAACTTTTGATTTACTATCTAGTGAAAATTTAATTGGAACATTTACAGGGTGGTTCAAGATTCAGAATTCTGGTCACCCTGTATCTGTTCCAATTATTAAATGTCAGTAGATAGTAAATCAAAAGTTAAGATACGGACATGAAAACCGCGTGATCGATAATGAATAGTTTCGTCACAAAAAAATCCTAAAGTTAAAAATCACGATTTTGAACACTTTCACATATACAAGTTCTATCCAAGTCTGTGCGTGAAAGTTTGCAAAATTCATCGAAGTCATTCTGGTTTACACATTATGGATTCGATTTTGGTTACAATTTCAAACACTAGTATCACTCTATTCACGAAATATATTTTCGAATCAGAATACAGCAATAAGCGACAGACCCAAAGCCAAGCCGGTTTCGAAGAAGGAAGGCAAAAACTTGAGGAAGCAACAACAGCAGCAGCTACAACAGCAACAGGCCATGTTGCAACAGCCGCAATCGCCCGCGCAAGCTTTCCAGGCCAACCTCTACAGCCAACAGTCGCCGCAGATATTCGGCCAGCTGCAGCTGCAACCTCCGCAACAGCTGCAGCCGCAACAGTTCCAGCAGCAAGACGTCAAGACGATAACGCAGCAAGAGATCCTCAATGTTCAAGGTCAGTGTCTTTGGCATGATTTGATTGAGGGTGGGTTAAGCTAGGATAAACTGAAATTGAGATGTTGATTTGTTTTGTTAGGTTTAGACCTGGCATCTATCGATGAAGACACTTTTGTCCTGAAAAACGACAACCACGAAAATCTTTTGACAGCTTCGATTCTGCAACAGTTTCATAGTTCTCCTGCACTCAGGGCTGCTTTTGTTGGATCACCAGTAAGTACCGAATAATCCTGGTAGAATTACATGAAAATTATTCATCACTTTTAATTTTTTTTAGCAAAAAACAAGGTTAGAACTGTACGATCACAATGAGGATGCTAGCAAAGTAACCAAGCTCGAACTGACCGACAAAGACTTTTCTTCTGTCGATGATGTCGTTCAAACTCTCGAATCGTTCAACACCACCGAGATTAGCGAGCAAAGTCTGTCTCAACAGAATTTGCAGGTAATAACTGACTGACATTATACAGTGTGTCCTACTTACCATGCTCACCATGGGTATCTTTTTAACGGTGAGAGATACGAGGTCGGTTAAATGACACCAAATGTGGAGTTTGTCAGGGCCAACTATAATGTGAAAAAATATTTTGATAAAATTTATTCGTTTTTGTTTTATACGCAAAAAACTGATTTTGATCATTTTCATGTCTCCTCCGTAACTTCTTTATTTATGAAAATATTCAAATAGGAATTTCACATTCTCATGGCGGTTTTTCAAAGTGATTTCGAAAAAAATATGAAAGTTATACCAACTCTTCTAGAATTTGAGATATCAGCACCAACTTTGGTTTTTCAAATGTAGGTCATAGCTCACTATGACTTAGTTACAAATAACTTTTTTATCTCTTCCAGATGATATGTCGCAGTAATAGTTTTGTGTTGATAACAACGGAGTTATCGTCATTTATACAAGAACAAAAAATTATTTGGAAGCCGTCATCTTGAAATTATAAATTTTAACAAAAAAATCATGATCTCCGACCTCAAAAACCCCCACTTACCAATTTTGAATGGAATCGGACCAAATCTTGTCCGCCATCTTGGAGCAGGCATTTTTTTCAATTTCAACAAAAATTCCATAACTCGAATTAACTTGAAATTTGACAGGTGTTCATGATTTCGTTGACAATACATTATGGAATTTTTGTTGAAATAAAAAAAAATGGCTGCTCCAAAATGGCGGACAAGATTCCATTCAAAATTGGTAAGTGGGGGTTTTTGAGGTCGGATGTGTCTGTGATGTTGCGGGATCTCGCTTCGCTCGTCCCGCAAAATCCCATCGTTACACAAAACAACGCGTTTCCTAACTGATTACGTAAATATCTATTATGAAGGTTCAGCCGTATCCGAGCGCTCTCGACGAATCGATGATCGCCTCTCTGGCGGCCCAACAAGACCTGCCGACCGCCGCCGCCACCGCCACCGACTTATCGCGCGTCGAGTACTTCGCCGTCCCTTCGAACGGCGGGCAGGTGCCCGTGCACGCCCTGTATCCCTACGACTATCTGGGGGCGGCCGGGTTGCCCAAAGAGCAGCTTTTCCAAGCCGGCTTCCAGGCCGGCTACAGTCTCATGCAGCAACAGTTGGGTGAGTGCAATTAGGACGCAAGCGCTTATTTGTAGGTTAAATGGTCGACGTTTACAACAAATCAGTATCTCAGCCATTTTGGGGGACTTCCTTTTCTTTAAAAATTAATATTTGAAGTACAATAGCGGCAGAAGATCTGTCCGTGTTCCAAAAATTCAGCTCTGTTGGAATACTTTTTTTCACAAAAAAAAAATGGACGTTGAAGTCCAATAGCGGCAAAACTGACAATTTTTGAGGTTGAACTGCTTGTTGATAGCCGTGAAAGCTCCAGCTGCTTGGCATTCACTTTTACTCCAGGTAGTCTTCGAGTGCTGCTCTGTATTGTTCGTGATGAACTTGGCAGTCTTTGAAGGTTTGATTTGAATAGATCCGGCTCGAAGGACCAACATGTTCGATTTTTGATAGACTGTATGTGTTCCGAATTGCAATCCTTCTTTATTCATTGATTTTATTGATGAAACATGTTTCAAAAACACGTCTTGTTATCAACAAGTGAAAATATTATCAAAAAAATGGAACTGACCTATCACGCGTCGAGTACTTTGCCGTCTCTTCTTCGACCGGCGCGCATTCATTTCGGGATAATTTTTTTTTTCAAGAAATAAAATGACGTTTGAAGACCGATAGCAGAAAAACTGTCATCTTTTGAGGTTGTGGCATTTGGATCTTTGACCAGTTTATCAACATACATTTTCGAAAAATTCCAGTAGAAGATCGAAGTACATCAAGAGATATGGTTACCTTTTCTTTCATTTTGCTTTTCAGCTTGTCCTAGCGGCAGCGCCGGCGAAAGTCTCACCACCGCTAGCGTCGTTCCTGCCGCCGTCGGGGCGGTGTCAGGAACGTCCGCCCAACAGTACATTACGCCCCAGCAGCAGCAGCAACAGGTGGTCTGCCCGCAAGGGCAGACGGCCTGCCCGCACGTTGGGCCTGCTGTCGCCCTTCAACAACCTCACCACTGCCAGGTAAATAATGAAATGAAGTGGTTCTTTGCATACTTCTATTCTTCTGTACAGGGTTAATTGAAAGAATTAGAAGATAATTTTGAATGAAAAAATTCTCTTCTGCCCTTTTTTCTCGAATATAAAATACATAGTGTTATACATCATAGGACAATTAAACAAAATTGAAAAACACAAGAGTATCTGTCTTGATATTTAAATTTTTTCAGATGAATAAAATATCCTAGCTCAGGGGAAAAGTTATACTGATACACCAGATGTGGACAATGTACAGGGTGTATTTTGGTACCGGTAGTTTTTTCAATGTGGAAAATTTGATGGGGATTATAATAATATGTTAGAAAAATAACATGAAATCACTATCACAATTTCGAGAAAAACGCATCATCAATAACTAAAGTTTAAGCCATGAAAAGCGGGATTTTGAATTGTTATCAACATTTACAATGAAATAACATGAATAATCAGACAGATTCATATCTGGTATGAGATCAGTCATGCTTTATTAAATCTAAGTTATTGGAATAAACAACAGTTTCAAAAATAACAGTATTAAAACAAAAAGCTCATGAAAAGTACATTATGACATAATGAAATAAATTAGTGAATGAGAAATCATTTACTCAGGTTTGATTTTCTCTTTGCAAGAGGATATGTTTCTTCACTTTAATTTTGAATTGAGTGATATTTGTGCAATTTTTGATATCATCGGGTAATTTATTGAATTTTGAGATAGCTCCGTGAGTGAACTTTTTTTGGCCAAGTGTAGAATTAGCAGCATCAAGATGAACCAAGTCATATTGTCCAGATGATGTTCATGGATTTGAGAATTCCTTACCAATATTATGAAGTTAGATTTGAGGTGTTTGTTGATATCAAAAGATGAGAGTATTTATCAGATAATGCTCTTCCAAAGTAAATGTATTTGTTTCTTTATAAAGTTTATTTGATGGGTTGTCATATGGAATATGATACAGTACTTTTGATGCTTTTTCATATAGTACAGATATTTTGTTAAAAGTATTCTTGGAATATGAAACCCAAATATTCATGAGATAGTTCATTTTACTATTATTCATTTTACATTTATAGAACAGTATTTGCTATATTTGGGTCAAGTTTTGGACATCTTCTTAGGGCACCAACTATGGGAGAATTTTTTTCTTTGAGCATGCCAATATGCTTGTGCCATGTAACTTTTCATGAATCCAAATACCAAGGTATTTGGTATAAGCAGTTTGTTTCAATCTTTCATTTTTTAATCTATTATTCAAATCAATATTTTGTTTATTTCTTCGATGGAAAATCATATTTTGGGTCTTATTAGTATTAAGGGAAAGAAGATTGGAGTATAGCCATTCTTCCATTTTCTTCAAATCCTCATTTATGTTGTTTTCTAAAATTACAGGGTTTTTGTTTTCAAATAATACCCTTCTCCCGAATAGAGGCCTTATTTGTACCCCTCTACATCTAAGGTCAATGGTGAATGAAACTCTGCTAAATACTTAATTGTTCTAACGTACAATCATCACCATTAATAACTATTCATGAAAAGCAGGACTGTACATAATGATACCCTTCAAAAGGCATACGTAATTATTACTTTTGCAAAAAACTCATTTCTTTCAGAAGTGAATTAGGACAAAACAAAGCATTTCCGGACACAAATTTCCATAGATTTTGTTCTGGAAATCGTCTCACGAATACGTCATTCAAATACTTCAACGTCCAATCACGTTACACCCCACCCCGTATACAATCCAATTTTCGGTTTCGTTCCAGATGCCGTGCGCGCAACATCAGCCGCCCACCAACCAGGTGCAAGCGGTGGCCACCCAAACGGCCGCCCAGCAGACCGCCCAAGCATCAGGGGCGGCCGGCGAGGTGGCGAAAAAGTGCGTCGGTGGCGTCGCGGCGCCGAAGATGAACGGCGGCGCCGTGGCGTCCTCCGCCGCCTCCGCTGACGGCATCAAGTTCAAGAAGGGACGCGTGCTGAGGCACCAGACGCAGGCGCAGGGGGGCGGGAGTTTTCCGGCCGCGCAGAATTACCAGATCGATCACAATTCCGGTAAGTTGTCTGGGCGGAAGTTTGTTTTTTGTGTTTTTTTTTTGTTTTTGGGTGAGTTGTGCGAGCGGAAATTCGTTTTTTGAGAGGTTTTGTTTGATGACCGCGCAGAATTACCAGATCGATCACGATTCCGGTAAGTTGTCCGGGCGGAAGTTTGTTTTTTGTGTTTTTTTGTTGTTTTTGGGTGAGTTGTGCGAGCGGAAATTCGATTTTTGAGAGGTTTTGTTTGATGACCGCGCAGAATTACCAGATCGATCACGATTTCGGTAAGTTGTCCGGGCGGAAGTTTGTTTTTTGCGGGAGTTTGTGGGATTTTGTGTAAGAACTGCGCAGTATTACCAGATCTATCACAATTCTGGTAAGTTGTGCGGCGGAAATCCGTTTCTTGAGAGGTTTTGTTCAAGGGCCGCGGAGAATAACCAGATCGATCACAATTTCGGTGAGTTGTCTGGTAGGAAGTTTGTTTTTTGAGGTTTTTTTGCGAGGACCGCGCGGAATTACCAGATCCATCAGAATATGTAAATGATTTTTCTTATATTTTGTGAGGCCTGCACAGAATTACAATATCTATCACAATTCCGGTAAGTTCTCCGGGTGGAAGTTTGTTTTTTGTGTGATTTAGTGGGATTTTGTGGGGTTTTGTGTAAGAACAGCGCAGAATTACCAGATCTATCACAATTCCGGTAAGTTCCCCGGGTGGAAGTTTGTTTTTTGTGTGATTTAGTGGGATTTTGTGGGGTTTTGTGTAAGAACTGCGCAGAATTACCAGATCTATCACAATTCCGGTATGCTGTGCAAGCGGAAATTCGTTTTTTGAGAGGTTTTGTTTGATGACCGCGCAGAATTACCAGATCGATCGATTACAGTTTCGGTAAGTTGTGCGAGCGGAATTTCGTTCTTTGGTAGGTTTTGTGTGAGAACCGCGAAGAATTACCTGATCGATCACAATTCCGGTAAGTTGTGCGAGCGGAAATTCGGTTTTTAAGAGAATTTGTTTGAAGACCCTATATGTAAAAGATTTTTGTTAATATTTTGTGAGGCCTGCGCAGAATTACTAGATTGATCACAATTCCAGTATATGCTGGAAAGAAATTATTTCATCATTTCGTCGACGTATGTACGTCGATAAAAAATCACGATGAAAAAAAAGACAAAGTCGGAATTTTATTTTGTTCTGATTGGATTAATTTTTGAAATTTCATAGACGTATATACATCATAATTGAAATCCTAATTTCATGGTCGTAGTTAATTTTTCTTCCGAGAGGAAGTCGGAATTACGATTTTTTTCGATACCTTCAATCCGACGAAAAGTCCCAGTTGTGACATCAGTGGCATACTCATTTTTTTTTTCTATCAGACATTGAGGTTGTAATTGTGAAACCTCGATCTCAGGAGCGTACCCAATATTACCATGAAGGGGTCAGGAAATGAGAAAAATCCGAAATTTCTTAAAACCACCGAAGAAAAAAAAATTCGTGATTCAAGGGGCGTACCGATTTTTTTCTGAAGGGGTCATGAATCCCGAAAAAAATCCCAAAAATTCGTATTATCCGTTTACTTTCACCATTCCAGCCAATCCACCCAGTACAGCACGTCGCAGTTTTTTTTTCGATATCAAACGACAAAAACTCGTCGTTGTGACCTCAGTAGTGTACCCAGTTCATAAATTGATGACGAAGTCACGTCAGGGGCGTACCCAATATTGTTATAAAGGGGTCAGACAAAATTGAAAGTCCGAAATGTTTTCTGAAATCCTCTAAAAAAGAATACTCAAGAGTTCAGGGGCGTACCGATTTTTTTTCTGAAGGGGTCATGAATACCGAAAAAATCCCAAATATTCGTATTATTCATTGCGAATGTCGCACTTTCATCGTTCCAGCTATTGTTCGGAATGAGACAAAATATATAATACCGACAAAAACTCGTCGTTGTGTGACCTCAGTAGCGTACCCAGTTCATGAATTGACGAAATCACGTCAGGGGCGTACCCAATATTGTTATAAAGGAGTAAAACAAAATTTAAAGTCCGAAATGTTTTCTGAAATCCTCTAAAAAAAGAATACTGAAGAGTTCAGGGGCGTACCGATTTTTTTCTGAAGGGGTCATGAAACCCGAAAAAAATCCCAAATATTCGTATTATCCGTTTATTATCACCATTCCAGCCATCACCCAGTACAGCACGTCGCAGCAGCAACAGCAGCAGCAGCAATGCCCGAACGCCGTCGCGACGCCCTGCATGGACGTCGATTCGGAGACGGAGAGCAACCACGACACGGCGTTGACGTTGGCTTGCGCGGGGGGGCACGAGGAGTTGGTGGAGTTGTTGATAAGCCGCGGGGCGGATATCGAGCACCGCGACAAGAAGGGGTTCACGCCGTTGATTTTGGCCGCCACCGCTGGACACGAGAAGGTTGGTTTCGTTGTTGGCGTTTTTTCTTCTTTTTTTTTTTTTTTTCGATTTGTTTTTTTCGTTGGCGTTTTTTCTTCTTTTTTTTTTTTTTTTCGATTTGTTTTTTTCGGTTTGTTTTTGGATGTATGATGAATTGAAATTTCATCATACTGGACGTGGAAATAAATTCTGAATTAAGTCATTTTATTTTATCCGATTTGAGGGATGATGTCAATTCTCAATTTCAGAGGATTTTCATTTTTCATTCTCTCGTTTTGGATGTTCAACAGATATGAATCAATGTACGCCGTGGCAAATAGCCAGGAAAGTAGTTGTTTTCTGTTGACTATTCAGTTCTGTTCCCATTCTTTTTTCTTAAAGAATACAGTGCTGAAACCAAAAAGACGGAAATCAAAAAATTAAATTTTTCTAACTGGCAAAAATGTAACAAAGGGACTTTGGAACTTTTTCGAAAATTTCGAATCGTCATATCTAGCGAATGGATTGTCCTTTTCAGTTCCGGTTTGTTCTGTTCTTTCTTTTTTCTCGAAGAATACAGTGAAAAACCGGAAATCCGAAAAAAAAATTTTCACTGGAAAAAATGAACAAAGGGGGGACCCTTGGAACTTTTTCGAAAATTTGAAATCGTCATATCTAGCGAATGGATTGTCCTTTCAGCTCCGGTTTGTTCTGTTCTTTCTTTTTTCTCAAAGAATACAGTGAAAAACCGGAAATCCGAAAAAAAAAATTTCACTGGAAAAAATGAACAAAGGGGGGAGACCCTTGGAACTTTTTCGAAAATTTCAAATCGTCATATCTAGCGAATGGATTGTCCTATTCAGCTCCGGTTTGTTCTGTTCTTTCTTTTTTCTCAAAGAATACAGTGAAAAACCGGAAATCCGAAAAAAAAATTTCACTGGAAAAAATGAACAAAGGGGGGAGACCCTTGGAACTTTTTCGAAAATTTCAAATCGTCATATCTAGCGAATGGATTGTCCTTTCAGCTCCGGTTTGTTCTGTTCTTTCTTTTTTCTCAAAGAATACAGTGAAAAACCAGAAATCCGAAAAAAAAATTTTTACTAAAAAAAATGAACAAAGGGGGGGGAACCCTTGGAACTTTTTCGAAAATTTCAAATCGTCATATCTAGCGAATGGATTGTCCTATTCAGCTCCGGTTTGTTCTGTTCTTTCTTTTTTCTCAAAGAATACAGTGAAAAACCGGAAATCCGAAAAAAAAATTTCACTGGAAAAAATGAACAAAGGGGGGACCCTTGGAACTTTTTCGAAAATTTCAAATCGTCATATCTAGCGAATGGATTGTCCTTTCAGCTCCGGTTTGTTCTGTTCTTTCTTTTTTCTCAAAGAATACAGTGAAAAACCGGAAATCCGAAAAAAAAAATTTCACTGGAAAAAATGAACAAAGGGGGCCCTTGGAACTTTCTCGAAAATTTCAAATCGTCATATCTAGCGAATGGATTGTCCTATTCAGCTCCGGTTTGTTCTGTTCTTTCTTTTTTCTCAAAGAATACAGTGAAAACCCGGAAATCCGAAAAAAAAAATTTCACTGGAAAAAATGAACAAAGGGGGCCCTTGGAACTTTCTCGAAAATTTCAAATCGTCATATCTAGAGAATGGATTGTCCTATTCAGCTCCGGTTTGTTCTGTTCTTTCTTTTTCCTCAAAGAATACAGTGAAAACCGGAAATCCGAAAACAAAAATTTTCACTGGAAAAAATGAACAAAGGGGGGACCCTTGGAACTTTTTCGAAAATTTCAAATCGTCATATCCAGAGAATGGATTGTCCTATTCAGCTCCGGTTTGTTCTGTTCTTTCTTTTTCCTCAAAGAATACAGTGAAAACCGGAAATCCGAAAAAAAAAATTTCACTGGAAAAAATGAACAAAGGGGGGACCCTTGGAACTTTTTCGAAAATTTCAAATCGTCATATCTAGCGAATGGATTGTCCTTTCAGCTCCGGTTTGTTCTGTTCTTTCTTTTTTCTCAAAGAATACAGTGAAAAACCGGAAATCCGAAAAAAAAAAATTTCACTGGAAAAAATGAACAAAGGGGGGACCCTTGGAACTTTTTCGAAAATTTCAAATCGTCATATCTAGCGAATGGATTGTCCTTTCAGCTCCGGTTTGTTCTGTTCTTTCTTTTTTCTCGAAGAATACAGTGAAAAACCGGAAATCCGAAAAAAAAATTTTTACTGAAAAAAATGAACAAAGGGGGGACCCTTGGAACTTTTTCGAAAATTTCAAATCGTCATATCTAGCGAATGGATTGTCCTTTCAGCTCCGGTTTGTTCTGTTCTTTCTTTTTTCTCAAAGAATACAGTGAAAAACCAGAAATCCGAAAAAAAAATTTTTACTGAAAAAAATGAACAAAGGGGGGGGAACCCTTGGAACTTTTTCGAAAATTTCAAATCGTCATATCTAGCGAATGGATTGTCCTATTCAGCTCCGGTTTGTTCTGTTCTTTCTTTTTTCTCAAAGAATACAGTGAAAAACCGGAAATCCGAAAAAAAAAATTTCACTGGAAAAAATGAACAAAGGGGGCCCTTGGAACTTTCTCGAAAATTTCAAATCGTCATATCTAGCGAATGGATTGTCCTTTCAGCTCCGGTTTGTTCTGTTCTTTCTTTTTTCTCAAAGAATACAGTGAAAACCCGGAAATCCGAAAAAAAAAATTTTCACTGGAAAAAATGAACAAAGGGACCCTTGGAACTTTTTCGAAAATTTCAAATCGTCATATCTAGTGAACGGATTGTCCGATTCAGCTCCGGTTTGTTCTGTTCTTTCTTTTTCCTCAAAGAATACAGTGAAAACCGGAAATCCGAAAACAAAAATTTTCACTGGAAAAAATGAACAAAGGGGGGACCCTTGGAACTTTTTCGAAAATTTCAAATCGTCATATCCAGAGAATGGATTGTCCTATTCAGCTCCGGTTTGTTCTGTTCTTTCTTTTTCCTCAAAGAATACAGTGAAAACCGGAAATCCGAAAAAAAAAATTTCACTGGAAAAAATGAACAAAGGGGGGACCCTTGGAACTTTTTCGAAAATTTCAAATCGTCATATCTAGCGAATGGATTGTCCTATTCAGCTCCGGTTTGTTCTGTTCTTTCTTTTTTCTCGAAGAATACAGTGAAAAACCGGAAATCCGAAAAAAAAAATTTTACTGAAAAAAATGAACAAAGGGGGGACCCTTGGAACTTTTTCGAAAATTTCAAATCGTCATATCTAGCGAATGGATTGTCCTTTCAGCTCCGGTTTGTTCTGTTCTTTCTTTTTTCTCAAAGAATACAGTGAAAAACCGGAAATCCGAAAAAAAAAATTTCACTGGAAAAAATGAACAAAGGGGGGACCCTTGGAACTTTTTCGAAAATTTCAAATCGTCATATCTAGCGAATGGATTGTCCTTTCAGCTCCGGTTTGTTCTGTTCTTTCTTTTTTCTCAAAGAATACAGTGAAAAACCGGAAATCCGAAAAAAAAATTTTTACTGAAAAAAATGAACAAAGGGGGGACCCTTGGAACTTTTTCGAAAATTTCAAATCGTCATATCTAGCGAATGGATTGTCCTTTCAGCTCCGGTTTGTTCTGTTCTTTCTTTTTTCTCAAAGAATACAGTGAAAAACCAGAAATCCGAAAAAAAAATTTTTACTGAAAAAAATGAACAAAGGGGGGGGAACCCTTGGAACTTTTTCGAAAATTTCAAATCGTCATATCTAGCGAATGGATTGTCCTATTCAGCTCCGGTTTGTTCTGTTCTTTCTTTTTTCTCAAAGAATACAGTGAAAAACCGGAAATCCGAAAAAAAAAATTTCACTGGAAAAAATGAACAAAGGGGGCCCTTGGAACTTTCTCGAAAATTTCAAATCGTCATATCTAGCGAATGGATTGTCCTTTCAGCTCCGGTTTGTTCTGTTCTTTCTTTTTTCTCAAAGAATACAGTGAAAACCCGGAAATCCGAAAAAAAAAATTTCACTGGAAAAAATGAACAAAGGGGGACCCTTGGAACTTTTTCGAAAATTTCAAATCGTCATATCTAGCGAATGGATTGTCCTTTCAGCTCCGGTTTGTTCTGTTCTTTCTTTTTTCTCAAAGAATACAGTGAAAACCGGAAATCCGAAAACAAAAATTTTCACTGGAAAAAATGAACAAAGGGGGGACCCTTGGAACTTTTTCGAAAATTTCAAATCGTCATATCTAGCGAATGGATTGTCCTTTCAGCTCCGGTTTGTTCTGTTCTTTCTTTTTTCTCAAAGAATACAGTGAAAACCGGAAATCCGAAAACAAAAATTTTCACTGGAAAAAATGAACAAAGGGGGACCCTTGGAACTTTTTCGAAAATTTCAAATCGTCATATCTAGCGAATGGATTGTCCTTTCAGCTCCGGTTTGTTCTGTTCTTTCTTTTTTCTCAAAGAATACAGTGAAAACCGGAAATCCGAAAACAAAAATTTTCACTGGAAAAAATGAACAAAGGGGGGACCCTTGGAACTTTTTCGAAAATTTCAAATCGTCATATCTAGCGAATGGATTGTCCTTTCAGCTCCGGTTTGTTCTGTTCTTTCTTTTTTCTCAAAGAATACAGTGAAAAACCGGAAATCCGAAAAAAAAATTTTTACTGAAAAAAATGAACAAAGGAATGGATTGTCCTTTCAGCTCCGGTTTGTTCTGTTCTTTCTTTTTTCTCAAAGAATACAGTGAAAAACCGGAAATCCGAAAAAAAAAATTTTCACTGGAAAAAATGAACATTTTTCGAAAATTTCAAAACGTCATATCTAGCGAACGGCTTCGTTTTTCAATTTGGAAAACTGAATACCAACGAAACTTTGTATTTTTTTCAAGCAGAAAGTAACTTCAAAATGAAATTTGGCATGAATTAATGAGACCTATGTATTCCACTGAATATTTGATTTTTTTTATTTTGAAGGTTGTCGAAATTTTGCTGAACCACAACGCCGACATCGAGGCTCAGTCTGAGCGCACCAAGGACACGCCGCTGAGCTTGGCATGTTCAGGTGGGCGGTACGAGGTCGTCGAACTACTACTCAACAGGTACCAAATTTAAATCATCTCAGAAATGTTCACACCTTGAATATTTGTTGCCTTTGTCGCAACTTTCCACTAGTATTTTAAAAAGTAATGAAATTCTTTCACTTCAAACATTAAATCTGTTGCACTTTGAAAATTTGTTGTTTTGTAAATTGCATGCCTTGAAAGATGAAATTGTCTTGAAAATTTAAGACAAAAAACATTTCACACCTAAAAAATTTCACACCTTCAAAATTTCACACATTCGAACATTACACTTCACAAATTACACATTTTTGCACACATCGAAAATTTCACAGCTCAAAACATCGAAAAATTCTCGTTTACGTTCAGAAATGCCCAACAACGAGCACAGGAACTTCTCCGACCCCTCCCCCTTTGACCTTGGCAGCCTCTGGCGGCTGCATCAACATATTGTATCACACCTTCAAAATTTCACACCTTGATAAATTTACACATCAAAAAATTTACACATCAAAAAATTCACACATCAAGAAATTCACTCATAAAAATATCACACGTTGAAATTTCACATCCTAAAATTTGACACATCAACAAATTTCACACATCAAAAAATTCTCGTCTCAAAATTTACCCATTTTCACCGATTTCAAATGCCTGTAATATATTATACCTCAACAATAAGGCCCTTAAAAAATTCCAAACCTCAACAGTTTCAAACCTCAAAAATTTTAAACCTGGAAAAAATATCACACCATCAAAATTTCACACATCAAAATTTTCACACCTTGAAAATTCACACATCAAATATTTTACACTTGAAAAAAATTCGCACATCACAAATATCATACTTTAAAAAAATCACGCATCAAAAAATCCAGGCATCAAAGAATTCACACATCGAAAGATCACACGTCGAAATTTCACACCCTAAAATTTGACACATCAAAAAATTTCACACATCAAACAACGCTCGTTTGAAATTTTCTCTCTTCAATAAACTTATACTCTTTTCTTTTTTGATCCGATTTAACATACTAAATATTTGCATTGAAAATTTGACTCCTCGAAAATTTTAAACTTCAAAAATTTCATCATATCCTAAAAATGTGACACCTTCAAAATTTCACACATAAAATTTTCACACATAGGAATTTCACACCTCAAAAATTCTCGTTTTCGTTCAGAAATGCCTTCAAAAAATTTCACACATGGAAATTGCACACATCAAAATTTCACGCATCAAATTTTCACACTTGAATAATTCACACATCAAAAATCATGCCTTAGAAAATTCACGCATCAAAAAATTTCACACATAAAATTTTCACACTCGAAAATTTCACACTTCAAAAACTTATTTTCGTTCAGATATGCCAACAAAAAAATTCACACATGGAAATTTCACACATCAAAATTTCACGCAACGAAATTTCACACATCAAAATTTTACACATCGAAATTTCACACATCAAAATTTCACACATCAAATTTTCACACTTGAATAATTCACACATCAAAAATTTCATGCTTTAGAAAATTCACGCATTAAAAAATTTCACACATCAAATTTTCACACTTGAAAATTTCACACTTCAAAAATTCTCGTTTTCGTTCAGAAATGCCAACAAAGAGCACAGGAACGTCTCCGACTACACGCCATTGAGCTTGGCGGCCTCCGGCGGCTACGTCAACATCATCAAACTCCTTTTAAGCCAAGTTTCAAACCTCAAATACATCACACCTTCGAAATTTCACACATCAAAAATTTCACACCCTAAAGAATTCACATATCGAAAATTTTACACCTCGAAAAATTCACACATCAAAAATTTCATGCCTTAGAAAATTCACGCATCAAAAAATTTCACACATCAAATTTTCACACATCAAAATTTCACACATCAAATTTTCACACATCAAAATTTCACACATCAAATTTTCACACATCAAATTTTCACACATCAAATTTTCTCACTTCAAAATTTCACACTTCAAAATTTCACACTTCAAAATTTCACACTTCAAAATTTCACACTTCAAAATTTCACACTTCAAAATTTCACACTTCAAAATTTCACACTTCAAAATTTCACACTTAAAAATTTCACACATCGAAAATTCTCGTTTTCGTTCAGAAATGCCAACAAAGAGCACAGGAACGTCTCCGACTACACCCCATTGAGCTTGGCGGCCTCCGGCGGCTACGTCAACATCATCAAACTCCTTTTAAGCCATGGCGCCGAAATAAATTCGCGCACCGGCAGCAAATTGGGCATTTCTCCTTTGATGCTCGCTGCGATGAACGGTCACACGGCCGCCGTCAAATTGCTGTTGGACATGGGCAGCGACATAAATGCGCAAATCGAGACCAATCGGAATACGGCGCTGACTTTGGCCTGCTTCCAGGGCAGGCACGAGGTGGTCAGTTTGTTGTTGGATAGGAAGGCGAATGTGGAACATCGGGCGAAGGTGAGAAGAACAGATCGATCTTATTTTTTATTTTTTCAGGAAGTCATTTTAATTATTGGGAAGGTTTTCCAGCTGTCATCTTTTTGGTATTCGCTTTTTCAATAATTAAGACGTGTTTATTAATATCTCACCAATTTAAACCACTTTCATCATTTTCTACGATTTCAAAAAGTTTCTTGAATATGTTCAATGATGTTTCCGAAATTGGGACGATGAATAAAAAAATAGTAAACGAAAAAACAAAATAAAATTATTAAAGTACCGTCGTGGTCGCCATTTGGCGATACGTCGAATAAATGGTGACGTCAGTTTTTATGCTGTTCCATTATTGGTCAGATAATCTTCCATTTCCAATCATGAAGCAAGGTTGTCAAGTCACCAATTATAATTAAGTCATCAAATAGATGTTAGAGTGAAGTAGTTGAATAATACATAATAGGAGGAAATCATGATATTATAGTTCATTCGTGACTTTTTCGAGCAACCAGCATGTCTAAATATTTCTTATACTCTTTAACAAAATATCATGTAAATGTTGGAGACTTGGCAACATTGTACTGACTACTGAAAACTGACAAGACCCGTTACCACCGATACAACAAGGCCTGCATGCTCCGTGGGTGACGTCACTTAGTGAGGCCTAACCAGCGGCTTGAAACGAGGCAAATGACCGTTTTCAGAAAGACATTTGAGAATGAGATTTATGAACATTCAAGAAAAGTTCCTCGAATTCAGAGATGATTTTGTTGACTATAATATACGAATACAAAACTAACTGCACAATCAAAGCTTTTCTATTTTTCCTCTACTTATACTTTTTATGAGAGAGTAATTGTCTTCTATTATAAATTCATCATTATAAATTAAGCTCTGTTTACTACTGAACTTAGATGGAGTAAAATCCTCGCGGTGAATTGCATATACTTACCCACATTTTCGATAGCTCCTCGTCCAACGGGAAACTAAAAGCATGAACTTTTGAACCACCCACATAATTCCCCCGACAAATGGGAACACAACACTTGAAAGGCATTGTTATTTCGCCGATCACAACACAAAATATTTCACAAGACAGTAATTTTTCCGCCAATTATTTTGATGAATAAACAACAAAAGAATTCGGGAACGTTTCACATACGTGAATGACCGATGAATTAACACGAACTGACGCGTTAGTCGACAAGCGATCAAATAAATCACTGGCCTCTCTTGGTGACGTCACGAGCTGTTTACGTCAAAGTCTGCTGGCCTTGTTGTATCGGTGGTAACGCAAGACCACGCCCACAAGCGGTTGGCCGTGTTATCACGTTCACCGATTCAAATGTCCTCTTGTGTGAATTAATATAATTGTTTTTTATACAAATGTGTTATCAGCAATAAGTCACAACACATAAGGGAACAATTTGAGACAATTGATTTTTTATTGCTGATTAGAAATATCACCAATACATAATTGAGAATTTATGGACTAATGAATTACTAATATTTCTGAAGTTCCCCATCGTATTTGGACATATGGCAACTGTGCTATGGTCTGCCCCTACTTACTAAATCGTGACGTCAGTTTTTACTCGCGGTAAATTTCCAGCCGTTTAAAAATTATCGTGGTATTATTGAAGATTTTGGCACCTTAAAATCGACCGAAAAGCTCTGAAAAATTATGAAATTGAATGGTATTTGAGTGGTGATTCTAATCAACAAATTAAAAAAAATTAGTCCACTCACCTATTGCCTAAATCAAGCGTTTGCTTTCTTCAAGGTCAGAGGCAGCCAAAGTATCAATGATTTTTGCAATGTTGCCGGAAGTTTAATAATAGTTGCAAGAAATTTTCAGAAGCCTTATTTCACTGTGATTTATTGTATCCTTATTTCCATTTGTCTCACATAACAGCCTATCTTATTCAATATACAGGGTCGCCCACGGTCGATGGTACCTTAGACGTATACGGAAAACGGTACATTGGATTATCCTGAAAATTTGGTTATTCTGATAAGTGTTTGTGATCTAACGATTCAAAATATTTTCAGCGAAACAGCGTTGCCACTTTTACCAAAAAGTAGCATCATCTTTGTTATTTCAAATGGAACACCCTGTATTTCATTGCGTTTTCATATTCTTCTCGAAGAGCTGATTTCATCAATGCATCACACTTGGGGTCTAGCAGGAATTATTACAGAGATATAGGGTGTTCAAAATCGAGATTTTTCAACTTTAGGATTTTTTTGTGTCGAAACTATTCATCATTGGTCAGAACGGCTTACATGTCCCTATATCAACTTTTGATTAACTATCTACCGACATTTAATTGGAAAAAATACAGGATGGTCCGAGATTCAAAATTTTGATCACCCTGTATCTGTTCCAATTAAATGTCAGTAGATAGTGAATCAAAAGTTGAGATAGGGACATGTAAGCCGTTTTGATCGATAATGAATAGTTTCGACACAAAAAATTCCTGTAATTGAAAAATCTCGATTTTGAACACCCTATATCTCTGTAATAATTCCTGCTAGACCCCAAGTGATGAAATCAGCTCTTCAAGAAGAATCTAAAAACGCAATGAAATCCAGGGTGTTCCATTTGAAATAACGAAGATGATGCTACTTTTTGGTAAAAGTGGCAACGCTGCATCGCTGAAAATATTTTTAATTGTTAGATCACAAACGCTTATTAGAGTAACCAAATTTTCAGGATAATCCAATGTACCGTTTTCCGTATACGTCTAAGGTACCATCGACCGTGGGCCACCCTGTATATTGTCGAATTCTGTACTGGAAATTTTGTAGCTTTGTAAATATTTCTGTTTCAGAGAATTTTCCAACTTGAAAGTATCAAGTATTGAATCATTGCTCACTAGAAATCATTAATGTTTTCGTGTCATCCGGGAAATCTTCATAAAAAAGGTTTCCTTGTGAAAAATGTTGCAATTGAGATTTTGCCTTTGTTTTAAAAAAAATTCATCTGAAAAATTTTCTATTTCATTTTGAATTGTCAAATTTTCGTCAATTTTGAAAAATCACCTGTAGATTGTTTTTGTATGTATGGAAAATTTTTTCTCCCATAAAAACATCTATTCAGAAATGTTTCCGGGCGTAAATGAAGTTTTTCTGCAACCGACACAAAAGTCGTCCATTTTGATACTAAAATTAGCTCTTAAATTGACGTTTCTATTACTGACACAAAAATAGGTATGTTGCTAGGCAACATATTTAGTTCCTAGGAGCTAAAGTTGAATTTTAGTTCCTAGGAGCTAAAGTTGAACTTTAGCTCCTAGGAACTAAAAAGGATCTACTGGACGTCTTCAAGAATAAACAACATTGTGACGGTTGGTTATTTGGGTTGAGACGCATACCTGATTTGTTTCCTTTTTCAGCAGATTTGGCATTTCATACCCATGCTGGAGATATAAATACACCTTATTATAGTTTAGTATTGAAATTATAAATATCTCAGTTGAGTATTTTTGTTTTGATCAGGGAAGCCTTCAAGATTCAAATACTTGCTTGATATGTATTTCATTCCTTATTCTCGGGATGGATAACTTGTTTTTGAATAATCACGGCAAGCAATAGTTTTTTTGTCTCAAACAACGATATTGTTTAGCTTCATTTGATTATCAAGTCAAACACAGTGTAGTATGGAGAGGAATAAATAATCACTATTATCATTGTTGATATGCTCACTAACTTAACATTTTCCACGTATTGTTCCTGGTGCGGTATTTGCCATTAGAGCACCTGGTCCATACACAAATATGTCACTTTGTGGTTGTATTTATATTGAAACTACAATTCGAACATTCTAGAAAACCTAACCTGCTGTTAATGCAGGTAGAATATTCTCACCACACGGATTATTTGTCAATATTTGTTGCATTGCATATACATATGGCATTAGTGGTTACTTCACATATTTATTTGAGTTAATTGTTTCGGTTGCAGAAAAAATAGCATGTTTCATTCGGATCAGAAGTGACTTTGTTCGACTCGCATATTTTGCTTTCGCTCGGCTTCGCTAAACGCTCCGCCTCGCAAATGCAAAATTCGCTCGTCAAACAAAGTGTCACTTTTGATCCTAATAAAACAATATACTATTGTAGGGTTCAAAAACTGTGACAAAAAATAATCTAATGATATTTTCGTTTCATTTGGTCAATTTCTTTATACATAACATTAACGACTTCCGTCTATTTTGGGTTCTATTTTATTTTGGCAATTCTGATTTCTTGAATTGCATGAAAATTCTCCTACTTTAAAATTATAAAACTCGCAATTTCGAAAACTCTTCCATTTACGAAATTTCCACCATTCAGAAAAAAAGTACCTACACTTTTTTTGTGTTTATCATATTTTTTCTTCTTTACGTGTGCAGACCGGCCTGACGCCGCTCATGGAGGCGGCGAGCGGCGGCTACGTGGACGTCGGTCGCGTCCTCTTGGACAAGGGCGCCGACGTGAACGCGACGCCGGTGCCGTCGTCACGTGACACGGCCCTCACCATCGCCGCCGACAAGGGTCACGTGCGCTTCGTCGAGCTGCTGCTCTGTCGGGGGGCGCAAGTCGAGGTGAAGAACAAGAAGGGCAATTCGCCCTTGTGGTTGGCCGCCAACGGCGGTCATCTGCCGGTGGTCGAATTGTTGTACAACGTGAATGCCGACATCGATTCGCAGGATAATCGGAAGGTACTTTTTTTTCAGAGGATTTTCGCATTTTTTCTGTTTTTCACCCCTTTAAAAAAAATTTGCACCCCACTGGAGTCGTTATTTTCGTGTTTATCTGGATGGTATCGAATTTATTGAGCAGTTCGAGCATTTTTTCTCTTTAGACCCCTTGAAAATATAATTGGCACGCCACTGGAGTCAAGATTTCCATTTGTATGTGGATGGTAACAAATAAATTGTGAAATTCTAGTATTTTCCATTTTTGCCCCCCTTGAAAAAATAATTGGTACGCCACTGGAGTTGTGGTTTTCATTGTTATTCGGATGGTAACGAATAAATTGTAAAATTCTAGCATTTTTCATTTTTGACCCCCTTGAAAAAATAATTTGTACGCCACTGGAGTTGCGGTTTTCATCGTTATTCGGATGGTAACGAATAAATTGTAAAATTCTAGCATTTTTCATTTTTTACCCCCTTGAAAAATAATTGGAACGCCACTGGAGTTGTGGTTTTCATCGTTATTCGGATGGTAACGAATAAATTGTAAAATTCTAGTATTTTTCATTATTGATCCCGTTGAAAAAATAATTGGCACGCTACTGGAGTTGCGGTTTTCATCGTTATTTGGATGGTAACGAATAAATTGTAAAATTCTAGCATTTTTAATTTTTGACCTCCTTGAAAAAATAATTGATGCGCCACTGGAGTCAACATTTTAGTTTTCGTGGCTAAGGAGGAAATTCGACGTTACTTTTATTTTTGACCCTTAGAAAAAAATTGCACGCCAGTGCCATGAAATCGACTTTTATATTTTTTATTTTGATTCGCAGGATAATCGGCAGGTACTTTTTTCGATTTTTTCAAAAAGATTTTCGCATTTTTTATTGTTAACCCCTTTCAAAAAAAAAAATGTGCACGTCACTGGGGGTCGTGATTTTCATGTTTATTTTATGGTATCGAATGAATTGAACAATTTTAGCCTCTTTTCTTGTTTGACTCTCTTGAAATAAAATAAATTGTAAAATTCTAGCATTTTCCATTTTTGCCCCCCTTGAAAAAATAATTGGCACGCCACTGGAGTCAACAGTTTGATTTTCATTATTATTGTTTAGGAAAAGATCCATGAAACCGACATTTTTCTTAGCTTTGACCCCTGCAAAAAATATTTGCAGATTTTACGCCACTGATGTTGGGATAACCGGAAGGTTGTTGGGAATTTAGGAAGGATTGTGGTACTTTTTTCAATTTTGACCCCTTTCGAGTCGGATAAATTGAGATTCTCACATTTTTCACTTTTAACCCCCTTGAAAAAAATGTGCACGCCACTGGAGTCGCGATTTCAATTTTTATTCAGTTTTGAAAAGAAATAAGGAAACCGACTTTTTTTTTTCAATTCTGATCCCCTGAGGAAAATATCTGGCACGCCCGTGGTATTGAATGTTAAATCAATCCTCGAAATTTCATATTTCTGACCCATTTTATTTTTGACTCGGTAATTTAATTATTTGTACGCGACTGTAGTTCTTTTTTTTCTTCACTGTCAAATTTACACCCTTTAAAAAAGAATTGGGCACGTCACTGGACCGACTAGTTGTTGTACAACGTGAATGCCGATATCGATTCACAGGATAATCGGAAGGTTGAAATAACCCGAAGTTTTTCTCAGTATTGACCCTCTTAGAAAAAAAATTCGCACGCCAGTGGCATTATATTTTTCATTTTTCAACGTTGTTGAGAAATTTCAAGTGTCATATACCTATTTTATTTTCGACCTTATAAAGATGGTACGTCGGGATTTTCCTCTTATCTTTACTGTGTTTCAATAAATCGTCATTATATTCTATATTTAGGCCCTTTAAAAAAAATAGGGCACGCCGCTGGAGTCACGACATGATTTTTTTTCTAGGTGGTGTAAGCCAAATTTTATTGTTCCGAAATTATTCATTTCAGATCCCGTTCCAAAAGTTGATCACGCCACTGGAGTCGCTATATTTCATTTTCTACTACTTCAGAAATAAAATCAGCACGCCACTGGTGATATTAATTTATCTTCAAATGGTCCCGCACAAATCTCACGATTCTGATTCATTTTGACCACCATATAAAAATTGGCACACCACTGGAGTTACGATTTATATTTTCATTCGGATGGTATTGGATGAATTATTGAAAGATTCTCACATTTTTCAATTTCAACACATTAGAAAATTTTTGTGTCGCTCACCTTAGAAAAATAATTTGACACGCCAGTGGCGTTGTATCTTTCATTTTTCACCGATGATGCCGAAGAAATCACAAGTCAATTGCGGCCCTTGCTCATCAGAAAAAAAGTATTTCGACTTGTGAGATATTCTTTATCAAGATAACAACAAAGGTCTTATAACATTGTGAAATTCTGAACAATTCAGACAAAAAAAAAATCGGTACGCCTCTGAGCTGAACGCGATCAACTGCTCTCTTCCAGGTGTCATGTCTGATGGCGGCCTTCCGCAAAGGTCACGTTAAAGTGGTCAAATGGATGGTGCACCACGTGACCCAATTCCCCAGCGATCAGGAAATGATGCGCTACATAGCGACAGTCAGCGACAAAGAGCTATTGGAAAAATGCCACGAATGTGTCAAGGTACGTCAAATATTTCACTCATTTTCAGTTATGCTAAATATTTCTATTGTTACGATAAACTCTTGGGTTCGGTTTTCGGGTTCGGTTTTCCACAAACACTCAGTATGAAACTCGAAGCGATTTATTCAAACACAAACACTACAATCTACAATACACGATGCATAATCACAATAATCACATAATTTTTTAATATGGCTCGAAAAACACCTTTAACTGATTTATCATTTTGCTCTTGCTCTCTAACTAATACACTCCTATCGGGCTAGTTGTGGCAATGGGGAAGTTTCCTTTAGGTGAATTTTCATGAAATAAGTTCGGAACTCTCCAGTTTCATGTCCACGCTGTACAGAATGGCGCCCGATGAAGTCCAAGTCGTTTTTATTTTCAAATTGAAGCAATTTCTAATTTTCGGGGCAGCAAACTGTGACGTAAATTCTGAATCTAGTCTGAAAATAACTTATGGTGAAGAATCATAGTGGAAGGAGAAGATGGTGTGCTCAACAGAAAGCTCAAACTCGCCTTGTTCTGCGCATGACGTCAGCTGGGATATAACTGTCATTATTGTTATTATTTGTTTCCGTAATTGATGTCTGGAACTTCAGATATTATATAAGTACTAAAATTGAATGAAATAATTTCGAAATGCTCACTTGTTTCGTTTCTGGTTATGGAAATTCCAACTAACATACAAAAGGCACAGATATTGATTTTTTCTGCTTTTCCAAGAATGGAGGGAGACCCAATGAAACGATGGGAGCTTGCTACCGACAGAATATAAACTCAAATTATGGTACATATCTTTGATTCCTTATATCCCCATTTCAAAGTAAACACCTATCATAATATCATCACATTCACATTTCTTCAAAACATTTCCATGCAAAATGTTTCCAAACAAGTGCGAAAGTACGGTTCTTGAATTACGCACCTTCAAAAAATCACAAATATTTGAAACAAGATGCCATTCCTACAGAACATCTTCCGAATATCAAGTCAGAAATAATTGAAAATGAATTCAGAACTCCTAATTTCTCACAAAATATAAATTGAAGCAAAGATTTGAATAACAAAACGGCAAAAATTGATACTCCTGTTGTCGATGTCGGAGCAGAAGCAACGTCAACGTCGTCAACTGCTGAATTTTGATCTGTCAGAATCGACACAGTACTGGATCATTCAGATGGAATTGGCAATTTGCTATTTGCGATTGCGAATTACCTCAAGATCACAATTTCCAGAATCAATGAAATAGTAAAATCGAAGTAATAGGTACCTGTTTATATAAATTGAATTATTTCTAAAGAGATCGAGAAACTTATAGAAATTTCAATGGACATGATTGAATTCATTGCGCACGCCCATGGCAACAGTATCTGTCTGTGACTAGCAGCTGATATTGGTATCCCAGATGACGTCACATAATATGCGCGTAGGCACACCATCTTCTCCTTCCACTATGGTGAAGAATGTAGCTAGAGAATTGCTAACGAATGAAAAAAGTAGCAGAAAAAGTAAAACAGGTAAACAAAAACATACATAACCACAAATGCACTCGGAGCAGGGATGCAGAGGGTAGCTGGCTTCATTCTGACAGGTTATGGTTTTGTTATTTATGCATTGAAATTTCTTGAATAGAGCTCGATCCTAAACGAAAATATCATTGAATCAATGAATCACTATCGGCTACATTCAATGATACTATCCTTCCTGATTTACTGTCATCGGTCAGAATAGAATGAAGCCGACACCCATGGCTCCTTCCTCTTGTTGTGTCTGTCAGTATTTTGAGTGGTGTGGACGGACTTGAAGTATTTGGCGCTGTTGCAAGGTATAATCTGCAACTTTCCTAGAAAATAGATCCGTTTTATTAAGTAACGAATCCATTAGTAAAAAAATGACTGACAAGTTATGAATAACATATTGTGATATAACGATAGTGGAAAATCATAGATACTATCGCGAAATATCATAATTTATTCCCCTATAACTTTATTATTTTAGACAGTAGAAAAAAATTAAAAAACAGCCTTACAGGGGATTTTTTTTTCTCATCGAATCAACTGATATATTTTCAGTATCTCAGAGATAGAACTTTCGAAGAGTTTTCCGAAAATACCCCACTCAATACATTTATCTTCAGTATTTCTCATAATATGGACAGTCCAACCTAAAAAAAAGTGTTTATCGATCCTCATATAATTTTTGAGAGTATGCTGTGACAATGAATCTAGGTAATTAATATCGTTATGATATTCAATACTCATTGTCAGTAAGTAATCACTCAAAGTCAAAATTGTAATATTGATTTAATTTCCGGAAATTAAAATTTTCTATTATCATTCAATCTATTCAACATCAAGTTGCAAAAAGAAAACGCAATTCATAGCCACGTCTTGCAGCGGATGCGTTTCGATTATTTTTTATGAATAAAGTTACTATTTCTTGTTTGTCTTCATTTGAATAAACCATGATTCAAGAATTGATTATGGAGGATATTAACAAGAAATGACGAAGGAATTTATCTTATTTTTCCAGTTACTCATGGTTACCTCATGGCATACTATCTGCAATCATAGAACAGTTGTTATTCATTCAGAAATCGATAGAAACGAATTTCAGGTTCAAACGTCTATATTATGAGAAATACTGAAGATAAGTGTATTGAGTGATGTATTTTCGGAAAGCTCTTCGAAAGGTCTATTTGATAAATGTGAAAACTTCACAAACGATAAGATTTCCACAAAAATTTTTTAAACACACGACATGTTTCGCTAACACAGTAGCTTCGTCAGGTGATATACTGGTACATGGAACTAAACTAACGTTGGCTTGCTTAACTTTTATATATCTTACCTTCCCAACCTGAAGGATTAGTTACCTGTGGACAGGTACGACAAACCTCCATTTTCGGAAATTAGGCACAATATCTACATTAAATTACGGTATACCGGATTAACTTGAAAACTTTTTGTGGAAAAATTTTGTGGAAATCTTATCGTTTGTGAAGTTTTTATATTTATCATGGATTTCCATCACGTAACGGCCGAGTCAATTCAAAATTTGAAGGTCTATTTGATGGCGCGAAAATATATAGGGCGTTCCATTTGAAATTTTTGCACTTTTTCTTGCTCCCTGTATATCTTCTGAGATACTAAAAATATATCAGTTGATTCGATGAGGTAAAAAATCCCCTGTATGACAATTTTTTTCTACTGTCAAAAATAATGAAGTTATAGAGAGTGGTACTCTATAACGTGTCACCCTGTACATGATTGTCTCATGAACTCGCAAAAGCTCTCTCATCATTTGTTCACGGCTCTCTGTGAATTCCCTTTGTGTGTGTCAAGGTCATAAGGGCGGCAAAGGAAACCCAAGCCGCAAAGGCCAACAAGAACGCCTCCATTCTATTGGAGGAGCTGGAATCGGAGAAGACTCGCGAGGAATCGAAGCGACTGGCGGCGGCCAGAAGGCGGGAGCGCAAAAAGAAGAAGAAACTGGAGAAGAAGGAGGAGAGAAGGAAACTGTTGGAGGAGAACAAGAAGAACGAGAATTACGACGAGAAGTCCGATAAGCAGCAGCAGAGCTTAGATGAGGAGAAGGCGGACGAAGAAGGTGAGGTTTTTTTTGTTGATGCTTTTTTTTTCAGATTGCAACTCCATTAAAAAGTTGCAAATATAATCTTTCATTCTTGCACTAATTTGATGAATGTTTGGGAAACTGTTCAAGAAACAATTTCAATAAATTATACAAGTTCACATATTCAGCACATTATTATGTTACAGTCTAAGGAATATTCTCATGATATCAGATTTTTTCTACTTCTCCTAATTAACGAGAAATATCATCCCAAAAATTTAAAAAATACGAGAAAAAAATCAAGTACACCACTTTGAAACAATTTGAATGATTGAACTCCGTGTGATTGTGCCTACTGCATGGAAATTTGAACAAAGGTGACGTCAGATTTGCTACAGAGTAGAAATTTAGGTGGAAAAAGGGGTCTTGCCTCAAATTTTATTTTGATCCTCAAATTTTTTATTAGTACCATTCGATAGTACAAGTGGAGCTTTCTGGGTGTTAAAAATATTTGCACTTATTATTTCAATGCCACCCTGTATATGTAATGTAAAACGCAATTGGAAGTTCTGCATCGTTTGCGGTCATACTTCAACATATTAAATATAAAAAGTCACTAAGAAATGATAGAACTTGTTGTATAAATAAATAAAATTCTTCAAATGTTTTTTTCGTCTCTTTTGACACTGAAAATTCGTGAATTAGCAGAATCGTATATTATCAGAATCTCGAGATGACGGAATCGTGAGAATTCCAAATCATAAATCGGCAGAATCCCAAAATATAGGGACCGCAAATCAGCAGAACCGTAAAACGTCAAACCGTACATTAGCAGAATCGTAAATTATCCCTCTTTTCTATCATTTCCAAGTCAAGAGTTGAACGACCTAGTTCAAAATCTAATCAAAATGAATTGCAACATTCTCCAACTGTGTATTTCCACTCTATTGAGACACTGAAAAATCGTGAATTGTTGGATCGTATATTATTAGAACCTCGAAATGACAGTACCGTAAAAATTCGGAACCCTAAATTCGGTAGAATCTCAAAAAGTAAGAAATGCAAATCAGCAGAACCGTAAAATTTCAAACCGTACATTAGCAGAATCGCAAATTGTTCATCTTTTTCATAATTTCCAAGTCAAGAGTTGAACGACCTAGCTTGATATCTAATCGAAATGAATTATAACATTCTTTAACTCTGTTTTTCCTCTCTATAATATATATACAGAGAAGTGCACAAAAAACAGCTAGAATTATTTTAGATAGGATTTTGAAAATTGGTGGGTAGCAAGTATACCAAATTGCTCATTAATGGATGAAACAATTGTTCTTCTATCACTTTCAATTTCACCGGAAACGACCTCAACTTTTGATTTTTAAATAGGACACCCTGTATTGTATTCCATAATCGGTTGGAAATCATCATGACGATTCCAACGATACCAGGTTTGATAGGGTTATTTCAAATAATTACAAAGATGAAGTTTCCATATGCTCAAAGGGTGTGCCTTTGCAATATCAAAACTTTTTTCTCTGTCACACTCATTGAGCATATGGAAACTTAGAACGCGAATATCTGCGTAATCGTTTGAAATAACCCTATCAAACCCAGTATCGATGAATTCGTTATGACAATCCCTAACCGATTATGGTAAGAACAACAATTGTTTCGTCAATCAATGAGCAATTTGGTATACTAGCTGCCCACCAATTTTCAAAATCCTATCTCAAATAATTCAAAAGTTACAGTTCTGGTCGTTTTTTGTGCACTTCTCTGTATATCATATTATGTAAAATATTCAGGTTCATGATGGTTTTTCATTTTCTAGTACTAGTTTGAGAATGCTTATCAGAAATTCTCAATTTTTACTTGTTAGAACGTTTTTGTAAGACCAATATCAACTGAGATAGCTTGAGTAAAGAGCCGGGATTGGCGCAGTGCAAGAGCGTCACCGCAAGGTCGTGGGTTCGATTCCCAGCACGAGCAAGGAACTTTTCTCAATATTTTATTTACGAATTAAATATTGTAAAATTTCGGAGCATCGGCTGGGGATAGTGGCGCATGGAGTTAGTAACAAAGCCTACACAGAACACGCAGAAAGAGAGAATGATGTGGTTGTGAGCATCAGAGAAGATGTAGGACGGTGAATGTACGTGGGTGTGGAAAACTACCAGCTGAGCGTGAGAGCGGGCCATCTGCTTAGTGGACCTCGGTCTCTAACGGGGGTAAACGAGGATAGCTAGCAGGCCTGCTACTGCAGCATTTGGTAGTGAGTACATTACTAGCATACAAAACACAGCCGAAAAAACTCTGGAAGAGAGCTGATGGACGGTGCTTGAAAGGGATGTTAGCCAGCTCTCTTAAGCGAACCACATCACTCCTTAAAAAACACCTTGAGGCTTGCAAAAAGGTCCCATTAGGGACTAGTTGCTGACGTGCAAACGTCCCCCACCAGTACCAGTACCAATAGCTTGAGTAAAATATCAACCTGTACATTAGCAGAATCGTAATTATTCATAATTTCCGTGCCTAAAACCTCTGTTGTTTCTCTGTCCATCTTCAGAAAACGTTCCCGAAGTCCACCATCACCACCATCCGGCCGCCCTCCGACACGGCGACACCTCCACCTCCTCCTCCACCACCTCCTCCACCTCCACCAACCACCACCAGGACAAGGAGGAGGGCGATTCGGGCATCGACGCCAACAGCCAGGGCAGCTGCTCGAGCGCCGACCTCAAGTCCAAGGAGAAGCGGGCGGGCAAGAAGAAGAAGAAGGGCGGCGGTACGTTGGGCGGCCAAGCGAAGGGCAGCGCAGCGAAAGGGATGGAAGAGAAGGCAGGGGCGGACGAGCAGGATAAGGAGGGGAAAGGTGTCGGTGGAGATGGGAAAGGGAAAGGAAGCGGGAGTGCGAGGAAGGGGCTGTTGTTCGCTCAGACTAAGGTATTGTTGGATGTTGTTTTCTTTTTGTTTGTGTTTGTATCATAAATATGTTTCAAATTAGTTACATCTTGCTTAAAAATAATTATTAGGTTGGCATTATCTCTTATCAGTCTTTTCGGGATTGAGCTGTAAGTCTGACATAAGTAGAACACATCGGTATTTTTATGTCGCCCAAAACAAAAAAAATCTCTGATGATATTTTGGTTACATGTGGCAACATCGTCGAATATGATGACTGAATTTGGAGCTACTTCATTCGGAGAGATAACTTCATCGCCGTCATCGTACTCGGAATATCCAATTTCATTCATTGGTCCGAACAATGTCCTCAAATACTCATATTTCGGTTGATAAACCGACTTGGAGTACAAATACAGATTTTCGAATCTCAAACCATTTGGATCATCGAGTAAACTTATCATACAGTTTGATTTTTGTTTATCCAGTGCTACCACAGTATACACCCTTACGAAAAACAGTGACGCTCAGACTGAGGTATTTTTGGGTGTTGTTTTCTTCTGACAGGACACTGCCACTCGAACGAGCATCTCAGCACGATCGGGATTCGCGAAAATCACGAACCAATAGATGGCTCTATTATACGTCAAATCAACGTCAAATTTCCAACTGAGTATGAACAACAAAAACATTGCCGAATGCACTCATTGCAAATTGGTTATTTCCAAATCATTTTGCAAAATAGTGAATAATAAGTTGAATTTCAAAATGAATTATTATCAAAAATGTTTTCAATATGATGCAAATTTTATGAAATACACTGTAGATGGCAAATATGTATTGGATGTTTTATGGAAGGTTTTTATTTTTCATTGCTTGGTGATCGAATTCCTTGGTTATAATTATTTTTTTTTTTTTTAATGGAAATCGCAATTTTGATTTTCTGTCGAACGGAATTGAAAGAATCTCAAACTTCGCCATTTTTTTCCATTCAACTCCCTCCGAAAAAATCGCAACAAAACCTTGCAATCTGACTCTGAAAATGTCCTTTTTGAAACACCTCGTACCACGTCGACTGCTCGAGACAATAAAGCTGAACCAGCTGAAAATTTTTCCTTCGGCAGTCTCCCGCCGAACGTGACGATTTCGAAGCGACAGGCAGCGAGGTTTACGTGTCCACCAAAAAATCGAACAAAAGTTTCGAGGACATCGCCCCGCCTACTATGTTGCCCACCAAAAGTTCCACCAGCCCGAAGCAGTCCACCAAGCGCGAGGAAGGATGGAAAGAGGTGAGTCTTTCATTCGTATTTTTATTTATTCTTTTTTATCTTTTATATTTTTGACCCCATCAGGTAAAATGGGTATGAATCATAGACATTCAAAAAGAAGGAAGACATAACATGTTATTCATAAAACACTATTTGTTTACAATCATACATACTTCCGAAGTTTCAAATAAGTTGGAAAGATATGACATTAAAAAATGGCAACGCTGAAAACAGTGCGTCAATGTTTACACTTTTCTTCACTTGAAAACAAAATCCTCTGAAGTAGAGAATTTGCATTCTCCTTCATATAAAGATATGCATATAATATCATTCGGAATATTCACCAGAAAACAACTAATTTCATGGCTATTTGCCACGTCGAACATTGAATTATATCTGTTGAACATCCAAAAAGAGAGTATGAAAAATGAAAATCCTCTGAAATTGAGAATTAACATCATCTCTCAAATCGGATAAAATAATATGAGGTACTATGATATACAAATATAATTCATCAATATGTTCAGTATTGAAATGAAAATTGAAATGTGTATGAGAAGTATACTTGTACAAACTCTGATCTTGATGAGCTTGGAACTTCAAAAAAAAATCATTAAGAAACACCCTGTATATTGGACATTAGTCATTTATATGGAATACTACACCCCCTAAGGAGGAAAAAATTTCTGGAACTTTGTTTAGTTACTAAGGTAACCGAGATGGTAACGATACGGAATACAGACTTTTTTAATTGATCGAAAATGTGATTTGTGAAATTTTCAATGATAATTCAGAGATATGAGATGAGACAAAAAAAACTAAATCTCATAAGGAATTAGAAAGTTGATCAAAAGTTCGCAATATTTGAGTTGAGATGATCGTCTCAAGTTACCCCGTATATCAGTAGTGTATTCCATGTTCATCCTATCTCCCTGTATACGTACTTTAAATATCATCATAATTATCATTATTAGTCATAGATGAATACTTGTTCGGGAATTGATAGGATATAAAGGTGACGCAACTAATTTGTCATTCGGGACGAGGTGATGAATCGTGTCAGTCTTGTGTTAGATGTCATCGTGTACGGTCGGTCTTCTTAAAGTGCTCGTATCAGTTTCAGACAAAAAAAAGCTAAATTTAATAAGGAATTAGAAAGTTGATCAAAAGTTCGCAATATTTGAGTTGAGATGATCGTCTCAAGTTACCCCGTATACCAGTAGTGTATTCCATGTTCATCCCACCTCCCCGTATAAAAAAATCATTCGTGTCAGTGATATGGGAATTATATCTCTCACAAACAGGTTATATGACTTCACTCGAATGAAATTCATTTCGGATATCAAATCCTCATCAGTAACCTGACGTCCAGTTATTATTATTCCCTATCATCTCGATCCCTCACAGGTGGTGAGAAAGTCGTCGGTGCAAGCAGTCACGGCGACCGAATCGGGCGTCAAAAAGGTGTCGGTACCTTTGAACGCCATCTCGCGCGTGATCGGCCGCGGCGGCAGCAACATAAACGCCATCAGAGGCGCCACCGGCGCTCACATCGAGGTGGAGAAGCAGAGCAAAGGTCAAGGGGAAAGGATAATCACCATCAAGTGAGTCGATTCGTCTCTGTGTACAGTGTGTCCAGTTTTCGATGCTTTTGTGGGATATCTCAGTTATCTTTGGAGATAGAACCTTGCGGGTTTCGCGGTCGTGTGCCACTTTTTTGTGAAACTCAAGATGACCTAATCAGATTTTGCATAACTGTTTCCGTTTATGAGATACAGGGCGATTTCGAAAATTTATACTTTTTGGACCCCCTCTATATCTACGAGGTTTCTCAGCAAAAATGTCAAATTAAAATCTCATCCCATATAAAAGTTCACGCAGAATCCAGTGGCGCACCCAAAATTTTTTTTCGGGGTATGGTTTTGGAGATACGACTCAAACTTATAATTTTTTAAATGGAACACCCTGTATTTTATAAGGTCATAAAAATCCTCATTTTTTTCTCTTCAAAATGATTTATAATGTATGTATATGAAATTTTCAAAAATGGTCTGAAATCACTGTAACATTGAATTTTAATAGTGGGCTATGGATTTTTCTTATGAAAAAGTTCCAATCGAAGGAATATTCATTTCGATTTTTCCATAAAGAGGACAAAAACAATACCAACACTAATTGACTAAGAAAACACAAAAATTATGTACCTGATAGCAACAAATAAATAGTAATAAAAAGTTCATAATGTAGAATAAGCACCAGATCAAATATTTACAAATTCAATTGAATTTCGGAATTATTCAATAACTTATTCACTGAATTGTTCAAATTGATGTCCATTTCCCATAACACACAATTGACACAGTTTCTCAATACGTCTTGATACAGTAAGAGTCACAAATATCTTGAAGAACTTCGTGCAACAACAGAGGCAGTTTTCCATGAATTACAAAGACATCCTTTAATGATTTTGATTGCATTAAGACGTATTGAGAAAGCGTGTGAGGGAAAGTGGACATCAATTTGAACAATTCAATGAATAAGTTACTGATTAATTTCGAAATTCAATTGTCTTAGTGAATATTAAATCAGGTGCTTATTCTAGAATATGAACTTTTTAATACCATTCATTTGTTGTTATCAGGTACCTAATTTTTGAGTTATCTTAATTAACTAGTCTTGGGATTGTTTTTGTCCTTTTCATGGAAGAATCAAATGAAATATCCCTTCAATTGGAACTTTTTTTTAATAAAAAATCCATAGCCCATAATTAAAATTCAATGTTTTAGTGATTTTGGAGCATTTTTGAAAATTTTATACCTATTCATCATATTTCATTTTGATAGGGAAAAAATAAGGAATTAAATGAGCTTATAAAATACAGGGTGTTCCATTTGAAAAATCATAAGTTTGAGTCGTATCTCCGAAACCATACCCAGAAAAAAAATTTTGAGTACGCCACTGAATTCTGCGCAAAATTCTGTATGGGATAAAATTCCAATTTGACATTTTCGCTGAGAAACTTCGTAGATATAGAGGGGGTCCAAAAAGTATGAATTTTCAAAATCGCCCTGTATCTCATAAACGCAAACAGTTATGCAAAATCTGATTAGGCCATCTTGAGTTTCACAGAAAAGTGGTACAGGACCGCGAAAACCGCAAGGTTCTATCTCGAAAGATAACTGAGATATCACGCAAAAGCATCGAAAACTGGACACACTGTACATTGTTTTCTTGTGGTTGTACGTTGGAATGTTGCGGTCCGAGTAACATTTTTCTGATACATGTCAGAATTCTGACATAAAATCAAGAATTCTGACATAGAAAATAGAAATCATGAATGAGATTTTTCGAAAAAACAAGATAATTATAGTTACTAGCATTCTGCAATTCAGTATTCTTGTATTTAATCTCAGAATGTTAGCATAAATTTCGGAATTCTGACTAGTAACTCAGAATTCTGACTGGTAATTCAAAATTCTGACGTTCAACTCAGAATTCCTACTGGTATTTCAGAATTCTGACGTTCAATCCAGAATTCTGACATAAAAGTAATGAATATTTCATAAAAAAAAACAATATAATTATGATTCTCTAAGACAAGTGAGCATTCTGCAATTCATTATTCTTGTATGAATCTCAAAATGTTGGTATACATTTCAGAATTCTGACTGGTAATTCGGAACGTTCAGCTCAGAATTCTAACGTTCAGCTCATAATTCCTACGTACAGCTCAGAATTCTTACGTTCTTCTCACTGGAAATTCTAAATTCTGACTGGTTTCTTCGGAATTCTGTCGTTCAACTCAGAATTCTAACGTTCAGATCCAAATTCTGGCGTTTAACAAAATTCTAACGTTCAGATCGAAATTCTCTGGCGTTAACAAAATTCTAACGTTCAACTGACTGGCAATTCTGAATTCTGACTGATTTCGTCAGAATTCTGACTAGTTATGAAGAATGTTGACTTGTTGCTCAGAATTATGGTGTTCAACTCAGAATTTTTACGTTTAACTCAGAATTTTGATGTTCAACTCAGAATTTTGACGTTCAAATCAGAATTGTTGACGTTCAACTCGAAATTCTGACTGGTAATTCAGAATTATGACTTAGTTCTGACGTTCAGATCAAACTTCTGACATACATGTCAGAATTTCAGAATGCAAATTAATTTTTTTTCTCTTCAGTACTTCTCAACCATTTTGATCTTTAGCCTAATTTTTTTTTTTTAATAAAAAAGGGGATCTGCAGAAGCCACCAAACAAGCACACACTCTTATTGCAACTTTGATCAGAGATCCTGAAGTAGATATCCTATCTATGTTACCTAAAGCCACCAAGGTCATAAGCAGCACAACCACCTTGTGGGATAAAACACAGATTGGGGTGAGAATTTTTCGATTATAATTTTTTTTCTGTCAATTTCAGAAATAAAAAAGAACTATCAGACATTTTTTTGCTTGCATTCGATTTTTTCAAAACGTTTTATTGATCAATTTCAATTAAGTCAAGAAAATATCATCGATCATTTTTAGACACTTTCTAAAAACATTATTTTTCAAGATTTCGAATTCTTAAACATGAAAAACGGGAAAAAAGTACTGCGTGTCTCACTTTGAACGACCCCCCATATATATCTCAGCCATTTGCGATTCTTACGAAATCAGGACCGGTCCATCTATATGATCAGTTTTTCAGAGATGATCATCCTTTTGGACAGTGCCATGCGTATTTATTCAAATAAAAAAAGGTCTATTTCTCATGAAACTATATTCAGATTCTTTTTTAAAGAAACCTGACTTCATATAAAAATTTACTCACGCTGCTCTAGCTGAATTTAATGAATTACCACATAATATAAAAAATTGCAGACATATTTCAAAGTTGAATTAAAAAAACACATGATTTCATTACGAAATAGATAAAATTTATACTTTGCCATCTACTGATTAGTCCCTGTGGCTATTTTTATTTATGACTTGATCGATTTAGCATTTTTAGATTTTTTTTTTTATTTTTTTGTTGTTGTTGTTGTCACCTTATATTATTTTATTATTGTTGTTTGTAATCAACTTCCTCATACCAGAATTTTATTTCTGACTGGAAGCTAGTTTTTGAATAAACAATAAACAATATTATGATTGTATAATATGCAAAAATCACTTCATTCCGAATTAACAGGATTGACTTAGTTTTGCTATTTCCTGTCTAGAAAAAATAGTGAATTTCGATCAACTACAACTTCTGGAACATTTGATAGCTCCTGTTGGCAGAAAATGATGATTTGAAAGAGTAAACAATCATTTACGTTTGCAAAAATGATATTTATATGTGCTTGTCATTTTGAAACCCTTCATATGAGGCACAGATCCCATATCCCATCCCATATGATAATTTACGCATAGAAGCTTGAAATTATGAGGACCAATATTTGAAGGTCAGTTTTCCTGTAAAAAAATCCTAATATGTTATAACGAATTGACCCCTTTTCATTCTGATAAGCACGGCACTGTCGTGTTCGTCTTTGAAAAACTGATCTTATTGATGGTTGTTCATACTGGTCCAAATTTGGTAAAAATCGCATGAATATCAGTTAAGATATTAGGGGGGGGGGGCGTTTAAAGTGAGACACTGTACAAGCATTTTTCGGAATTTAACATTATATTGATGTAAGTATTCGAATTTTTCCATTTGTAACGTTTCTTTTGAAGAATATCCGAATTTCACGAAACAAAGGCAGTATTCCTGCGCCAAATATAACCTTCGTTATCGTTGTAGACGAAGAAAAACGCCGGAAAAATCGCCCCCACCCCACCCAACGCCGGTCCGCCCTCCATCAACCCCCACCCCAAAACGACACCAACCGCCGCCTCCACCCCTGCCGTCCCCGGCAGATTCTCGACGACGCCCGCCCTCGCCGCCTCCGCTGCCAAAGCGCGAGGCGGAGGCGGTGGCAACACCGCCAACGCGTTGCCGGGCGGTCGGGTGACCGCCCCCAGGCTGGCGGCGCAGGCGGAGAAGAACGCGGCGATCGGGACGCAGGGTAGAACGCCCGCCCAAAGTCAGCAGGGCGGCAGGACGGGGCAGCTTAAGGCGACGGCAGCTTCTGCTTCGGTGAGTGGGCACAGTTTTTTGTATTTTTTCTTTTCAGCTCGAATATTTGACGGTTTTCATTGTACTTGAATGATCTACTATTTCATTCAGGACAGACTTGACAAAGGAAATTATGTAGTAGCGATTTTCATGGATCTAAAAAAGGCTTTTGATACAGTTGACCACAATATACTTCTGAAAAACCTTGCTTCAATGGGAATCAGAGGAATTGGACACGATCTCTTGAAATCATATCTTGAAAATAGAACTATTATAACTAAAATCAATAACTGTGAATCTAAGATACTATATTTAAACAAAGGGGTTCCTCAAGGATCAGTGTTGGGTCCAATTCTTTATCTATTATACATTCAAAATATTGAAAGAATGAATTTGATAGGAAACTATACCATATATGCAGACGATACAGTGCTTCTATATGAGAATAAAAACCCAGTAGTTCTAGAACATATCATAAATGAGGACTTAAAAAAAATTGAGAAATGGCTTTATTCCAATCTTCTTTCTCTCAATTCTAATAAGACTCAATATATGACTTTTCGTCAAAGAAATAAACAAAATATTGATCTGAATATTAGAATAAAAAATGAACGTTTGAAACAAACTGCCCATACCAAATACCTCGGTATTTGGATTGATGAGAAATTAACATGGGGAAAGCATATAGACATCCTCATAGGAAAAGCTAGTATCTCCCATTATTGGTGCTTTGAGAAGATGTCCTAAACTTAGTACATATACATCAAATATCATTCTCTATTCACATATACTCAGTCGAATTAACTATCTCATTAATATTTGGGGATCTTGTTCCAAAAATAGTTTCAACAAAATTTCTGTTCTATATAAAAAGGCATTGAAAGTATTGTATCGTCTTCCATGACACTCCAACAAATCAACTGTATAAGGAAACAAACACATTTTCTTTGGAAGAGCACTTTTTAATCAATACTCTCAAAATTTCCTATTATATCATCAACAAAAAGCTTAAATCAAATTTTATATTAATCAGGAATTCTGAAATTCATGATCATCACACTAGACAATATAACTTGTTTCATCTTGAAGCTGCAAATTCTAAACTTGGGCAAAAAAAGTTTACACATGAGGCGATTTCGAAATTCAATAAATTACCAGATGATATCAAAAACAGCCCAAATATTATGCAATTCACAAATAAAGTTAAGAAATATATTTATATGCAAAGGAATGATCAAAGCTGAAAGACCATGAATTTTCTTTTTTCTTTTTTTTTTTTTCACTGTTTTTATTTTTCCCCTTCTCGTTCACTATAATATGACTGTATCTTAATGATATGTAAGTTTTGTTCACTATTTGTAATTTCAATTATACAACAGTCGATAATACTTCATGAATGATCTTATACCAGGAATTACTGTCTGATCATTCATGTCATTCCTACTAGAAAATTAATTATACTTTATATATTATTTGTATGAAATGTATCAATGAAGAAAAGAATGTAATGCAATAACTGAAATAAATAAAATAAAATAAATAAAAATAATCATGAAACTAGACAATATAACTTGTTCCATCTTGACGCCGCTAGCTCCCTAATCGGACAAAAAAGATTCACTCATTCAGCCTTAACTGAATTCAATAAACTGCCTGATAATATAAAAAATTGCAGAAATATAGGTATATTCAAAAATTAAGTAAAAAAACTGATTATTTCTGAGCGGACTGGATAAAATTAATCATGCCATTTTTCTTTTTTTTTTCATTTACAAATATTATTCTTTGTTTGCCAATTTACAGTTGTTGATATATTATTTTGAATGATGCTATGTTTACCTATAGGTAAATAATTATGTACTTCCTTATACCAGAGCCTATTCTGCCTGGAAGTTATGTGTTCAATAAATAAATAAAATAAATAAATAAATATCAGTGCGACTATAGGGCCATACAAGTACTAAACAATTGCGATTTTGCCAGACCGGTCTGCTATCCAAGACCAATCAAACTTTCGCCGCCAAACTCACGGAGACCGCCTCCAACCAACAACAACTCTACATCAACACCACCACCACCTCCAACAACAACCACAACGTTAGCGCTCAATCTTCGGCCAACAAACCGCCCAGAACTTCTCTGGCACCGCCCCAGCCGCCCCAATCAGCGTCGGGCGGCGGTGGTAATGGGCCGGTGTCGCCGCAAACGCAACCACAAATCGCCGCCCCTGTAGCCGCCCCCGTTAACAATAACAACGGGCAGTCGTCGCCCAACAGGAACAACAATGTTAGACCGGGGCCGACCGCTTCGGCGCCGCCCAACATGCAGCATTTCCAGAGTCCCGGCAAGGTAAGTGCGAAAAGAGTTACATCTCAAAATAGTAGTTTACCTAACAAGTGCGGAAAAGCGTTACCACCGATACAACAAGGCCTGCATGCTCCGTGGGTGACGTCACTTAGTCAGGCCTAACCAGCGGCTCGAAACGACAAGCGCTAATAGCGCTATAAGGCGACCGCGTATTTCGATTTTAGTTTTAGATCATCATTGAGCCGATTTTGCTGTTTTTTGAAGGGCTTCCGGTTGAAAAAGGATACCAGTCGTCAACTGAGCCCTTCTTCGCACCCCATTCGATTTAATTATGGAAAAACGAAGTTTTAAAGCAAAAACCAGGATAAAACACAAATATCCACCTACAGCAACCCATTCGAATTAAACATATTGGCAAAAATTGTGGTGAAGGTAAACTTCACACCTACTTATACAGGGCCCGCAGAACATAAACTTATCGTGAGATTGATCGAAAGAAAATTATGGAAAATGTATTCCATTTTGATTGACATGCCGTTAGTTACAATTACCTATAAATATTTATCTTGGAGAATTCCTATTACCTGAAAAAATAACCAGTGAGTGTTTTCAATTTTCTGTTGTGGGATTTTTCACCCAAGTGGATCGTTACACTTGAAACCGTAATTTTTAAGGGTAAAACTGCATTTATCATGCGATGGTTTTTTTTTTTGAAAATTCTTTTCGGTACTCACGTATTTTTGTCTGATTAACCGAATTTTATAATGAAAATTTGAACAAACCACTATTTATTGAGATATTTCAAGAAAAAGTTCGAAATTTCGCCTTCTTTCTCCCCTTGTGTTGGGGGCATTTGAAGCTACTTGCTCTTATTTTGTCATTGGACACTTTATATACTCATGATGTACTTCGATGGCACATTTTTATATAGAAAATTCAACAGGAAATATTATTTTTATGGCGAGTTTTTCATATTTAGTGAGGAGAGAGTAATTGTCTTCTATTATTATTTCATCATTATAAATTAAGCTCTGTTTACTACTGAACTTAGATACTTAGATGGAGGAAAATCCTCGCGGTGAATTGCATATACTTACCCACATTTTCGATAGCTCCTCGTCCAACGGGAAACTAAAAGCATGAACTTTTGAACCACCCACATAATTCCCCCGACCAAAGGGAACACAACACTTGAAAGGCATTGTTATTTCGCCGATCACAACACAAAATATTTCACAAAACAGTAATTTTTCTGCCAATTATTTTGATGAATAAACAACAAAAGTATTCGGGACCGTTTCAAAAACATACGTGAATCACCGATGAATTAACACGAACTGACGCGTTAGTCTCGACAAGCGATAAAATAAAACACTGGCCTCACTTGGCGACGTCACGAGCTGTTCACGTCAGAGTCTGCTGACCTTGTTGTATCGGTGGTAACGGGAAAACTCACTTTACGCACGTGTTAGGTTTTTTTTCTACTAGCGTGCGATAAAAACCCAAGTGTTAACATGAAGAAATAGTACATTATATACCGCGGGACTGAAGTAGTACATTTAATCCTGAAGGTAAAGTTTATGGCCCGACCGCAGGGAGGGCCATAATTTACCTGAAGGATTAAATGTACTTCAGTCGCAAGGTATATACGATACTTTTCGTACTTCCGGTATGATTTTATTAATTATTTCAATAATTTCAATCAGTTTTTTCTCTCTTCAACTCATTTAATAAACTGTCTTTAAAATAAGTTACCATAGTAACATTGCGTTGTGACAGTTATAATTTAGAAACATTGTCATTACTAGTGTCATTGTAAAGAAACATTGTTATTGATAATTATTGGTATCATGAGTGAAGAAGGTGTATCTGATATTGATAAAAGAGCAGCCGAAGTAGGTGAAGAATTGTTACCACCGAAATCTAGAAAACTATATACGAGCAGCAGTACGATGCTTTTAAAAAGTGGTGCCGCTTAAAAAATGTGAGACAACCTACTGAAAATGCGCTGTTAGTCTACTTCGATGATAAATCAAAAGCGGTTTGTGCCTCAACTCTCTGGGCACATTACTCAATGCTGAAATCGGTTATTAACATTAGAGAAGATATTGATATAAGTAAATTTCCAAAATTATTAGCTTTTTTGAAGAGAAGAAATGAGGGATTTAAGCCAAAGAAGTCAAGAATTCTCACGTCTGAGCAGGTAGATCAGTTCTTACGGGAGGCTCCGGATGATAAATATTTAATGCTTAAGGTAAATTTGGAAATTTGTTTATATTCAGAAATTTTAAGAAATCAATTTTTTTGTAGGTTGCACTTATTTTGGGCGTTGCGGGAGCTTGTCGTGGAAAAGAGTTGGTTGATTTAGAAATCGACGATGTGAGAGATTTGGGCGATTCCTTCCTAATTGCGATTAGAAACACCAAAAATAAAATTGACCGAAATTTTGTGATCAAAAATTCAGAAAACAGTGCCATCAGTTTTGTGGCGATATTTCGGAAATATGTGGCATTGCGAAAGACAGGGACAACTCATTCAAAATTTTTTGTTCAATACATCAACAAAGAATGTACTACGCGAGTAGTAGGAAAAAACATGTTTGGTACATTTCCACGGCAAATAGCAGCTTTCTTGAAATTAGAAAATGCGACGTCTTATACGGGACATTGTTTTAGACGCACATCTGCGTCTTTGTTAGCTGATTCGGGAACAACAATAGACGTGCTGAAGAGACATGGAGGATGGAAATCCTCCAACGTGGCCGAGGGATATATTGAATCGTCTATTAAAAATAAACAAAAAATTTCAGATAAAATATTTGGTCAAGTCGCCGATTCGTCCACTATAGTTATGCCACAGTCCTCATTCTCGCTTCCTGTTTCCGCAGGATCTTCGAAACAAACACCAGTTCAATATGAAAAGGACCTATCTGTTACTCGTCAGTTACCTGCTGCATTAACCCAGGAAAGACTGGTCAATATGACGAACTGTCACAATATTAATTTGAATATTAACGTTAATTACCATTCTAATTAATTATATTTTTCAATAAAATATCCCTTAAATTCGTTTGTTTGTGATTTAATCGTCCCGGGAGTTTCGTCAATATTTAATCCCGGAGGGATTAAATGTGACACTTTAGTACCTGTCACAAGGGAGTGAAGTTGTCACTTTAGGCCCGGAAGTACGAAAAATTCATTATTAAATACATAGTTCGCAAATTGATTATTATTAATATTAATATTGAACGTGCAATTTTTGCATTCTGCAAATTAATTCCAGGCATCGAACATGTTCGGATCGACGATCCTAGCCGCCCCCGGAAATTCCATCCCACCTGCCGTCGAACCGCCGGTGCACACCCTCAGAAGTTCCACCCCCAATTTGCTGCAGACCGCCAACAGGACCGATCTGCCCTGCGTTTTGCTCGAAGAGAGTTCGAATTCCATCTCGGTGAGTTTTTTTGGAAATTTTTTTTCTTTGTTTTGGTGGTGATTTTGTTATTTTTTGTTCAGTGAATATTTTTGTTATTTTAATTGGATGTTGATAAAAACAAGTTTTGCATTTTTTGAATGCTTCAATTAGGAATACAAAGAATATCTTAAAAAATTGGATTACCCTTCACAGGGCGCCACTGGAATTAGTAATTATTGCGAGAAAAATCACTTCGAAAAGTTCCGAATTGAAAAATCATTTTCAGCCACCCTGTATCATTTGAGAGCCTAAAACATTTTCAGAAATGTCACTCATCTTTTCAATGAATGATATTGTGATTATTTTTTCTTTTAGTATATACAACAGTGATATTTTCGGTAGGCATCTGCAGATGACATTATTTCGACCAAAAAATTCATAACTTTAATACGAAAGAGATATAGTCAACGATATTATAGGAGTGGATGAAGATCACAGGGATGCCTCAAAAAATATGCAAATATACTGGGCATTCCAATAAAAAAAATCGATCCCGACCATCTAGATTATTTTCGGAGCGCCCTGTATATGCGGCAATAAATTCTAGTTATGGACCTTGTTATCTCATTCACATTCGTTTTTGAATCAGGTTTGTAGCTATCATAGAACTCGAGCAATCGAGCTCCGACGCACTAATGCTCCACCCTGTACATATACAGGGTGGGCCACCAGTAACGCCTCGGTCTCTAGAAGGCTAATCACTTATCTTCTTGGAATTCTTCCTCTCTAGGAAGTTGCATGTCAACATAGGCTACCATTTAAATTTATTTCGAAACATACAGGGTGTCCCCAAAAACCATAAGACACTGAAGTTGAACTTTTTTCTATCGAACACCCTATATATTATTTCATTTTGAGATTCTCCCTGATGAGCTGATTTCAACGACCCATCATACTTGGGGTCTAGCAGTTATAATTACTGAAATATAGGGTGTGAAAAATCGAGATTTTCCAAGTTCAAGAATTTTTTGTGTCGAAACTATTCATAATTGGTCAAAACGGCTCACATGTCCCTATCTCAACTTTTGATTAACTATCTACTGATATTTAATTGAGACATAAACCGGGTGATCAAGATTCTGAATTCTGCACCACCCTGTATTTGTTTCAATTAAATGTCAGTAGATAGTTGATCAAAAGTTGAGATAGGGACATGTGAGCCGTTTTGACCAATTATGAATGGTTTAGACACAAAAAATTCTTGAACTTGGAAAATCTCGATTTCTCACACCCTATATCTCAGTAATTATAACTGGTAGACCCAAAGTATGATGGATTGTTGAAATCAGCTCACCAGGGAGAATCTCAAAATAAAATAATATATAGGGTGTTCGATTGAAAAAAGTTCAACTTCAGTGTTTTGTGATTTTTGGGGACATCCTGTATGTTTCAAAATAATTTCAAATGGTAGCCTATGTTGACATGCAACTTCCTAAAGAGGAAGAATTCCAAGAAGATAAGTGGTTAGCCTTCTAGAGACCGAGGCGTTATATTCAACAGAAAAAAACTAGTTTCCTGGCTACATGCCACGACGAATATTGAATTACATCTATTGAACACAAACGATAAGAATTTGAAAACAAAATATTCTGAAGTAGAGAATTCGCATTCTCCTTCATATTAAGATATGCATATAATATCATCCTGAACATTCAACAGAAAACAACTACTTTTCTGGTTATATGCCACGTCGAACATTGAATTATATCCGTTGAATATCCAAAAAGAGAGCATGAAAAATCAAAATCCCCTGAAATTGAGAATTGACTCAATCGAATAGAATAATATGATATGTTCAATATTGAAATGAAAATTGAAATGTATAGGAGAAGTTTACTTTTATGAACTCTGATCTTGATGAGCTCGGAACTTCCAAAAAAATCATTCGCATCAGTGATATGGGAATTATATCTCTCACAAACAGGTTATATGAATTCATTTCGGATATAATATCCTCATCAGTAACCTGATGTCCAGTTATTCTTTCAGCCATTCTTCATGATATACACAATTTTCATCTCCCTATAATATAACTAAAACCATAACGGACTGACATCTGAGAATTATTATGATTTGTTGACATATACTCCTATCATTTGGGCATTGGTTTTTTGGATGTATGATAAATTGACATTCATCATGCAGGACGTGGAAAGAAATTCTGAATTGAGAATAACCTAATCACGAATCTGCGATTGAGGTCTATAAAAATAACAAGTTTCCATCGTTCAAGTTTGAACCCCTTGATTTTCGTTCGTTGCTCAGTCGTGTAATTTTCCATTTCGAATCACAAATCAAAAATCTGAAAAACAATAAAATTGAATCAAAAGAGGTTATAGGCCTATCGAACCGTTTCCACCGATACAACAAGGCCAGCAGACTCTGACGTAAACAGCTCGTGACGTCGCCAAGAGAGGCCAGTGTTTTATTTTATCGCTTGTCGACTAACGCGTCAGTTCGTGTTGATTCATCGGTGATTCACGTATGTTTTTGAAACGGTCCCGAATTCTTTTGTTGTTTATTCATCAAAATAATTGGCGGAAAAATTACTGTTTTCTGAAATATTTTGTGTTGTGATCGGCGAAATAACAATGCCTTTCAAGTGTTGTGTTCCCTTTTGTCGGGGGAATTATGTGGGTGGTTCAAAAGTTCATGCTTTTAGTTTCCCGTTGGACGAGGAGCTATCGAAAATGTGGGTAAGTATATGCAATTCACCGCGAGGATTTTAATAGGAATTCTCCTAGATAAATATAGGTAATTGTAACAAACGGCATGTCAATCAAAATAAAATACATTTTCCACAATTTTCTTTCGATCAATCTCACGATAAGTTTATGTTCTGCGGGCCCTGTATAAGTAGGTGTGAAGTTTACCTTCACCACAATTTTTGCCAATATATTTAATTCGAATGGGTTGCTGTAGGTGGATATTTGTGTTTTATCCTGGTTTTTGCTTTAAAACTTCGTTTTTCCATATTAAAATCGAATGGAGTGCGAAGATGGGCTCAGTTGACGACTGACATCCTTTTTTAACCGGAAGCCCTTCAGAAAACAGCAAAATCGGCTCAATGATGATCTAAAACTGAAATCGAAATACGCGGTCGCCTTATAGCGCTATAAGCGCTTGTCGTTTCGAGCCGCTGGTTAGGCCTCACTAAGTGACGTCACCCACGGAGCATGCAGGCCTTGTTGTATCGGTGGTAACGATCGAACGCCTTCGTTCTTTTCGCGCCATCCTGTACATAAACGAATAACTATTACAGACCCCATCCGAATACTCGCTCTTCTACACGGGCGACCACTGGAACCGCGGTCGAGAACACCATCAGGAATCTCAGAAGCCCGTCAACTTTGCCGCCGCCACCGTAGGCGGCAGCGGCACCAACAGCGTCGTCGGCGGCGTCGTCTGCTCCAATACGCAGGCGTCGGTGGGAGGCGGCGGACAGCACGGCAAATTCATCGAGCAGGAGCCGCCTCCGATGCCCGTCGACGCGGCGAAGGCCCCCGGGTACAGGGGCGGGGCAGTGTGTTCGCCGGTTTCCTCGTCGAAAGCGAGCAGCAACAGCACCACGCCGCCGAATATTTCGGCCAACAGTTCGTTTCAAGGTGGGTGGTTTTTTTTTGGAGGAGGGGGGGGGAAAGTTTCTCTCTGACGATTTTTTTTTTCATAATGAAGTTACCACTTCTTTCTGAGAAAAAAACGTCAAAATTAGGCTAAAGTACATAAATAAATATCGAAGGCATAAAACAAACATGATAATATACAAGATTTCACAGGTACATAAACATGAAACGTATACAGTGTGTCCCACTTACCATGCTCACCATGGGTATCTTTTTAACGGTGAGAGATACGAGGTCGGTTGAATGACACCAAATGTGGAGTTTGTCGAGGCCAACTATAATGTGAAAAAATATTTTGATAAAATCTATTCGTTTTTGTTTTATACGCAGAAAACAGATTTTGATCATTTTCATGTCTCCTCCATAACTTCTTTATTTATGAAAATATTCAAATAGGAATTTCACATTCACATGGCAGTTTTTCAAAGTGATTTCGAAAAAAATATGAAATTTATACCAACTTTTCTAGAATTTGAGATATCAGCACCAACTTTAGTTTTTCAAATGTAGGTCATAGCTCACTATGACTTAATTACAAATAACTTTTTTTTCTCTTACAGATGATATGTCGCAGTAATAGTTTTGTGTTGATAACAACGGAGTTATCGTCATTTATACAAAAACAAAAAATTATTTGGAATCCGCCATCTTGGATTTATAAATTTGAAAAAAAATCATGATCTCCGACCTCAAAAACCCCCACTTACAAATTTTGAATGGAATCGGACCAAATCTTGTCCGCCATCTTGGAGCAGCCATTTTTTTAATTTCAACAAAAATTCCATAATGTATTGTCACCGAAATCATGAACACCTGCCAACTTTCAAGTTAATCGGAGTTATGGAATTTTTGATGAAATTTAAAAAAATGGCTGCTCCAAGATGGCGGACAAGATTTGGTCCGATTTCATTCAAGTTGGTGAGTGGGTGTTTTTGAGGTCGGAGATCATGATTTTTTCGTTAAAATTCATAAATTCAAGATGGCGGCTTCGAAATATTGTTTTGTTTTTGTATGAATGACCATAACTCCGTTGTTATCAACACAAAACTATTACTGCGACATATCATCTGTAAGAGAAAAAAAAGTTATTTGTAACATCCAAGGTGTAATAAAATTTCTTCAGAAGCAATTTTTCCATTTTATTCTTGAATTGGAATTTATTTTTCGATTCCTCTATAGATTTTGGCGGGCAATCTTATAATTGACATCTATTGTAGTATAAGCTTTTCTGATACCGAGCAGATGAGTGTTGAGGAGGTAACAGATAATCTTTGTTCCTTGTTTTGTGATTATGTTCAACTTCTTCGGTCTCAAAATAACGTTTATGATTATATACAAAACAGGTCACTCCATAAATATAAAGGGAAATCATTGTGAAGATACCCAGATTTTTAAAATATTCCCTGCATGAATTTCTCGCTCTCAGATTTCCCAAGATACGGACTGCCCTTTTTTGTAAGGTTAAGGCCCTATGAGCTTCTGCGGAATTTGCCCAATGTATGATTCAATATTTTACATTGGAGTGGAAGCACTTAAAGTGGAGTGACATTTTTCAATGGAAGGAAGAAATGCTCGAAGTCATGACTTCGAACAATCCTTCCTTCCTTTGATTACTTCAGTCCTTACAGAAAAATAATATGTTCATTTTTATCACCTCCTCAGTTTTTATTTTGGAATCCAGAACCAATATAAGTTCGACATCTGACTCGGAAATCAAACAAAATTTCAGGAAAACTGTCAACAAATGAATTTCGTTTGAGAAACTCACTCGAATGTAAATCATATGCTATTTTCCAACGATGATTTAGCACAATTATGAGAAGAGAAACTGAAAGAGAACCTATATAACATGCATAATAAAAAAAATTCAATACCTATAGTTATTTCACTTTATTGAACTGGCAATGAAGCATGCCGAATAGCAAGTTATGAATCGACATTCAACATTCGATTTGGGCACCGTGAACTATACATACAGGGTTTCTATAAATGATCGTAACATCGTAGTAGCCGTTGAAATATTTTCTCCATTTGCCGCCTTTCATTTATGGAGATTCACACATTCGAATTTAATTTCTGACATCAATCATTAAACTGTCATGGCTGATAAACTCAAAATTGTCAGTTTTTCGTAAAAATTTTCAAACGATTCTGTTTTCTACTTCGTGATTGTCGTGCTGAAAAGAGGGATGGCTCATTCCTCGGAGCAGAATACATTTATTGTAATGTTTATTGTCGAAATAGCACATTCATCAATGGTGGATGGGGTTACTCGGTAGTAGCCTGTAAGGATGAGTACCTGGCGAAATATCCTAATGTACAGATTCAAGAATCTTCTTTGAAAGCCCACATCAGAACAGTGATCAACAGATTCATCCAAACTGGAAACGTTGATAAAAAGAAATCAACAGGAAGGCCCCAAATATCGGAAGAAGTTGTCGAAAATCTAAGGGCGCGTGTTGAGCAAAATCCCCAAACGTCATTGAAGAGATTATCTTTACAATCTGGTGTGCCACTGAGTACATGCTATAAAGTGCGCAAGAAAAGATTGCATATGAACCCTTACAAGACCAGTGTACTACAGCAACTTCTGCCAATACTGCCAATAGATATCCCACGTCGTCTGGAGTACTGCCAATGGTTCCAAAATAATCTCAACGATGACTAGCTATTGGACTTAACATTTTTCAGCGATGAGGCTTGGTTTCATTTTCCGGGATACGTGAACTCACAAAATTTTAGGTTTTAGAGATCTGAGCAGAATCCCCAAAATTCCATTGAGACTCCACTACATTCTCAAAAAATTGGGGTGTGGTTAGCAGTTTCTCGTAGGCGAATATATGGGCCGATTTTCTTCGATGGCACTATCAATGGTGAAAGTACAGACAAGTGATGTTAGAACCATTCATCAATCAACTTGATGATGAAGAAATTCGAGTTGGCTATTTTCATCAAGATAAGGCCACTGTCCACACCACACGTGCAAATTTAGAATATTTACAACAATTTTATGACAACTGTGTGATTAGTCGAGGAGTCAATCCTTCTTTTTCAACACGTTCTCCAGATTTGACGCCTTTGGATTTCTGCCTTTTTGGATATTCGAAAGACGAAGTATTCAAGAGAGACAATAATAACATTGAAGAGCTGCAAGCCTAAATAACACATTGCTGCCAAAATATTGGCCCGAAAATGCTGAGGAACATTTTCGACAACGGCGAAGAGTTTTGAAATGCTTGGAGAACAACGGAGAACATTTTGAACATTTGATGTAGGTTAATGAAATAAACCGTTATTTATTACTTCTTTAATAATTATTTTCGATTTGTTCCATTATATTTCAAACTCTCCTTTCTTTGAGAAACATTTCCATAGTGTATGCAAAACGATATAAAAAAGATCCTGTATATGATCACTTCCTCTTTTTGGTCGTTAAATGTTGTTAACAGCATTAGTAGAAAGCGGCAAATGGAAAAGAATGTTAACAGCCACTACGATGTTACGATCATTTATAGAGACCCTGTATAACACTCCACTACCGATTTGGGCACTGTTCGAACATTGTGCTACGCGATTCGGCACCGTTCAATGGGCTTATATCACAAAAAAATTTTATTTCATAATTCGATAGAACTCACCCAAACTAGCTCACCATCGCAAACCGTTTCTTGCTGTGAGCTCCCTACGTTTTATAAAAAATTATTGAAATCCCCGATTTTTCGGACCTCTGAAAACGAGGCGATGATGTGACGTCAAAACCCTGATACTGAAACAAGACTTTTCCAGACAGAGATGAATGATACATGATTTCTGACAGAGTGAATTAGCGCGAGATCACAGTTGAAAGAATTAATATATCAGTTGCCTCAGTCTCCGTCGGGCGTTTAGTATTTTCTTTCAACTATGGCGAGATGAGGTTTCTACGTCATAAGAGGGTCCGTTTTCAGAAGGTACCATTATTTATGTCCAAAAATAAAACATTCCAGTTAATTTTTCGATCGACTTATGTCGTCAATCATTATTTATGTACAAAATGATCATTATAAACATGGTTTGAGTTAAAAGTTCTACTAAGGTGTACACGCCCATTGTTGGTTGTGATAGTGAGGGGGTATTCAAATGCACCAATGAGAATTGAGACGGGTGCCGAACCCTATAGTGGAATGTTTAAATGCTTCCCGGCAATATTTATTTTATTTATTTATTTATTTATTTCAGTTATTGCATTACATTCTTTTCTTCATTGATACATTTCATACAAATAATATATAAAGTATAATTAATTTTCTAGTAGGAATGACATGAATGATCAGACAGTAATTCCTGGTATAAGATCATTCATGAAGTATTATCGACTGTTGTATAATTGAAATTACAAATAGTGAACAAAACTTACATATCATTAAGATACAGTCATATTATAGTGAACGAGAAGGGGAAAAATAAAAACAGTGAAAAAAAAAAAAAAAAAAAGGAAATTCATGGTAACGATATTCTTCCTTCAGGCTACCAAGAGCAACCGAAGACCCAAAACGCCCTGCCGCCGATCGGCAGCAACGTGGTGCACAATCGGCCGACCGTCGTCTCGCAGACCGCCCAGCCGGACTATTTCGGCGATCTGTTCAAGGCCGGCGCCGGCAACATTCCCGCAATGCTCAATCTGTCCAACGACGGCCATCTGATGCAGTCCAACTACAACGCCATTCAGGTCAGTGGCATTTTTTTTTCATATTCGTTTTGTTTCATTTGAAATGTGACGGAGAAATCGCAAAAATTCTGGAATTGTTAGGAAATTATGACTGATATAATGCGCACAAGTTTCCTAAATCATGCAGCTGTTCGAAATTTTCCGTGGTCCAGTAATACAACTCATAATCGAAACTGAGGTACTTATTAAATATTATTAACCTTTTTCCTGACTTGTTAATGGCTATTAATGCAGTTTAACTAGAACGCCATTCAGGTCAGTGGCATTTTTTTTTCATATTCGTTTTGTTACATTTGAAATGTGACGGAGAAATCGCAAAAATTTTTAAATCGTTGGGAAATTATTGTTCATGGTAAATTATGACTGATATAATGCGCACAAGTCATGCAGCTGTTCGAAATTTTCTGTGGTCCAGTAATACAACTCATAATCGAAACTGAGATACTTATTAAATACAAGGTGTTCTTGAAATCAGTGCACATATTCAGCACATTAATGTGATACAGTCTATGGAATATTCCCATGATATCAGATTTTTTCTAATTCTTCTAATTAACGAGAAATTCCATCCCAAAAATTAAACAAAATACGAGAAAAAAATCACTTTCAAACAATTTAAATAATTAAACTCCGTGTGATTGTGCCTACCGCATGGAAATTTGAACAGAGGTGACGTCAGATTTGCTACAGTGGAGAACTTCGGGTGGAGAAATGGTTCTAACCTCAAATTTTATTTTGATCCCTAAGTTTTTTTAATTATTGTCATTCGATGGTACACGTCGAGCTTTCTCAGTGCTTGAAATATTTGCACTTATTTAAATGCCTCCCTGTATAACAATCTGTTTTTCACAATGGAATAATTTTATACAATTCATTACCGAATGAGTTAAAAAATATACATGATGCAAGAAGGTTTAAAATCAATCTTAAAAAATACTTGCTCAGGACAATTTGAAAGAAAAATATGTGGCATGATTTGATTACTTAGGAATGAAATATAACTTCAATCTTATAAGACACAATATTAATTCGTTTCCACTGAGTGGAATTCATTATAGTTAACCCTTTATTATTATTTTTTTATATGTATTTATGTATCCCTATCATAAACAGAAATGTTTCTTGGGGTAATAAAGACAATCAATCAATAATTAACCTTTTCCTGACTTGTTAATGGCTATTAATGCAGTCCAACTAGAACGCCATTCAGGTCAGTGGCATTTATTCAAACGTGATATAGGATATAGGAATCGTAAAAATACAGGAAATTCATGGTCATCACACTAGACAAAATAACTTGTTTCATTTTGAAGCTGCAAATTCTAAACTTGGACAAAAAAGTTTTCACATCAGGCGATTTCGAAATTCAATAAATTTAATTATTTATCCAGTCATATTTATTCTCATTCTTCAAAATCTACTCCAAATACACCCCATACTCGAAAAGAAAATACTCATTAAATGCAGTCTTTGATTATTTAGTAGGAGGCGATATCTATGGACAAGGTGAACTACTTTTTGTTGAGTAGTAAAGGGTAAAGATCGGTAGAGATTCATTTTTAGATATTTTTATTAAAGAAGCGGATCCAAATATTGTTATTTGGAAGCCTTCATTATATCGAAGTTAGTGATTTTGCTGCTTCAGAAAGAAGAATATTCTTAGCTAGTTCAACAACTTGCAGATAAGATGAACTCGAGCAGATTCGGAGAGTATAGTAAAATCGGCCATATTTCACTGAGTCCCGCTAGCGCCGCCTACGAATCAGCCACGAACCAGGGCCAAATTTGGCTTCAACATTTTACATCGAGGTGGATCTTATTAGTGAAGTAGTAATCTCACAATAGATAAAATAGATAAAAACAATTTTCAGAGTTTCACAGTGCCAAAATATTAATCAAATCAAATGTGAATGTATATCACAGTTATTAAAATCTGAATGTTAATAATCAAGGATACAATTAACCTTTTTCCTTACTTGTTCATCGCTATCAGTGCCAAAAAGAGGCATTTTATTAGCACTTGGCACATCGCAACATATCTCCGTTGATTTGAAATTTTTCCAAATGTTTGTTTTCCTGAAATTACTGACGGTCACGAGTTTTACATCATGTTTGAAGAAGTGCCCCAACTTTGATAACATTTTGTATTGACACTTCAACGGCCATGTTAGTCATTGAAGACTGACATGAAGTAAATCTGGAGTGCCGAGATCATTATTAGTGTCCAACCACCACGGACCACATTTCAAGTAGCGCGATCTAGTAATCGGAGTTCAAAGTTATGCATAAATTCGATCGAGCACAGCAAAGTGTCTGTCAAATGCGACTGTTTGTCAGTCATACAAGATTGACGCGGACATTTTCCTCTCAGTCATAATACACACACTGGCACAATTAGGGGAACGGGTAAAATTTACACTAAGTTTGACATCAATTTTCTCTCGAACCTATCACTCGATTCAAATTTGTTTTTCACGAATTGTAGCTTCATTCTACACGAATACATCTGAGAAATAACCACCTCCAAACGATTCGTCTTTATATCATATACAGGGGTGTAAAGAAAGTACGGATTTTTCGGTATTCTTTGAGACATCCTGTGGAGTGAACCACTGATAATTGAAACGATTTTCCAACACCAAATTATAGCCCAATCTATCCCGAATATTTTCGTTTTTTATTCATCTTGATATCCCAATTATCCAAGAAAATATAGAGTTTCAAAGAAGAGGTGGATATTGGTATTAATTTCACCACCTCGAAACTCGAACTGGGGAGAACGTGTCGTTTTTCAACTTGTTTCTGTGAGGATTTTTACTTCAAGATGAGAATTGTTCACAGTTTTACCTATCGGTTTTAATATGCAGGGGTGATAAAAGTTGCTCCAATGTTCTTTTGGTGAAATGCTATTTTTGTTAATCAACGTTGGCTCTTTTGTTAATGTCATTAATTATTGTCAAAGTCAAGCGATTCACCATTCATAAATTTGATTAATGAAAATTTAACGTGAGAGATTTGACTCCTACTGATGTGGCGAGGGCTGTAGCATTAATTGAAAATGACCAGTGGGCCAATGTTCTTTTGACATATGAGAGCCTCATCTGCACCAATTCAATAGATGGCAGGGAAAGACTATATCGCCGAGGTGAACAAAATGAACAATTTGATTTTACTGCTTCTGTGTCCTATGGCAGAGGTTTAGTCATGGTTAGGTCAGGTTAGTCAAGAAAGGACACATTTTCAGATCCAATTTGAGTGAAGTGTAAAATTGATACCAATATCCACCTTTCCTTTGAACCTCTGTATTTTCTTGAATAATTGAGATATCAAGATGAATTAAAAACGAAAATATTCGGAATAGATTGGGCTCCAATTTGGTGTTGAGAAATCGTTTCAATTATCAGTTTTTCAGTCCACAGGATGTCTAACAAAATACCGAAATTCCGTACTTTCTTTACAGCCCTGTATATGATGGAAAGACTCATCTTTTGAAGGTAATTATTCCTCAGATGTATTCGTGAAGAATGGAGCTACATTTCGTGAAGAAAATAATTTGAATCGAGCGATCGGTTCGAAAGAAAATTGATGTCAAACTTAGTGTAAATTTTGCCCGTTCCCCTAATTGTGCCAGTGTGTGTAGATTGACATGGGTCAAATGGTCGTTAACGTGCTTGAACGTTGTTGTTTTTTTTTAGAATCTGAGCTTTTCTCAACCACAGCCTGTTGTACAGCAGCAACAGAGCGCCACCATGTCCCGTTTGAATCCGAAAGCGCCGGAATACTCCAGCTACAACATGCAGAGCAAACCGTCGCCGCACACTTACAATGGCTATCAAATGAACAGCCCGAGCAACATGTACATGTCGAAGCAGCAGCAACAACATCAACAGCAGCAGCAGCAAAGTGGCATGGAAAATTTCCACAGGTGAGAATAATAATTGATGATGAAATATCGCGATTTTATTATGGTAATCATATTTATTCATCTGGAAACTTGATGCTGCTTATTTGTGGCGAATGTAGCTCTTACAATCACGAATTAATCCATAGAACATAGTATTGGGTATGCGTGGAGGCATCGCTCAGTGCTCAGGGCGTTTTTAGTTCTCTAGTTGTTTGAGAAATTCATCATGGTTTTGCTAACTAGTCTATCGAAAATTACTGTTCAATCAAGTTTTCAAGTATAAAGAAGTGGTAGTTTCTTTATGTCGTGTGGAGGTATTACTATGTGCGTCTTCCACTTCCTGGATATCACAACTATTTATAGTAGGCATTACCAGTATAGAACGATTTTACTACGTTTCCACTGTAGTGTCAAACAAAAATACTAACAAATCCGACCACAGATTATGTTTTAAATTATATTATTGGGTATGCGTGGAGACATCATTCAGTGCACGGTGTTCTCTAGATGTTTTGGTTTTGGTAACGTGTATTGTAAAAATAACTGATGACAAATTCACTACACCAATCAAGTATATAAATATGATAGTAACTTTGTATCGTATAATGCCAGATGATTACTCACACTTAGGGTATGTTCGGTGGTATTACTCAGCGCGTTTTCCACTTCCTTGAGATTCGAATAACAAATGAGAATCCTTGAATCGTATTTAGGTCACAAGTATAGTAGACATTACCTGTACTAATTGATTTTACTACTTTCTCACTGTAATTTCAAACAAAAATACTGACAAATTCAATCACATGTTATTTAATAGAAAATTGAATTGAGTATGCGTGGAGGCATCACTCATTCCTCTGTTTTCAGTTCTGATGTTTGAGGATGAAATCATGCTTCTGTTCACTAGTGTTGTAATTCACTACAGCAACCAAGTATATTAATACGAAAGTAACTTTATGTCGTATCATGTTAGATGGCTACTTACATTTCGGGTATGCGCGGAGGTTTTACTCAGTGCGTTTCCTACTTTGAGATTCAAATGACGTTGACAAGTATCGCATACATTATTAGTACTTGTTAATTTTGCTACATTTTTACTGGCTTCTCAAATAAAAATACTGACAAATTCAGTGACAGGTTATTTCATAGAATATTGGGTATGCGTGGAGGCATCATTCAGTTATCGATATTTTCAGTTCTCTCGATGTTTGAGGATCAAATCATGCTTCTGGTTACTAGTGTTGTTAAAATAACTAATCACGAATTCACTACATCAATCAAGTATAATAATATGTACAGTTCGGGTATGTGCGGAGGTTTTACTCAGTGCGTTTTCTACTTTGAAATTCAAATGAAGTTAACAAGTATCGCATACATTATCAGTACTTGTTAATTTTACTACATTTCCACTGTCTTCTCAAATGAAAATACTGACAAATTCAGTGACAGGTTATTTCATAGAATATATTATTGGGTATGCGTGGAGGCATCATTCAGTTCTCGATCTTTTCAGTTCTCTCGATGTTTGAGTAACACATCATGATTTTGGTAACGAGTATTGAAAAAATAACTGATCAATGAAGTATTCTATCATGCCAGATGATAACTCACACTTTGGGTATGTGCGGGGGTATCTACTCCGTGCGTTTCACACTCCCTTGAGATTGAAATGACGAATAAGAGTAATTCAATAATGTTTTGGTCACCATGGAAAGACCATAACCTTGCCTCAAATAAAAAAATGAAACATGGATGGATAATGACATTCCAGATCGAACTTGGGCTCCCACCAAACCCGCCAATGGCTGCAAATGCAACCGCCCTTCACTCAATCCGACCACCTGATGAGCGGCATCGCCGGCATGACGTTGCACAGCATCGCCAAATTCACCGCCTCCTCGGCGGCAGGCGTCGAGACGCTCGATAACGGCGCCGACGCCTCGATGGGCGTATACGGCATGGAGGTGGACGGGCGCAAACCGCCTCAGCCGATCGGCACGGGCAGGAAGGCGGTGGGGGCGGCGGGGGCGTTTGGCGGGTCGATGGAGGGGTGGCGCATGATGGCGGCCAACAGCGACAAGATGGCGGCGGAGAAGTGGTCGTTGGGCAACGGGGCGACGGTGGCGGGGGAGTATTCGGTGCGGAACGCGCAGATGTACGGGGATGATATGCCGCCGATGGATTATTCCGTGAGTGCTTTTTTTTTATCGTTATACAGTGTCGTTGGTAAAGTTGGCATCATATGGGGAAAACTTTCGATAACAATTTATTTTCATGTTCGACTTGGACATTTGAGTTTTGCCTTGAAAAAGATGGAAGATTGCCTACTCGGTCGGAGTCACGTGACTTTCACTACATGTCTAAAGATGATTTTCATCAAATTAATCGATGAACATTGACTTATTCAGTTGAATTTCGAAAAAGTTCAGTAAGAACAGTTGTATCTATTCCAATTTTACCCATGTGTCTCAAATTTAAACGTTCTATTGCAACTGAGTTTTTGATATTTGTTGATGTTTTGGTTAGACACGTAAAGTAACATCATTTTGGTACGGAAAAAAATCATTTAAATACATTTTGCCTCTGAATGATATACGATACATCAACTTTGCATCAAACATAAGAGAAATTCGAAGCGGGGATTATTATTTTCTGAAGGAAATTATATTTTTGTCGATAATTAGTGATTGATAGTTAATAGCATGACAGAGCTACCAGAATGAAAGTTTGTCGGCGTTAATTTTTTTTGAATTTCATGTTGGCAACACTATTAAATAGTAGTTTAAAAAACTAAAAAAACACGCGTGTTTTCTATTTCTCCTATATTTTTTGTTAGTACCGCCCCGTAGTGAACTATTCATAAGAGTACTTGGTGTAAGACAGATCGAGAGATTGAAACGTTCATTTGAATATTTGGTGAAAGAACCTTTTTGAAATTTTAGGGGCGGAACATCAAAAAATCGCTCATCCCGAAGATCCTGATTAGGATAATGGAAATAAAACTTATTAAATCATGCTATTCTCATCGGTTCTTGACAAGTTTCTATTCAATTAGAATTTTGAAGTGGGTCAAAATAACGTTCGTAGATTCCGCGTTTCAAACAAACATACAAACATAATTACCGAGCTAATATAAGTGTGATAAAAATGGGAAGAAATGGAGAAGAATACCATTCAAACCTCTTTTATATTGAGTTAATTCTAGTGTTATCAACATACATTTTTCATTATTCCACGTTGGAACACTGAAAACATGGTTAGATGGGTGGAGACATATTTCCGCTCTATCAAAGCTAGCTGAATTCTATTGAACAAATTCTCAAGGGCGAAATATTTTGTATTGTGAGGTCAGCTACAAACATATTAAATGTCAACTGTGACCAAAATTGGAAGAGTGGATTGTCAATCAACTACCTTCCATTGTAATTCCAACTATGATTGACAATAACAAAACACAATACATTTGACAAGTGGCACTCAATTGCGACAGTAGCTGCTACCATCATAATAACACAAAATGTCTCGTGCTTCTCAGGTGAAATTTGATTGATCAATTCAAAAAAGAGAAAGGCCTAGCATTGGACATAATATTTTGTACACATCTCAAGCCAAGATCCAACAAAAATATCATGATAGTTTCCTTACATTTACCTGAAATTCGCCATAAATCATCTCAAATCTCACAAAACTGTGTCGTCATCAAAATTCAGTCACACCATACAAAGTTAGCATTATCCCAATCCAAATTCTTTCGATCTATGACATCACATCCCGAGTCTTCTATGTCCTGGGTGTCGTAGTTTTGAATGTGCTATTCTCATATCCACAAAGAGATGGAGTTATCTTTCATGTAAAGATGATAATTCATGTTTCAATGCGTCAGATCATTTGTGGGGCTGGTTTTTCAGTCTCCAGTTAGTGAGAAAAAATTATAAAAAGTTTTTCGATCTCGCTGTCCCTTTAAAAGGACGGTAGGATAAAGGGCAGCTATTAGAAAACTAACCGAAGATTTAATAATATGTATGATATCATACAAAATGCTCAGCAAAATACTTGAAACTTTTAGAAACTAATTACTATGATAGGCCAAAATAGCCTCATCAAGGCTGTGATTCTCTTCAATTGGGGCATGATTGAAAAACCGTCACTATCGATCCAAAACTTGACAAAATCCTAACGATACCGATTGACCTTGTTTAAGATGTCAACAAGATATAATGTGACTGGCGACATCTTCAAACCGTCAGCTGAATCAGAAAAATACAGGTTTCGTTCTGAAGTCCTTTTAAAAAGTAGGTGTAAATGGGTTAATGAACTGACCCTAACATTAATAATGTCTTATCTATTTTCGCATTTCTCAATTAGGTGATTTATTTTGTGAACTGACTCATTTTCACGAGTGAGATCTTTTTGTTGAATTATATGTCTTATTTTTGAAAACACCCTATGAAATCTGAGATCACGACTTTCACATCATAGTGTCCTCACATAAGGTGAAGTTTCATTGTTTGAAAGCTTCTAAATCATGCCACTAGAGTGATACATATATGCCAATCGCTTACTGCACACACTACCCTGATCAAGAATACGATAGTGTCGAGAATGTATTCGCATTATATATCACGTGACTATACAGGGTATATCACGACGAGCTTACACTATCTTCATATCGAGAATCAGTCTTGAGGAATTTATAGAAATGTGCGTGGTTATATTTGAGATTATGCTCTCTTCATTACAAAAAAATTGTATCAATGCAGCGTTGCCGCTTTTACCCTAAAGTAGTAGCAACTTGAATATTTTGAATGGAACACCCTGTATTTCATTGTATTTTCAGATTCTCCCTGAAGAGTTGAGTTGGGGTCTAGCGGGTATGATTACAGAGATATAGGGTGTCCAAAATAGAGATTTTTCAACATTAGGATTTTTTTGTGTTGAAACTATTCATTATCGGTCAAAACGGCTTTCATGTCCTCATCTTACCTTTCGATTTACTATCTACTGACATTCAATTGGAACAGATACAGAGTTATCAGAATTCTGAATCTTGAACCACCCTGTATTTTTTCAGTTACGGGATGATCAGAATTCTAAATCTTGAACCACCCTGTATTTGTTCAGATATAGGGTAATCAGAATTCTGAATCTGTATTTGTTCAAATACAGGGTGATCAAAATTCAGAATCTTGAGCCACCCTGTATTTGTTTTGATTCAATTAGATGCAGTGTGATCAGAATTCTGAATCTTGAACCACCCTGTATTTGTTCAGATACAGGGTGAGCAGAATTCAAAATCTTGTTGAACCACCCTGTATTTTGTTAAGATACAGGGTGATCAGAATTCTGAATATTGAACCACCCTGTATTTGTTCAGTTACAGGGAGATCAGTCTTCTGAATCTGTATTTGGTCAGGTACAGGGTGATCAGAACTCTAAATATTGAATTACCCTGTATTTATTCAGATACATGGTGAACAGAATACTGAATGTTGAACCAACCTTTATTTGTTTAATTATATGTCAGTAGATAATAAATCAAAAGGTAAGATAAGGACATGAAATCTGTTTTGATCGATAATGAATAGTTTCGGCACAAATAATCCTAATGTTGAAAAATCTCTATTTTGAACACCCTATATCTCTGTAATCATACCCGCTCGACCCCAAGTGTAATGCATTGATGAACTCGGCTCTTCCGGAAGAATCTAAAAATGCAATGAAATACAGAGTGTTCCACTTGAAATATCAAAGTTGCTACTACTTTCTGGTTTGAGCGGCAACGCTGCATTGCTGAAAATACCTTGAAAGAAAAAAGCGTTATCTCAATTATTATAAACATGCACATTTTCATGAATTTCCTGCGACTGATTGTTGATATAATAATAGTGTAACCTCGTCGTGACATACCCTGTATATTTTCTGTAGCGCCCCATACCGAATTTGGATACCTCGCATACATACATGAACGGACCTCCCTATTACAACCAACCGCCGTTGAATGCGGTCCAGCATGACTTCATGCAGGACATGCAAAAGTTGGACCTGTCATCTTGGAATAACGCGCCCAGGCCCATTCCCGAACTACCAGACAAACAGCATGTAAGTCCGATTCAATGTCAAAGTTGTGTTCTTTCGTTCTGAACTACTTGGAATAGTTCACTAGTTCACAGGTTTAGTGAAATATTTCAGTTAATTCGGATTGAAAAAATAGGTCGCGTGCACGATGACCGACCCTGGAGGCAAAATATTGAAACACAACCTCATTCTTCTGTGAATTATTGAAACACAACCTCACTTTTTACTTGGTTACAGAGGAATCAAAGGATTGAACTAGTTTTTCACAATATTTTGGCATACGAATCGTGTTTTTTGCGCTATTCATTAATTCGAGCATGCCTTCGCATTGTGCTGTTTTACAATGCACAAAAAATGCAGCAAGAGACTGAAGAATATGATTTTTCAGGTAAATAGTAATCTCACATAGTTATCATTATGAAATGTTGTCATTCCTTATTAAAATTCCTTCTGCCTTCTGTCACTTCTGCAATACAAGCTAATACTGCTAATAGATTGAAAATGTCTACAACACACACGATAGTCAGCATGTCAGACCAGTCCTCCCGATTGATTGCATGAATCCAATTTTCTGGCATTATTTTAGAAATTTCAGATGTATTTCTATTAGCTTCTATCGCAGAAAGAATTCCGATGAGAAATCAGAGAAATTACCAAATTTCAAAAATGAAAACTATATGTGAGTGACTATAGTAGTTATTTACTTTTAAATCATATTGTACCAACCGGATTACTTCGTCTTCCGTTGCAGTTTTTGTGCATTTCACAACCGCATAATGTGATGGCATGAGCGAATTGATGAAAAGCGGAAAAATACGATTCGTATGCCAAAATAATTGTGAAAAACTATTTCAATCACTTGTAAACAAATAAGTAAAGTGACGTTTGTGTTTCAATATTTTGCCTCCAGTGTCGGTCATCTGACAGTTCTTGCACGCAACCCATATCACGCGAGTCAGTGTTGTGGTCATGACCATAGACATTTATAAAGAGGAGAGATGGAATTGTTTATGCAGCAGAAAACGATGATGAAAAATTTCTGCGGGATGCCTGCCTGCCTGCCTTTGAAACTCATACATTTATTTCCTTAATTGAAATATCTGAATTCTGCTATTGAAATAATTAAAATTTTCCTAATTTCATCATCACATGAAATTATAATATAACATGAAACTAAATGTGGCAACGTTGTATTGGCGTTTTTACGAGTTGAGCATAATTTTAGTCGTTCACGTATATGTAAATCCCATATTACAGTCTTGTTGTGCTGTGCTTGTTACGACTTCAGGACTTTTTGTGTTTCAATTGATTCTCACTATTGTCTTGTTATAAAACTATATAAAGACAATTTTTAATAGTCTATCATGGTTCGCCAGTGCATGGATTGTGAAGAAGTTCACCATTGTTTTTTTAAACTGTGGCAGTGGTGTAGTTATCTCAGGTTATTTGACCAAATTATTGCAGGAAACCTTGTTTTTTTGTTCAAATTCCACTGCATGATTGATCAAAATTAGGCCTTAGATACTAGGAATATTTGGTATTAAAATTGAAAGATTGAACGCAAACATTTTCATAATAGGTAGTGTCGTCATTAACGCATAGCTTACAGCGTTGTCATTTTTAAAGCAATCTCTGTTTAACTCATTCTAAACTCTGGAAGTATGATTATAAACAAATAGTGTTCCATGAATGAAATGTTATATCTCCCCTCTTTTTGTATGTTTATGGTCGTGATTTTCAGTTGAGATAATGCCAACAGTTATTGATGCGTCATCATTATGACGGGTGTATGAATTGTTCAATTCCGTGGGTTTTGTTTTGTGTTATATCATTGTCATTTTAAATGAAAACCTAGTAAGTAGGCGAGAGGTAATGATATTGTCTGTTCATCGAAAGAAAAAAAGAATATCTTCCTTATTGGCCACATTTTCACTAAACTAGTGACCTCTATTTCTAACTAAGCTACTAATTTGTCATCCCAACCCTAAAATATAAAAAATTCCTGTCAAGACCAACTTTCCTGCAAGTTTATAATAAAAATTTCTCATGTTTCAACGTTTCAAGTACATACACAAATAAGGAAAACATGATGCATGAAGAAGAAACTGCTGTTTATGCAATGATGAAATTCTCAATTCATCAGTGCTATGATAAAACATTACTGTTCGCACTTTATCGGCATGCAAGCAAAGAACAAAAATTTAGGAACTACTTATTTACTCTTATATTGTTAATAATATCTTACAACCTAATCGTATTATTAGTGGAATATAAATTAATTATCATAAAATAAATAAACTATGTTGCTCAAGGAGAAACTATTACCTGATGTTTTCGGAAGTCATTGCATGTTACGTCTAATTCACGTCATCGTTAAGAAAGAAGTGTTAAAGAATTCGCATACCTCCTCTTGTAGAAGTAAAAAATAACAATAATAATCTTTATTATTCCAAAGAAACATATGTTTATAGCAGGGAAAATTATGAAAGAGCAACTAGAAAAAAATTGAATTAGGTAATCAGATAATAATTTTTAAATCATATACGTAGTACATATAATGTTTTTTCTTCTAGAAACTGTTGGATATAAGTTCTTGAATTGATTCAGGATGATCAAATTCCGAATCAAAGACAAGTATTTTGTCAGTTCTTTTTTGAATTTCTCAACACTTAATTTTTTCTTCAGTCTGGGCAAGTAATTCATTATAGACAATTGTTCCATTGTATAAAATAGATCTTTTACCCATATCTAATTATATTTTGATGAGAGTTAACATATCTTTTTGTCTGGTTATGTGTTCGTATAAAATTTAATATTTTGAATTTGTAATTGGAGTTGAACAAGGTTTATAAAGATTTCTTGTTGGTTCCAACTAATCTAGTTTGTATATACATTTAATAACTTTGTTTTGAAGGATTTTGATTGGCTTCATAATTGATAACCTAGATTTACCCTAAACTGAAATCAAGTATTGTAATTTTGAATAAACCGAGGAAAAATATATACATTTTAAGTATTTCAACGTGATTTGGTGTCTGGCCCTGTATAAATAAACCAACAACGAACTTGAAAGTAGACAATCAAATCAAAATTGTAATTTGTCTGCTGAGGTGACGTTTGGTAAACTCCAATCTAAAATCATTAATTTTTCACAATATCATACCTCTCGTCTTCTAACTAGGTTTCCATTGAGAACGAAAATAGTCATAACAACTACGAAATGGCCACAATGTAGTTGAAATTACGCCAGTCGGGCAACCAGCCACTGCCCTATGAGAATTTCAGTTTTGGAGTGTTTCTCTCCTTGTTTTCTACCCAGATGGCGTTGCTTTCATATTGCCTATGAAAAAGCTTCTGGGGGAATATAATGCCGACTTGATTTTTGTTTGGCTAGGTTACGCTTAGTCGGCGGTCTTAGGACTGCTGGCTGGAGACTTCTCTGCACTGATGAGAGTCAAAGAGCTCGAAACTGGTCTGTAGGTGTCTAGCGTGGACTGGCTAAATCGAAATCAATAGGAATTCAGGAAAGAATCACTTGTAGTATTCGTATACTGTGTGTCCCACTTACCATGCTCACCATGGGTATCTTTTTAACGGTGAGAGATACGAGGTCGGTTAAATGACACCAAATGTGGAGTTTGTCAAGGCCAACTATGTGAGAAAATATTTTGATAAAATCTATTCGTTTTTGTTTTATACGCAAAAACAGATTTTGATCATTTTCATGTCTCCTCCGTAACTTCTTTATTTATGAAAATATTCGAATAGGAATTTCACATTCTCATGGCAGTTTTTCAAAGTGATTTCGAAAAAAATATGAAATTTATACCAACTCTTCTAGAATTTGAGATATCAGCACCAACTTTAGTTTTTCAAATGTAGGTCATAGCTCACTATGATTTAGTTACAAATAACTTTTTTTTCTCTTACAGATGATATGTCGCAGTAATAGTTTTGTGTTGATAACAACGGAGTTATCGTCATTTATACAAAAACAAAAAATTATTCGGAAGTCGTCATCTTGAATTTATGAATTTCAACAGGAAATTCATGATCTTCGACCTCAAAAACCCCCACTTACCAATTTTGAATGGAATCGGACCAAATCTTGTCCGCCATCTTGGAGCAGCCATTTTTTTTATTTTCAACAAAAATTCCATAACTCCGATTAACTTGAAATTTGGCAGGTGTTCATAATTTCGGTGACAAAACATTATGGAATTTTTGTTGGAATAAAAAAGAAATGGCTGCTCCAAGATGGCGGACAAGATTTGGTCCGATTCCATTCAGAATCATTAAGTGAGAGTTTTTAAGGTCGGAGATCATGATTTTTTTGCTGAAATTTATAAATTCAAGATGGCGGCTTCCAAATAATTTTTTGTTTTTGTTTAAATGACGATAACTCCGTTGTTATCAACACAAAACTATCACTGCGACATATCATCTGTGAGAGAAAAAAAGTTTTTTGTAACTATGTCATAGTGAGCTATGACCTACATTTGAAAAACTAAAGTTGGTGCTGATATCTCAAATTCTAGAAGAGTTGGTATAAATTTCATATTGTTTTCGAAATCACTTTGAAAAACTGCCATGAGAATGTGAAATTGCTATTTGAATATTATCATAAATAAAGAAGTTACGGAGGAGACATGAAAATGATCAAAATCTGTTTTTTGCGTATAAAACAAAAACGAATAGATTTTATCAAAATATTTTCTCACATTATAGTTGGCCTTGACAAACTCCACATTTGGTGTCATTTAACCGACCTCGTATATCTCACCGTTAAAAAGATACCCATGGTGAGCATGGTAAGTGGGACACACTGTATACGAGTCGATGCATAGATTTCGGGAGGATGTAATTCAATGTTCTGCGTGGCATCAGCCAGGAAAGTAGTTGTTTTTCTCCCGAAATCTACCATTGTTGTTCATTTTATGAATAGTGTGTGGATATGACTGAGCTTTCTGTATTTATTTGACAAGTATGGAATGATGATGCATCAACAACTTTGTCGCCAAATTGTTTTCATATTTCTGATGATTCACATTCTTTCAGGGGTGGACCAACAAATGGAACCAGTAACAACAAACGTCAACACGTGAACTATAAGCGTATTTTAAATTAAGTCCAAAAAATCGTGCGAAATTTAGCTTCTCTTTGTGATTTTTGGAATACAAGTTTTTGCAGTAGCTCCTAGTTCTAGTTTTCTTTTATTTTATTTTTCTTTTTTTGTTATACGGTACAAAATATCCGATCGTGTCGGCCCTTTATACAGGTCAAGTAACCGGCAGTCGTTTATGTAGCCACCGTCGCATTTGGTGTATATATAAAAAAAATCATTATTCAAACCCGTTCGATGTAGTTACTTGCATGTCGATTTTATTTTAACGAACCGCTTATAGTTTGGCAAGTAATTTGTAGCAGGATGGAAAATAAATAAGAGTTACTGAGTTTGGGCTCCTGAAGTCGCTGTGAGCGACTTCGGGACCGGGATTTATAAAGGTTTAATCGTAAAAAATTATACTAAAACATGTAAAATGTAGTAGTTGCGCATGAAAAAAGGTTATGAGGGATTGGCGATTAAGGGACAAGTTCTTACTTGTGATTCTTTGTTCTCTAATCGAATATTATATTTTCTTTCCTACTCGGTCGAGTGTGGTGTTTGTGTGTTTGCCACCCATGAAATGTTGCGTCTGGCACACAACACAAGCACTGTGTGCTCTGTCTCCGCTAATTGGTAGGATTATTATTATACGGAATATTATGTAATATTTGCTTGTACATGAAGACTTAAATATATCTTTATGCACTGTATACTTTTTTATTCGTATCATCCATGACCCTGGCCGAGGTTGAGGTAGAGATATACCAGGGCCTACTCTATCTCACCGGGCCGTAGTCTATCCCCTCTCTCTCGACTCTGACGTCACACTAGTAGGTTGAGATTTCACAACAGTTCGTACTGGTGCGTTCGTAATTAATAGACTATAGCTCATTTACTATACATTTTAGAAGCACACACAATCGAGACGAAATGATCCCCAACGAATTCCCCAACTTTTGGTGAAAAAATGAATCCAATAGGATGTATCAATACCGAGTTCTGGCGTTGTAAAGAAATTCCATTTTATTGAAAATCAGGACGTTGTACTACAGAATACTATTTTTTGCAAATTTGGAATCGGAATAAGATAAAACCAACTCAGTATATCAAACTAGGATAATGTATCAATTGAATAGTGAAAAAATGGTAGAGTTACCTACAATTAGTCCGAAAGAAATTAAATATAAAGAGCGCGTAAAAAATTAACCATTATACCTACTTACCCAAATTTCGCTGTATTACGATTTCGCGGTAATTCCTTGGACTGGTAGAGGGCGATAAACGATATACTTTTTATTATATAATGAATGTCTGAAAAATTCGAAACAACATTTCTACAATGTAAGTCACAACATAAAGTTTTGGAAAATTTAGTAGAAATTAAAATCAATTCCCTTCTCAATTATTTAGAGATTCAATGTTGCAGTTGTGGGTCTTTTGATGAAATCATCAGAATAGTCCCTAAAACCATTTCGAATAGCGAATAGGCGTTTTTGTGTAATAACACACTCGAGTGATAAGATTTCTAACGTCATCAAAGTGCGTCCTGATTATCTTTAGACATAAACGCTGCTAAAACCCTTCTAGATAAAGTGGATGTGTATTATACCGATTTGTAGGCAATCAAATTTCCTACAAAAAAGTCAGTGACAGCATATATCCATAGTTGATAGGATTAGCATGGGAGGCGTCCGAACTTTTTGAACTATTCTGTAATGAACACCTGAATCATCGTTCTACTTGAACTGAAATATCGGTTTGTTATTAGCCCTTGGGAATTTCAAGAAAAAACTCAGTCAATCTAGATACTATGAGAAATCTTTTCATGATTGAATCATTTCTGTGAATCGGATATTGGAATTTTGGTAGTTGTTTAAAAAAGGACAATTCTGAATGGCATCAATTGATTTTAATATGCGATATTTCTGAAACTAATGATCGTAAATCAGTGAAAGTTGATTCATCTTCTGGAAAATTCTGTTCTGTACATATTTGATCTCCTGATATTTTTTGCTAACTGTAACCGTTTTCCCGAGGTACATCAATAAAACGGGAGAGATAATTTCCACTGCGTTGATTTTGTCCATACTAGTGTGACGTCACGAAAGCGATGCTCCGGCCCGGTTAGATAGAGTAGGCCCTGGATATACAGGGTTTCTATAAATGATCGTAGCATCGTAGTGGCTGTTGAAATAGTGCCACTCTCTGCTTACGTTGTTGACAATCTTTGAATTGACCGAATGAGTTATAGTTCGATCTCCATAACAGGAAAGCGGCACTATTTCAACGGTCACTACGACGCTACGATCATTTATAGAGACCCTGTACTACATTAATGATAAACTGTACAGTGTGTCCAGTTTTCGATGCTTTTGCGTGATATCTCGGAACCTTGCGGCTTTCGCGTCCACTTCTTTGTGAAAATCAAGATGGCCTCATCAGATTTTTCCTGTTTCCGTTTATGAGATACAGGGCGATTTTGAAAATTTATACTTTTTGGAACCCTCTCTATATCCACGAAGTTTCTTAGCGAAAATCTCAAACTGAAATCTTATCCCATAGAGAATTTTACGCAGAATCCAGTGGCGCACTCTTTTTTTTTTTTTCGGGGTACGGTTTTGCAGATACGACTCAAACTTATTTTCTTCCCTTCAAAATAATATATGATGTATAGATATAACATTTTCAAAAATGCTCAAAAATCACTAAAACATTGAATTCTAATAGTGGGCTATGGATTGTTCACGTAAAAAAAGTTCCAATTGAAGGAATATTTGTATCGATTCTTCCATGAAGAGGACAAAAACGATATCAACACAAAAATTAACTAATAAAAGTTAGGTACAACCAAAGCAACAAATGAATAGTAATAAAAAGTTCATAATGTAGAATAAGCACCTGATCAAATACTTACTAAAACAATTGAATTTCGAATTTATTCAATAACTTATTCATTGAATTGTTCAAATTGACGTCAATTTTCCCTAACACACAATTGACACAGTTTCTCAATACGTCTTGATACAGTAAGAGTCACAAATATCTTGAAGAACTTCGTGCAACAACAGACGCAGTTTTCCAGAAACTACAAAGACATCTTTTAATGATTTTGAATGCATAAGACGTATTTATAAAGTGTGTGAGGGAAAATGAACATCAATTTGAAAAATTCAATGAATGAGTTACTGAATAATTTCGAAATTCAATTGCTTTAGTTGATATTTAATCAGGTGCTTATTCTAAATTATGAACTTTTTATTACTATTTATTTGTTGCTATCAGGTAACTAAGATGTGTATTTTGTTAGTTAATTGGTGTTGGTATTGTTTTTGTCCTCATCATGGAAAAATCAAAGGAAATATTCCTTCAATTGGAACTTTTTCATATGAAAATTCCAGGTTTTAGTGATTTTGGAGCGTTTTTCAGATATTCATACATCATATATCATTTTGAAGGGAAAAGAATAAAGAATTCAATGAGCTGATAAAATACAGGGTGTTCAATTTGAAAATTCCTAAGTTTGAGTCGTATCTGCAAAACCGTACCCCGAAAAAAAAATTGAGAGCGTCACTGGATTCTGTGTAAAATCCTCTATGGACTAAGATTTTATTTCGACAAATTCTGTGAGAAACTTCGTAGATATAGAGGGGGCCCAAAAAGTATAAACTTTCAAAATCGCCCTGTATCTCAAAAATGGGAACAGTTATGCAAAATTTGATCAGAGCATCTTGAGTTTCACAAGAAAGCGGCACAGGACCGCAAGGATCTATCTCCAAAGATGACTGAGATATCACGCAAAAGCATCGCAAACTGGACACACTGTACATGAAAATAGTATATTCAAGATTAATTTAATAAAAACATCCTGTAACTCATTTTGTATGCCAAGCATAACATAACTGATACCTGAAGACAATTTGTGGGATTTTCCAGTTTTTATGTTGAAAACAGGAACAGATTCGTTCCCATCCCATCCAAAGATGAGTGAACATTGGATATTTTTTTCCAAAATATCTATATTTCTCTCCAAACAAGTTCCAAAACGAAGTGTCACAGACAATCGATTGGAATTTCCTTTTAGGTTCCATGAATATTTAAAAGCAGTGACATTCTGGGGCAATCATGTGATTTGTCCTCACCTCACAAATATTGAATTACTTATATTTTCATTTTCATAGAAACGAGAAGGGAAAATTCCAAAAAATCTGGAAAAATCAATTTATCCTATCAGGTATACTCAAAGTTGATTCAGATCTTTCAGGAGCTTACAGGAGACGTCATTCAGAACCTATTTAGCCACATTCACCTTAGCTCTCTTTCAGCTGTACTGTAGGACAATCTGTATATTGTCAGATTTTTTTTATTTCAAATTATTCGCGATAGTAAATAACACGTCGTCCCACCTGACGGAACTTGAACACTTCTTTGCGGTTTGTTTTGATGATATGACCAATAAGCACGAACAAAAAAACAAATGTGAAACAATAAAAACAAAGTAAACAGGCCGATTTGACAGCTCTCAAGAACACCTATAGGTGGGGTACGATTATTTTCTATCGCGAATTTACCAGTTCTAAAATCTTGAATAGCAGCATATTCTTTGAACTGAAGCCATCAAGGTGACGAATTGTTATTTTTTAACAAAAATCAACTGAGAGAGTGAAGAAATGATAGATACTGAGGTATTGATCACAGTTTTTCAATATTGATGATCATTTGTTATTCTTGAGGAATGAATGAAGGAAAATTATATGTACTCCTACCGACTGTGCCAATTTATATCAATCCAAGTTCTGACTGTGGTAATGTTTCGATGATTAACATACAGTGTATACGTAAAAAGTCCTCCATCCTCCTCCACTTTTTAACGGAACAAGCTATCGAGGTTGGGTAAAATTCTGGTAAAAAGCTACCTCTTTACTACTTTTTCGCATATAAATGATAGTTATCACGTGACCTAGTGTCGATAGGGTACCGTCAACTTCATTTTTCAAATGTTAAGGGGTGTCACGTGGTGCCTAGTTGTGAAGGCATTCCGATTCTCTATCAAATACTTCGTTTGTGTTTCATCTTTCAAACCTTGATGAGTATCACGTTCAATTTTGACATTTGAAATATTATAATATACATATAATATACTATTTCGTTCTTAAATGATGAATGATTGTAGTCATCGAATATGCTTGAAATGTTTATTGATAATTTTTCTACATGGCCCTCTTGTTTATTCTCGTGTTTTTCCTTCGGTTAGCTAAAGCTGGAGGTCTGGGAGGGACAAGGGGTTTTGGAAGTGGGGGGATTGGTGGGGGAGGTGTATTCGGCAAAGGAATATTCTGCAACTCGATTATCTGTAATCTCACGTCCATTTCAACCAACACGTCCAATTCTTTGTTGTAGTAATCGCTTCTCTTTGAGTAACCTACAAAACAGAAAACGTTTGATTTCCGTTGTCTCTTGGAGCGCACGAAGGAGAATCACTATTGTTTTCGGAGAACATCGTGCATAGATACGCACGGAGGATAGAGAAAAGGAGATTTTGGATTTGGATATTGGATTTTTTTCAACTGTTGAGGATTATAAGTTCTTGGAAATACTTTCTTCGGCAAAGCTTTGCCGTTTCTATAGACGATCGAGTTTTGGTAAAGAGTTGGTAAAGAGTAATAAAACGGCCATTTTGTTCTACTGGTGACACTAGCAATGCCAATAAAACGCAACAACAGAGATGTATAGAAATTTAACTGGTGGGCTCACTCTTCAATTGTTTCGTCAGACTAACTCTCGATATGGAACAATTGCAAGGGAGTTTTGGACGTGGGGTTCAGGTATTCGCGATAGAGGCGCCATAATCGGAAAATCGTTCAAATTCTTGGTACTGTGAGGGATGAATCTATTTCCATCATTGTTCTGTGGTCGAATAAATACTGTGCTCAACATTTTCATTCAAATTTCAATTTGAAATAGAAGCAAGAAATCTTTTTTGTAGCCGATTTTAATAAGCTTCACTTCTTTCATGACATGAACCTATTTAAAGCATGAAATCTGATGAATTTCCTCTTTGAAGAACCAGAACAAAGAATGTATCAACTATTGATATAGACCAATATCGAAAATCATAATAGGCAGATATGGTAACTGGTACTCACCTTAGAATTCATTCACACCAGTTCACTCTAATATTTCAAATCACTGAAATAATACTGTTGTAGAACAGAGATTTTCTTTTTTCTATGGTGGATTAGGTATTATACACAAAATTTAGAAACTACGGAACACGTCCCTAACGAACACTTGACCCCAATCTCAGAAATAACCATTGCTTCAGCTCAAGAATATGTTTGACATATTGACGTTTCGATCCTTTGATCAGGAATCAGTTCACTGCTCTGATCCAAATCATATACGTATCCAAATATTTATCGGTCGGTGATATGTTTCCTGTAAATATGGATTGTAACCAGGATGAGCTTAGCGAGATTTACCCACGTCAAGTATGTTTATCAAAGGTTTATCAGAGTAGGCGCCATCGAGAAACTTTCAAACGACCTTCAATAGGGAGCAAGCGCACCAGTTAAATTTCTATACATCTCTGCAACAACTATCGATATGAACGTAGGAACAATGTCAGTGATAGTGATTAAATAGGAATTTCACATTCTCATGGCAGTTTTTCAAAGTGATTTTGAAAAAAATATGAAATTTATACCAACTCTTCTAGAATTTGAGATATCAGCACCAACTTTAGTTTTTCAAATGTAGGTCATAGCTCACTATGACTTGGTTACAAATAACTTTTTTTTCTCTTACAGATGATATGTCGCAGTAATAGTTTTGTGTTGATAACAACGGAGTTATCCTCATTTATTCAAAAAATTATTTGGAAGCCGCCATCTTGAATTAATAAACTATAACAAAAAAATCATGATCTCCGACCTCAAAAACCCCCACTTACCAATTTTGAATGTAATCGGACCAAATCTTGTCCGCCATCTTGGAGCAGCCATTTTTTTTTAATTTCAACAAAAATTTCATAATGAATTGTCACCGAAATTATGAACACCTGCCAAATTTCAAGTTAATCGAAGTTATGGAATTTTCGCTGAAATTAAAAAAAATGGCTGCTCCAAGATGGCGGACAAGATTTGGTCCGATTCCAATCAAAATTGGTAAGTGGGGGTTTTTGAGGTCGGAGATCATGATTTTTTTGTTGAAATTCATGAATTCAAGATGGCGACATCCAAATCAATTTTTGTTTTTGTATAAATGACGATAAATCCGTTGTTATCAACACAAAACTATTACTGCGACATATCATCTGTAAGAGAAAAAAAAGTTATTTGTAACTAAGTCATAGTGAGCTATGACCTACATTTGAAAAACTAAAGTTGGTGCTGATATCTCAAATTCTAGAGAGTTGGTATAAATTTCATATTTTTTTCGAAATCACTTTGAAAAACTGTCATGAGAATGTGAAATTTCTAATTGAATATTTTCATAAATAAAGAAGTTACAGAGGAGACATGAAAATGATCAAAATCTGTTTTTTGCGTATTAAACAAAAACGAATAGATTTTATCAAAATATTTCTTCACATTAAAGTTGGCCTTGACAAACTCCACATTTGGTGTCATTTAACCGACCTCGTATCTCTCACCGTTAAAAAGATACCCATGGTGAGCATGGTAAGTGGGACACACTGTATTATTGACTACCTGCTAATATGTTGAAACCGTCTATCCAACAAGAAGCCGTCTTCTGATCCTGTGCTATGAAGTTCACTTGTTTCTCAGAGTGATTGAAGATTATTGAGAATACCAAGGCAGGGAACTTGCTTCTGCAATAAATATGTTTTTTTTTTTTTTTTTCAAATTAATAGTAACATTGAAATGATCTTGGAGAAAATTCACTTACAAATTCGAATGTCTGCAATTCATCCCAACAGCAATATGTGTAATATCTGCAACTTTCAAACTTTCCATTTTCTCTAGTTCTCCTTTCTTCTTGTCTATTACATCGAATAAATTCAGTTCTCGTTCATTTTTACTCAGCTGGACAAATATTTGGCGATTAGTTTTCTGAAACTTTTCGGATATTTTCGGGAAATATTCGCCTGCCTTGAGTTTATTCAACCTGTTTTCCCTAACGTATTGGTCGTTTTCTAGGGCATACTTTGTTTTCAGCATTTCGATATCCTTATTGTTATTCAACAGATCGCTCATTTTTTCGTCGTTTTCATTCTGCAACAAATTGATTGGAATGGAATATTTTCCACATTAGATTTTTTGTTCTTCGCATACCTGCCATTGTTGCAAAACAGTATCGAACGTTGTTTCTTTCATCTCGTTCGTCAGTTGTTTAATATCCTTGGGTTTTGTATCTAAAACCATTTTAATTTGCTTCCGTAAAACTTGCATAACCTACAATAAACCGATTTTCTACAATTACTTAAATTGGTCTAGTGAGTAAATATACCATGTATGCAGATGATCAGTACTTTCATATGAAAGCAAGAATCCATCAAATTTTCAAAATATGATAAATGAAGACTTGAAAATATTTGAAAAATGGCTCCACTGTAACCTTCTATCGATAAATTCTAATAAAACAGAATATACAGGGTGATTCACATAACAACCGACATAGGGCAGGGGCATGTAGGGGGTCCCAAAATATGGTAATTTAACGCAACTTACCTCTATACCAAGTTACTTCCCTAAGGAGTTATAGGCATAGCACTAACAGCATGTCAACTTGCTCGTTGAAAGAAAACTTCCGTTCATTTCAAAAACACTCAAACAACAATTACTCAATTGATCAACTCACTTACCTCATTGTCAAGTTTGACGTTTATTTTCATAGTCAACTTTTGAATTTTCGATGATTTTAAATAACACACCTAGAGCGCGCATTTTCAGTTATTCGAGTTTTTGATGAAAATGATGAGGTTTTTCGAAAAATTACTGGAGTAAGAAAAGTTTAAGAATTAAATTGCCCACAAAACAAAGCAAAGATCTTTGAAATCCATCAAGGGTTAACAAAATTATGTTGAATATTAATGGTGCGCTACCCGGTATACCCCCTTTACAAATTTCAATTAAACTCTAGTTAATGTCAAGTAACGCCCTAAATACTTCCACAAAGTGTACCAAATTTGGTTGCTTTAAGTTCAAGAATAACGAAGATATTGATTTTTTCAAAATTTATAACTTCACTTTCAAAGCCTATATCTCCTTGGGGAAGCAACTTGGTATAGAGGTAAGTTGCGTTAAATTGCCATATTTTGGGACCCCCTACATGCCCCTGCTCTATGTCGGTTCTTATGTGAATTCACCCTGTACAGTTCTCAACACACTAAATGGACCACTCATAATTTGACTCTATTTCGAAGAACTGTATTTTTTTATAGGTTTTCGATATCAGATGTGATATTTCATCGGCCTCAAAGAGAACACTCTGAAAAGGTCCGCAGAACAAAACTTATACAGGGTGTAAAGTAGAACCATTACACTATGATCTACATTTCCAATGCTGCCAGAACTCGAGACATTTTTTTCTGATCAAAAGTCAGTCATATTATGATATACTGGGACCTCATCTCGGGTCGTTTTCGTGATTTCTCCTTAATTGGCCAACAAAAATTCGATTTTTCTTTCGAAAGTTGCATTAATTGATTTTTTTTAATTGATTTTTTTTCTCTAGAACTCCACTTGAGCTGACTATTGGGAAGAACTGTTCTCATGTTTTGTGGAAGACAATGAAAGGCGAAAAAAGCACCATTGTAGAATATACAGGATGATGAGAAAATAGGACAAAATCTCATTACAGTAAAAAAAATCAAAAACGGTGACTAAAACCATGGCCCATTCGATTCAGTATATTCAGAAATAGCCTTCTCGATATCCATTATTTATATTAGACTAGTACCTCAAGACTTTTTCGAAAATTCCTCTCTTATTGACAGGTTGAAAATTCTCAGTTCAAACTTGTTTCCTGATATCGATGATTCTCCTCAACTGATTTCCAATTTTTATTGCCCAAGTATGAGACACAGAGTATTGTTGTTCAATATACTGAGTGTTTCACAACTTATCTGACAATTTTCAACCACAACTACGATATTACATAAGAAGCAGGGTATCACATAAAAATTTTATAGAAGTGAAACGAGATGGAAAATAAAATTTATATCACTTGATATCCACTAAAACTATTCGAAAGGGCTCTATTGGCGAAATATGACATTAGTGAATTCTTCAGCATTATGAAGATCCAACTAGAAAGTCCTATATCCTAAATTTCAGTACTTGGTAAGGCCTCCCCGATTAAACAAAACCTCATGAAATCCGTTTGGCATATAGATTCTATGAGGTTGTTGATGAAGTCTCTTGATATTGCCTCCCATTCTCCTGATACAGCTTGGATAAGGTTGTCATTATATCTTGGGGTGCCTCTCGCCTTCTCGATAGGTTAAGTTTCATTCGGCTCCACACATGTTCAATCAAATTCAGATCTGGAGATAATGCTGGTCACCACATTCTTCCAACATTATTGTTTTCTAGAGTTCGTAATTTATCAGATAAGTTGTGAAACACTCAGTATATTGAACAACAATACTCTTTGTCTCATATTTGGGCAATAAATATTGGAAATCAGTTGATAAGAATCATCGATATCAGGAAACAAGGTTGAATTGAAAATTTTATTCCTGTATTTTAATTAGAGGCGAATTTGCGAAAAAGTCTCGAGTTGATAGTCTAATATAAATAATGTATATCGAGAAGGCCGTTTCTGAATATACTGAATCGAATGGGCCATGGTTTTAGTCTCTATTTTTGATTTTTTTTACTGAAATGATATTTTGTCCTATTTTCTTATCATCCTGTATATCTCACAATAGTGTTTTTTTCGTCTTTCATTGTCCTCCACACAACATGAGAACAGTTCTTCCCAATAGTCAGCTCAAGTGGAGTGCAAGACTTTCGAAAAAAGGCGAATTTTTGTTCCAATGGCCAATTAAGGAGAAATCACGAAAATTTCTCGAGATGAGGTCCCAGTATATCATAATATGACTGACTTTTGATCAGAAAATAATGTCTCGAGTTCTGTCAGCATTGGAAATGTAGACCATAGTGTAATGGTTCCACTTTACACCCTGTATAAGTTTTGTTCTGTGGACTTCTTCAGCGTGTTCTAGCTCTCTTTGAAGCCGATGAAACATCACATTTGATATCGAAAACCGCATGAAGATCGGTCAATGTTTTCAAAAAATACAGGTCTTCGAAATAGAGTCAAATGGGCGTGTACACCTTAGTAGAACTTTTAACTCAAACCATGTTTATAATGATCCTTTCATACATAAATAATGATTGACGACATAATTCGATCGCATAAATTATACTGAAATATTTTATTTTTGGACTTAAATAATAGTACCTTCTGAAAACGGACCCTCTTATGACGTAGAAACCTCATCTCGCCATAGTTAAAAGAAAATACTAAACGCCCGACGGAGACTGAGGCAACTGATATATTAATTCTTTCAACTGTGATCTCGCGCTAATTCACTCTGTCAGAAATCATGTATCATTCATCTCTGTCTGGAATAGTCTTGTTTCAGTATTAGGGTTTTGACGTCACATCATCGCCTCGTTTTCAGAGGTCCGAAAAATCGGGGATTTCAATAATTTTTTATAAAACGTAGGGAGCTCACAGCAAGAAACGGTTTGCGGTGGTGAGCAAGTTTGGGCGAGTTCTATCGAATTATGAAATAATTTTTTTTGTGATATGAGCCCATTATGAGAGGTCCATTTAGTGTGTTGAGACTGTAAATAAATAAATATACAATATTACGGGTATTGGAATTTTTTACTTTGGGATAGTCTTCGATAGTAGAAACTTTCATTTCTCTTCTAGTTCTTGATAACAACCACATAGATCTGGAGAATAGTTCCAGGAAAAATGGTTGTCTAGGTGAAGTAGTGAAGACGATGGGATGGTAAAATACGCTTTTTGGGTCCGGTGGATCGACCCCAATATCTAACATATCAGCAAGCATCCTCACTACTCTGCAAGATATTTCATTCATTAATAATTCATTTATAATTGTTTTGATAATGTTACCTTTCACTTGTAATGAAAATTCCTGGTTCATACACTTTTTCTTCGATTTGTGATTGGAGGAAATTCTTCTTATGATTATTTTTGAAATGTCCTTGAAAAGAGTGTACACTATTATCAGTAGAAGACTAGGCTACAAATCTCGATCTGATAACGAAATGATATGTCCCAAAGGCATATAAAAACATTGCATTTTATCGAATGGCACCTGTGATTGTCACTATCCTGGGCAAAATGATTGAAAAATACACTCAGTTCCAAAAAAAGTGACGCACTTGATATTTGACCTATCTTCTTAAAAAAAAAGAAAAAATAGTAGGCCGATTTTCATTTTTTTTTATTTGTTGGTAGGTAATGCATTTGTCTTTAAAAAAAATAAAGAAGTGACAATTTTTTCAAAGCATCCTTGATGGTGGTGGAATAACTCGAACCATGATTTATTCTTAATTTTTGGCTCACCCTGTGTATTAATTGAGTAATGGCATAGAAAGTGCTTACGCCCTATACGAAAGAGGCTTTTTTGCGAACATTTTGTTTTTTTATTCATTGATTTATCTCTAAAATTTTCCGAAATACAGCTTTTTTTGCTGAATCCTTGCAGATTACCAACTTTCTGAATTTATCGAGAAACAATTTTCTAATGAAATAAACTGATACCAATAATTTAGAAAAACATTTTTATTAAACACAAAATTATAAATTGGAATGACTGCTTAATACCGTGTATTGCCTCCTCTAGCAACTCTAAGAACTTCTAATCTACGAGGCATACTGGAAATTAAGTTGCTTATCGTTTCCATTGGTATACGATCCCATTCTTCCACTAATGCATCTGCTATTTCTGCGAGACTTTCCGGAGACCTCTCGCGAGAACGTACCCTTCTCCCTAATTCATCCCACAAATGTTCTATAGGATTCATATCGGGGCTTCTCGCAGGCCATTGTAATGTGGTAATACCAGTAGCTTCTAAGAAGTTTCGCACTATTGCTGCGGTGTGTGGTCGGGCATTATCCTGCATCAATATAAAATTATTACCCACTAACTCCGCATATGGTAAGACATACCGCTCTAAAATGTCAATGTTAATTTGGGTATTCATCGACTGCCTCACCGGAAAAACATGAAGGGGTGTCTTTCCATTCATTGAAATCCCTCCCCACATCATAACGGACCCACCATTAAAACTTTCGCATTCTGTTATTAAATTTTGAATAAACCATTCACTGGTTCTTCTCCACACTCTCTCTTCCATCCACCATGTTACGGCGAAACCTAGACTCATCCGTAAACAAGACATTCGACCATTCAGGAATATTCCACTGTCCATAATTTTCAACAAATTTTTTTCTAGCAGCACGATGTTCGGGCAATAATTTGGGACCTTTTGCAGGTCTCCTAGCTTTTAAATTAACTTATTTTAGACGTCTACATACCGTCTGCTTACTTACTGCAACATCACGAATTCGGCGAAGATCTTGCTGAACATTTACCGCAGTATTTGATCGATTCCGTAAAATCCGCAATCTCAAGAAGCGATCATCTCTTGGAGAAGTTTTTCGGGGGCGACCCTCCGAGCGGTGCTTCCTATTTGTTCGTACTTGCGGATTGCTCTACGAGCAGTTGCTTCATGAACTCCCACTGCTTGAGCGGCGTAACGTTTACTACGCCCATCGTTTACTAACGCAACTAGATAGGATAAACTTCTTGAATAGCTTTATTATGAAGTTTTTTAGAAAGAATACTGTCAATCAAATTAACGTTGTATCCGTTGTTGACTGCGATCTGTTTTGATGTTGAGTTCATTATTGAAATTTACTTCTGAAAGAGGGACATTCACTAGCCTGTGTATCATACTATTATATGCTGCAATTTTATATTGATAAACCTTCCCACACTGATATCACTATTCACAATAATTCAACACACCCTTATCAAACAAAAAATATCATAGAAAAATTTGATCAAAATCGATGGAAGGACAACTGAGATATTGATGAAAAACCGATCTTTTAAAAGTTTTGACACACTGTATGTTGATAACTATGCATTTCCGGACCCACGTACATATAAAATGAATTTCTTATTTTATCATGTAAAATCACCCCCTTGATTTTTTGCGCATAATTTCCAGACACCCTTTATATCATTTCGTTATTAGATGACGGTGGAAATTCGCAGCTGGCTCTTTGACTAATTAATTGAGACTGTCACTTACTTAGAGCATCCAGTGTCAAATAGTTCATGGTGAAATTATCATAACCCATATCACTACTGGCTCTACTCGATCTGACTGATGACCTTGATTGGATGCTTTTATCGCTCATCAGTGATACCAAAGATAACCTTAAATTTAACGGATCAATTATCCCATATAGCACGAGTACGTCCCCAAAACGTACTTAGAACGTCCGGCCAAGACGTTTCGTACGTACTGGGGACGTCCAGATTTGGTACGGTCGACGTTCAGGTACGTACTGGAGACGTCCAGATTCCGCGCGTTTGTACATCCTCCCCAGCGAGCACAAACATACCTGGGATGTTTTGGGATGTTTTGAAAATGTTGGCATGAAGATGTTATTTTGAGACGTAATATGCACTGACCAAAGAGGTCTTTCAAGGATATTGTAGTATTGTTTTTGTTCTTCTGTGGCATTTCCTTGTTTGCCTACTGAGAGGTATTCCTGGGATGTTTTAGAAATGTAGGCATGAGGTTTTTTTTGAGGCGTAATATGCACTTCCCAAAGAGGTCTTAGAAGGATATTGAAAGTATTGTTTTTGTTCTTTTGTGCCCTTTCTCTGTTTGCCCCACCACAACGTCTTATGCTCACGTCACAATACGATGAATTCTGATTCGTTTTCGATTTTGTTCTTCTTGTTCGCAATTGGCATTCGCGTTTGCAGCGTGTCACGCTTACATCACGCTGCTAACGAACAGAAAGGAATTTTGTGAAGTTTATTGTGTTAGAAGACTTATTTAGTTTGTAATAATGACCATCAGATGCAAGATGTGTTGTTCGGTGCCTCAGTGTAATCAATATATGAAAGTACGAATTCATCAATACACAGCTTCTCCGCAGTTGCAAAATTATGCATTGTGGAGAACATTTCAAAAATTAGGAAACCTATTTCCAATTATATGTCTGTGTGTAGTAAGCACTACTCAGAAACCGATTAAGAAGGTAATTTCATATCAAGAAAATATCTTTATGTTCAATCTATTTTTAATGCATTTTTTCATTCAAGGGAAATGGAATCCTAATGCAAAAGTTCATTTTCACAAAAGGCTTCAGAAAAGTACCTCGAAAATGTTTTTTCACAGCGATTTTATGTGCGCAAGACGCGTTGAAAATGTTTTGTTGTGTCCATGAACAGGCTTTAAAAAGAACTAGGGAGAAGGTAGTTTTGTGGCATATCAAGGACATCTCGATAATTGCCGCCTGCGGCGGACATTGGCTGTTCTATAATAGTTATATTCATGTGTGAACAGAACATCGCAGTGGAGGTTCAATGTCTCGGAATCTCGTACTTTTAACATCTCTGAGATGTTTTTGTGCTCGCTGGGATCAGTACGTCCATTCAGGACCATGGATACATGAATCAACGTAGATCCGCCTCTTTTCACTCAGATAGTCAAAAAGGAGATTTAGAGATTTATTTACAACAAGCAATATTATGTGAGAATACCTAAATAATTGTTTCGTGATCTGGTGGGTCCAGTAAAAATAATGAATTTATTGTGAGCATTGTATTATGTTTATGTTTGCAAGGTTCCTATATGAATAGATTTCAGAGATCGAGGGTAGAAATTATATATGCAATGATTTCGATTCGATCATTAAACAATTTATTCAATCCCGTAAACAAAAAGTCGATAACGTCCAGAGTTGGACGTACCCAGTACATCGGAATCGTACGTCCAGAAATGGACGTTTTCAGTACGTCTTGAAATGGTCCCAGACGTTCAGACCTGAATGGAACCTAAACTGGATGTCCCCAGGACGTCGAGTGCTATATGGGATTACACGTCATGGACCTTTTGGAAATTCTTGGAAATCGTACCTTTCGTTTGTGTCATGGCTCAAAAGTGTCTCTAACGAGTTGCTCCTATTGGGAAGATCCATTTCATCGAAATCCATGAGTAATGTCAGTCTTTTGATGTCCTCTTCGGGCAATTCGAACTCTTCCTTTTCAAACGCACTCTCATCATTGAGATGAACTTCCTTCTTCAGCGCCTCTTCATGTAAACTAAAAATCGAACAAGCTCATGATCATATCGAGATTTCACCTTCTATCGTGCTTTAAAGGTGCGATAAGTGCGATATGTTCTTTGAACCTAGTTTGAGCGGTCCTCCTTGTTTGACCTACATATGTTTTTCAATACCTCATCAAATATGTTTGAATAACATATAACTCGTGCTCCATATTCTTATCCAAGTTTCCTTGTTCGATGATGAATTTGTAGATTTGCTCTCGATTTTTGTTGAGATTCATTTCTTTGATGATGTGTTTCTTTTGATCACCTCTGCACAGTTTTATGATGGTGTTGATGAGGAGGAGGACGGTGTATTGTAGATTCTTCGTGTTTTTATATTGGATGTAAGGAATTAGAGTGGTGACAGGAACTTTCTTGATTATCTGAAACAATAATGATCTCAACAATTTAAAATTATTGGAGTTGTTTTGTAGGTAATGTGCGTACCTTTTCTTTCCATTCGTGAAAAGTCATATCTCGTTGAACGAGAATTTTTTGCAAAACTGACAAAGCATACGGGACATAATCTGGTGGTGGTTCGGTATGATTTTCGTTCTTTTTGATTATTTGTATGGTTTTGTCTAGAAAATCCTGTTTTGTATCGACAACGTAGTTTTTTCGTAACAAATGGCAGATTGTCAGTAAAAGAGCACGAATTTCAATATCATTTAAACTGTCATCTGCGATGAAGGTCTGAATCAATCGATAGTGGTTTTTTGAATACACTGAAAAATACGATAAATGTGAATAAATTCAAAATCTTCCTTGTAAGGTTTTTTTATGTTCTGGTTCCCACGAAAAAGGATAATCTGTAATGTTCAGAGAACATGGTAAGAACCAAGGGAAATAAGGTAGGAATTTGTGTTCTTCTTGGATTTCTGGAGGTTATATGCCTCGGGAAACACCTCCCTTGGCAATGTGTTCCAGAGCCTCGCTGTTCATTGGATGAACGAGTCTTTGGAAAGAGATGTTCTGATGTTCTATAAAATAGTTCACTCACCATAAAAATAGTAAGTTATTATACAAGGGAAAAAAGAAGTAGAATCTAGCTCCAGGTTGTGTGAGCTAAAATCTAATATTTTTCCCGTGTATAATACACTATTTTTTTCTGTGACAGAAGAAAGACGAATCAATATTGGGAATATTACATTATTTTGAAATCTGAAAATTATCGACGTGAAATTTCAAGTTCTTAACAGTAGGGACACCTGCGTTGTAGACATCTTTATCATTCTTTTGAAGTAATCAAATTGCTGATGTCACTTCTGTCAGTCTAATTCTGTGATTTGATTTCAAAAAATTGCGAATTTAGTGGTTGTTTAGTAATTTACATAACCGCGAAGTCGAATGGAAGATAAAAGGACTTGCAGTTCTTTCTCGGGAGACGGTATTATTGGCTCTTTTTTCGGAACTATAGCACAACGAAAGCCATCAACACTGTATACTGAACAGACGATTTCACCAAATTCTGAACATTTCAAAAAAAAAATTAATTCTTTCTCCCGACGAGTTTTGAACAAGGAATCTTGAACAGAAAGATCGCATCTTCCAAACACTGCATTCCGATTGAAAATCCATTCATTTTTCAAAAAGTTATGACAATTTGAAAATTGTCGAAAATTTCAGTGGTCCATTTGTTTCTTTGAGCACTTTATTTGGCACAAAAAAAGAGATACAACTCACCTAGTTCCTCAATAAAAGCAGGATCAGCCGCTAATTTATTCAGATCATCATAACAAATCACCCTTTCAATATCGCTTGGTTCATTGTTGATATGTGGAAGTATTCTGTTTTTCAATAAATATTTGATAGAGAACACTATCTTGAGGCAATCGGTGTGTTGGACATTCTTGTAGTTTGTTTCGCAAATGTAGGAGCTAATTGCAGGATCGTTATTGGTGCGGACCAATTTGAGTCCGTAGACCGTAGACTGTGGCTAAAAACATCGCTAGACATACAGGATATATCGGGTGGTCACAAAAAAAAACCGGAAGTTTTTATTTTCCTCGTGGTTTCATCATTTCTCAACCGAATTCGAATTTCTTGGCGTCGTTTCATAGCTAAAGGGCTATAGTATACAGTGGAATATTTGAGAATTTCATAATGAACAAAAACAAAATGGCGGATTCTACCAAAGTATTGTCATTTACAAAAACCGCTGGAGAAGAAGAAAATCAGATTTTTTTCAACCTGTACCGATGTCATCTTAGGCTTATTCATTTCTGAAGAGAATGAGTACTCGAACATCGAAATCGAACAAATAGTCCAGTAGATACACTCATTTCTTTGCAATTTGTTATGGAGTGAATGTGCTAATCTCGTATAAACGATTATTATTATTTTGCTTCAGGCTTCATGAAAATTCAATCGAATTTGGATTTCTTGGAGTTATTTCAAAGATAAAGAACTGTAGTACACAATGGAACATTTGAAAATCCAATAATTGAAAGAAACAAAATGGTGGAGAATCCAGAATTTTTGTGATTTTCAAAAATCTCTGGCGAATAAAAAAATGTTTATTCTTCCAATCAGAACCGATACAATTTCAGATCATTGATTTCTGAAAAGAATGAGCACTCGAACATCTGAATCGAGCAACTAGTCCAGGAGAAACACGTTCTTTTTGGCGAAGTGATATGGAGTGAAATCCAAATTCGATCGAATTCTGATGAAGCCAGAAGCGAACTAAAAGAAATTCTCATCACGGGATTGGCATATTCACTCCATAACACTTTGCCAAAAAGAACGTGTTTCTCCTGGACTAATTGTTCGATTCTGATTGTCGAGTGCTCATTCTTTTTAGAAATCAATGATCTGAAATTGTAACGGTCCTGATTGGAAGAATAAACATTTTTTTATTCGCCAGAAATTTTTGAAAATCACAAAAATTCTGGATTCTCCACCATTTTGTTTCTTTCAATTATTAGATTTTCAAATGTTCCATTGTGTACTACAGTTCTTTAGCTTTGAAATAATTCTAAGAAATCCAAATTCGATTGAATTTTCATGAGGCCTGAAGCAAAATAATAATAATCGTTTATGCGACATTCGCACATTCACTCCATAACAAATTGCAAAGAAATGAGTGTATCTAGTGGACTATTTGTTCGATTTCGATGTTCGAGTACTCATTCTCTTCAGAAATGCATAGCCTCTGAGATGACATCGGTAAAGGTTGAAAAAAATCTGATTCTCTTCTTCTCCAGCGGTTTTTGTGAATGACAATACTTTGGTAGAATCCGCCATTTTGTTTTTGTTCATTATGGAATTTTAAAATATCCCACTGTATACTATAGCCCTTCAGCTATGAAACGACGCCAAGAAATTAGAATTCGGTTGAGAAATGATGAAACCACGAGGAAAATTAAAACTTCCGGTTTTTTTGTGACCACCCGATAATTTAATTGTAGGCTAAAAACATATAGGATATGGTTCCTTAGCTCATTTTGAGAAGAAAAGTTCGTATGAACATATCTATACTAATAATATGAAGAGGAAATATTTGATTGAATGTTTGTATGGTAATGATATTCTTCTTAGAGGGGCTCTACAAACATCAGCAGGAATAAGGCAGGAGTACAACGATCATCCTGTAACACGCATCCCAGATTGTTCTCCAACCTCCCAATGATTCCTACATGCACCAGCATATTTCCGAACACTCAATATATATGCTCTGCGGTGACAAATAACGTGACAGAAGATTCTGTAATGTTCTGGAAACAATCGATGGAACAATTAGAGAGGGAGGTATTGTTCTAAGAAGCTTCTATATAGAACAAAAAGAAGGAGACGGAAGATCATTCGAGAACGTTCTCGAACCAAAGCCTACCAATAATGGGTCTCATATATAAGACGGCCGAACAACTGCGTCAGTCAGTTGAGCAGCGAGTGTCAGAGAGACAGTCATATACCGCGTGATATAAATCGTTTTACATAAACAGTAGTTATAAGTTCGATATAAATCAGTGTTATATTTGTATCGTTGCTCACTTTTGAGTAATATATAAACAATAATATTCCAATAACGCGGTACCACTGGTAGAGAAAATGAAAATTTTTGTACCTCAGAAGATGCAACTTGATGCATAAAAGACGTGTTCCAAATTTCATGAAGATGTATACAATATTGTCTCAGTTATTATCAAAAAACTGAATATCTTTCAGAACTTCATCACTCTGTATCTCAAAAAGACTTAGGATGATGATGAGTCACTTACCAAACCACTGTTCTTGCAAATATCCCTGATCACTTCACAAAGTGATTTAGATTTGTCTAAATCGTACAGAAACTGTTCTTTACTGTCGTGTTTTTCTACCGAAATTTTGGCGATATTTCCTATATTTGCCATATTTTAAAAATCATAGAGAGATCTTGCGTATTCTCGATATTCGGACAATAAATGAGCTCTATTAACGTGATATCATATTGTGTTTCCTAGTCTGATAAAAATTGGTAGATAAGGAGTTATCACATAGTACAAATTCTGTTAAGGTGCATTACATTGTGAGTAAGGTGCGGTTTCATATCATCTAATAGTCGAGTACAATATTAGTGTTTGCTTAACTGATGATAAATATTCGTAAATAATGAAAAGTTATTTCAAAAGATAACCATTTGATAATTTTAGAGTGAATTTACGATTTTTTTATCGCCTCGAGGCGATTTTTCACATGGCGGAAAATCCGAAACGGATTTGAAAATCAATTAAAAAAATACGCCAAGGTAATTAGAGTACATTTCAATTGTTTTATCGCCTCGAGGCGATTATTCAATCGGCGGAAAATCCGGAGCGTACTCGTCCATTTTTACGTATCAAAAACTTAAGAAAAATCACCACCGCCGACTATGATTTTTCTACGTCACATCGAGCGAGACGTTGATTCTACATTTTTCCGCTAGATGGTGATGCTGCTATTGCTCTTGTGCAATGATCTAATAATATATACTCTACTTGTGACGAGTGAAAAAAAATGGAAAATGGCATTGCAGCTACGCGGAACATATGTAACAGTGGGTTTATGTAGCTCTGAATTCAAAAAAATCTGCGCCAATTCGAAAAATCGACCGATGTCATAATCGTACAATGTCGCCATCTATCCGAAAACAGCTGAAAACATTGTTCACGGGACTTTCGAGAGGCAATGAACTCAATGCATTGTCGGAAGGTCGAGAAGAATTTCTGGAACAAAAGATGAGCATCAGTAAGTACACCATCATCTACTTATTTCCATCATTTTACGTACTGTACATCAAATTTATGACTAGAGAATGATGGAAGTAAGATCACGAAGATATGTTGTAATTACTGATGCGCTTTTGTTTCAGAAATTTTACTTGACCTCTCGAGAACAGCGAGAGCAATGGTTCCGTCGAGCAAAGACGGCTAAATATCTAGACTGTCTGACGCATGGACGTATAAACAAAGATGGACTGGGCATCCTCTACTCTGTGTTCACATAATCTTGAAGCCAAGTAGCTTTAGGGCGGGGGGAGAGAGGCGAAGTGATATACTGTGACTTTTCACGTTCCGCCAGTGGCGTACCTTCTGATACTTGGAAAATATTCGATATACTAGGAAACAATTATTTTTTCAAGATTTCATTACATATAAAAAGAATAATTTGCTATTGATTCGTTCTATTTCCATCAAAAAGGTATACAAATATTTTGAATTGAATATAAGAAAACTGCTAAATGAATAATTTTGCAATAAAGATTAGAGCTTTCTATCTTCGAACATTCGGATAGGTACCTATACCTAATTCTCATTATTGTGACACGAAAAATAGAGGGAATTGAGGATCATTCAAAAGAATACTTTACTAATAAACACTTTATTCAGACATTCGAAAATACACAAGTAAGTCGTGGGTTTCATTCCCTACCAGAACAGAAAAACTGAAAAAATTTTAATTCAGAAGTCGAGGCATTTCATTGATTTTTAAAAGAACTGTTTTTGTTAGTGTACTCCTGATTCTTATGGTGGTGGAATCGAGTTTATTCTTTGTGGCATGATGTATTCTGATTTTGAAATATTTTTGCAATATTAATTTGACCAGTTGTGAGGAATGACTATCGATTGGATCGCCATCATAAAAATGATCACCAAATAAATCATAAAGATTATGTGGAATATTTTTTAATGTATTCGATATCAAGATATTCATTGGGTTTTTAATTTTTTTATTATAAATTTTATGGGTTTTATCTAAGAATCTGAAATATTTTTCAGCAATTTTACAAATCTCAATGACCAAAACTGATGAGTTCGTCAATTTCTTGTATTCCTTTCTTCGTTGTAAAATTGAGAGGGATTTCTCATTTTCAACCAGGCGAAGGCATTTGTGACATGTTAAAATTTTTTTCAAACATCTCGATACAAATCCTGCTATATAAGTGACAATATCTTCAACATAGTCGGTCAAATCCCAAGCTGTCGAGTTATTGAAATCTAATGACCTAATATCTTCCTCTAATTGTCTCTCAAATAAAATATACCCATCAGTGTTACAATTGTCATCTCCATCATTATTGATAGTCACTCTAGTACTGCTACAAAACAATATTGAGGTGGAATCGAGATTGATAGCATTACCAGCATTCCCAGCTTTTATTTCTGTATGTACAATAATTCTTTTGTACGCTGCCTCAAACTGTCTTGCAGTAGGATTATTATTGAAACCTCCTCTGCTTCTCATTGCCCCAAAAAATAATTCCAAGTGATCTTGGGACAGTTTATAAGTTAAAATAAACTTTAGATTATTTTTTGTTTCAACATGTTCTTGATATATTCCTTTCAAACTTTTGATACATACAAGAAAACCTAAGAATCCAGTTTTTTTTCTTGATTGTAAAATTGGAATACCTTCACAGGAAATTCTGCGAATATAACTATCAATTTCATCTAAATATTCGAAAAATGACTCTTTAGTTTGTGGAGATAAAGGCTTTTTACATGAATACTTAGCAAATCTATTCTTTGAATTGAATATATCAAAAATATCGTTGAATTTTTGGACGAAAGAAGCAGTTTCTTCGGCTCCTTCAAATTCAGGTATACATAAGTCCTTCGATAAATACAAAAGAGCATCTGCTACACTTTTACTCATTGTTTGAGTGGCCACTTTGACTTTCATTTTCTCTTTCTCCCACATAATGTGTCTTTTTCTGAGTTTTGTGGCAGCAAGAAGGCCTTCACTATATTGGAATTCCACTAATTTGTCAATATATGACCAATCAATTTCTTTATTATTCTCACTGTGAAGAATTTTTTCAGATCCCAAGCAATTGCGAACCAATTTGAGCATGTGACATGGATCCAGAAACAAATAAACATTTTCTTTAGTGACAGGGTGTTCAAAAGAAGTTTTCAGGGATGAAATGTTGAAATCAGCTCCTAATTCGGAGGCCATCTTGAAATTAGCTGGTGCTCCATCAAATGTCATTGAAGTGACTACTACTCCAGTATCATGTACAAGTTGTAAACAATTTTTCACCAGCGCTGCTTTCTCAGATCCACTGATCCCATCCAATAAAAAATACCCAACTGGTATCTTCCATGAACTGTTCAAAGCAACCAACATGAAAACTAGTACCTCCTTCGCTTCAGGAAGTTCATCACTCTCCAGGTTTGTTCCAATGTCCACATAACCGCAAAATTTATTTCCAGTCCATTCAACTTGCTTCCGAATAGACATTTCATCCAAAACAAGATTACAGAGAACTGTTTTATTTTCTCTCTTGGCTTCATCTGCTTTTATTTTGAGTGTGTGCAATGCTTCTTGTGTCCACCCAGGTCTACCATCTATGGACTGGTACCATTTTGAAATTGTTCTTGGATGTGGTAGTGTATTGTTGAACGTTTTCCTTACATAATTATATGCCCTCATGGAATAAAATGATAAGGTGAGTGCAAAACTTCGCAAGGCTGGGGTGTATTTTTGTTTTTTGGGTCCCTTCAACAGTTTTTCGAAAATTTCATTTGTTGCTCCTGATAATGATGCCTGAAAAAATGAAAAAATGATGTTATTATCCACTGCAAATCTTACCGAAAGAGGCTTGCTTTCAATGGCCATTCAGAGTTTTCATTAATCAAAGATTTTTTCTTCAATAATGTCAGGAGTGAAGTGAGGGATGTAATTTTTGCTCTCAATCTCCTGACAGATTGTTGAAGGCACTTGATTTTGTGTTTTTGGCTCTTCACAGTTTTTTTCAAAATTTTAACTTTTCGTATAGCCTTTTGAGGTGTTGAAAATTCACTGCTAGACGTGTCCTCGACAGTTTTGTTCATTCTGAAACATGAAATGAAGTTCGCACACTTTGGAAACACTCATTTGTAGAGACTATCACCAAAATAATTCATAATGAGGACTCACTTTTCATAAGTTTTATGTCGGGAATATGAACAAGTATTATCTGTCAATAACAACTCCACCATTTCAGTTTCTGACGCTGTGAGTGTACCTGAAGAAGCATTTTCTATATCCGCATTACTCAGTTGTCCTCTCGGTTGTCCTTCATCATCATTGAAACATCTGAAACATCTGAAATATTGTATTTTTGTAAAATAAATATATTATCTATCACTTGCCACATTATTCGTTGTTAAATACGAGGTTGAATAAAAGTTTGAGAAAAGATAAGCCAAAACTCACCTCCTTTTTGGAGGCCCGGGAGAATCATAGTGTGCAGCATTGAAGCTTGAGTCTATATCAGTATTAATATGTTGCTCTTCAGTTTCATTTAAATACCTGTAATATTTCATGTAATGTTAATTTTGGAATGTGGAGACAAATCAGAATCTACATTCATAACTTATATTTGTGAACTGTAAAAAATTCAAGTCAAACCCACCTTTTTGAAGGTTTAGAAGAATTATCGTCGAAAATAATATTAAAGGCTGGATCTATATTTTCCATTATATCATCTGCACACCTGAAAAATAAGAGTAATAAAAAAACCAAGAAATACTTATATTTACAATATTCATGGAATAGGTACCAATTACAGTATACCGGGAGAATTAATGACACCCTGTATGATAAGTTACCCAAAATTATCGGAATATTTTATAGATACTCACCAGGATTGTTCTATTTGTTCTGATGGTGCTGGTAACTCATCAAAAATGGGTATTGGAAGAACCCCTTTCCTCAGAATCCTCCTTCCACTAGGCTGTGATATGAAATCATCACTTCTGAAGTGGTCGGAGCAAACAAGAGCATTTTTGGTTATCTGCTCTGCCTTCATTTTCAACAGCGACAACCACAAACCCCGCTGTTCACCCTTCACAGGGAATCTGCGAAACATATTTCATCTGACTTTTACATTTTTGAGAAATAAAATGTAGGTTTCAAGAACTAAATCAATTAATGTATTCAACAAGCAATATGTATGTACCCTTCCTATAATAATTCCTGATTATTTTCAACAAATATTGAATTAACAAACATTATGAGTTAATACACCCTGCACGACGCCTATGCTGAAATGTCAATGTTATTACTTACGAATGAAAAGATAGTTCTGAGTGTGAATATGCATTTTTCCTGCATAAAACACAATTACGCACCATCGGGACACTTCACGATAAACTATTGTTCAAACAAAGTCACAAATTCACTCGAATATCACGAATTCGAAGATCATAAAAACGTAAACACTACTTCGAATATTGCGCCATTTATTTTCCTTTTCCAAATAGCGCTGTGTGATTGGTTGACGTTGTCAACGATGCCAAGCTTCTTGAAAGCATTAGGTTATCAGAATTTTTCTGTCGATAATGAATATACAGCTCGCGACTTTTTCAACTTGAGAAATAGTTTATACTAACTGAGTGGTTTTTGGTTATTCACTCGGTTGTTCATGAGTAATGCAATGAATTATATGTCCCATGTACGTATTAAATGTAGTAAAAAACGGAAATTGTCCTCGAGTTTGACACACAGCAAGAATAATATGACAACATCAAATTAGCGATTCGGTGGTTAGACTGTTCCTTTGTGTGACTTCACATGAAAATGTAAATAGCCCAGTCCATCTTTGTTTATACGTCCATGGTCTGACGGGTTATACCCCGACATTGACTCCTCGAGACTCGCATACAAAAACATTAATGGTATATGATCTAAGGGTCTAACGACTTTAGAAAAGATCGACTTGCGTTCTGTCAAATTTTCGTTCTGTGCATTTGTGACATTTGTGTTGTGTCATTTTTGAAATCCAGACATTCGAGGTTAGAATTTGATAATTTACGATTTCTTGATCCCGTATTTGTTCGGTATTTTCACCAATTTCAGCTTAAAAAGGCAATATATCTGAAATGGAAGAGGCCTCTTTCAGCACAGACAATATTCTCAGTAATTTTCCTTCTTGCCTGAGAAAGAATATCGAAGAATTATGTTTGAGATCTAAAATAGGTAAGTTCATCACTTTCCTTACAAAACAGAACATAATCTTCATTCATTATTCAGGATTATCTTCGATAACTTTAAATGATATCACCATACCAAAAATCAGCTGTGCTGCCCAATATGGCATATTGGATAATTTTCATTTTATACTCAAAGTGCCATATGCAGGAAAGAAAATGAAATGGGAAGTTATTTTCGATCCTGAAGACTTCTTTTTCACTCCAGATTTTCTGTTCAATGATGACGAATTCCTTGAGAATCCACAATATGATTATTTGATGGATAATGTTCCCAGCTTGAACAATTGGGATTTGAAAAATCCACAGGCTCTTGCAAAAGTTTTGAATGAATTTTTGGGTCTCTACAAGAAGCTACAGGTGAGAAAGCAATTTTTCTGCATCAGTTTGCAAGTTAATGAATCTAATATCAGGTGGAAAAACTCAGGACAGAAAATATCTATTCTCGATATTGGGAAGAATATGAGGCTTTGACAACAAAAGAAAGTGGTATTGGGCCTGAGCAAATTGAAGTCCAAGTAGGAAATAATATTGATTTTCTTGTTTCCCTTCCTGTGGATTGTAGTGCACTTCCTCCATATGCCCAACCAGTGTAAGTTGAATTAATATTCTGCATCAATTAATATAATGTACTAGACCTAATTAAATTTCCAGAATTTTCAGAAATTCTCCTCACAATGAAGGCTACAATCCAGGATTTGACTTTGCTCATTTGAAAATAACCATCCTTGAATTAGATGGTGCTCGTACAAATGCATCATTGCAACTGTCCCCTAGACTTATGCAAGTATTGGGACCTTCTAAGAATATAAATTTGCCCAGCTTCCAAAATATGGCACTGGTCACTTATGTGGATTCTGTATCCAAAATGATTGAAACTAGAATTGCTGCTGTTGTTGATCACTATGTGAAGAAGAAAGTTTATATTGTAAATATGGCAGCCATGTGCAGCAAAAGTATTATAGAGTATGATGCAGAAAATTTCAATAAGGCTGTATTTTTGTATGATGATGATGATGATGAATATAATTGTTTAGTAACAGTTTCTATTGGTGAGTACCATGACTTAATATTTTTACCATGTTACTACACTTGAGAGGGCAAAGTTATTACCAAATATGAGAATATGTTGTCCTCCTTCAGTGATTCATGAGTTTTTTTGTACATAATTTTCTTATTTATATTCTCAATTCCCTGACAGCTATTACAAAAATGATTAATCTTCAAAAATTTGATAAAATATTCTACAGCTGTTCTGATCATTCTGTGGATAATATCAAGAAAAGCTAATAAAATTTCAATAAGGCTGTATTTTTGTATGATGATGATGATGAATATAATTGTTTAGTAACAGTTTCTATTGGTGAGTATCATGACTCAATATTTTTACCATGTTACTACACTTGAGAGGGCAAAGTTATTACTAAATATGAGAATATGTTCTCCTCCTTTTGTGATTCATGAGTTTTTTGTACATAATTTTCTTATTTATATTTTCAATTCCTTGACAGCTATTACAAAAATGATTAATCTTCAAAAATTTGATAAAATATTCTACAGCTGTTCTGATCATTCTGTGGATAATATCAAGAAAAGCTAATCCAAGGAAGAAAATACATGTTGAAAGAAAGATTTCATTTTTCTAGGACTGCAAAATCTGTGTTGGACATTTTTTTCTTTATATTGCAGGTGCTAAATTTCCTCAGGAAAAACCAACAGTGCAGTTATCATCAATTTATTGTCAGGACAGTAAATTTTGTAATGAAACCATTGATAAATATCCATACAAACCGTCTCATAAGCCAGAAGTAAATATTGAACATCTTCTTGAATATCTGGGTGATGTTGTCAAAAAATTCAAATGCCACAAACATAAGTGAGGATAATTCACAATTATTATTAGGTATTCAAGACAATGTATGTATAATACTGAATGTTCCAAAGAAGTGATCCCAATAACTTTTTTGTTTTTCAAAATGAAAACATGGGGGATCCATATAGGTATCACAAAATTTAATTTTTTCTTCAGGATGTCAATTTGAGTTGAATATTATCAATAAGAAACTGTCCCTTTAAAAATCGGATATTTCACTATAACTATAAACTATTGGAGTTGACAAAAGTTGTGTCATCTGCCAAAATTTAAAAGTTTATGTTTCATATACATCTGAATTTTTTGAAAACAAAATTGTTATACAGGGTGTTTCAAAAAAACCTAACCCCCTTGCTAGGGTAGGTAGAACATTGCAAAATAAGTGGGGTTTGCTCTGTGAAAAAATGTCGTAACGGCATCCGTTTTCATGATACAAGGTGTTGAAAAAATATTTTGTTTACACATTTTTTACGATTATGTTGAAACTACTGGCAACATTGTGATGAAATTTTGTATGAATGTTTCTTGGAATCTGACACATCCCATGCATTTGTTTTTATATCTGGCTCTCATAGATCATAGAGGGCGGTAGTTACAGGGTTCTTACCGAGTAATTTTGAACATAACTTTTTTGAGGTTAGATTTTTCAATCCAAATTTGATGTGAACTTGAACATCATTCAATTTCACACCAAAAAGGTACTCTTGGTAAAACTCGATACTGTGTTCCGTTTTCGGAATATTTCGATTTGAAAATGATGAAGTGATAACTGTTACTGCCCAGCAAACACGTTACATCACATGGCAGTTTCGCGAAGTCCAAAATTGCAAATGGAAATATGTTTTCAGTTTGATTACGCATATTTGTTCTGAACGTGGTTACTTTGAGACTTTGCTTTGTTAACAAAAAATCTAAGATGCAGTGATAATTATTTCAAGATAATAATAAACAACCACAACGTCATTACAACAAAATGTGTTGAATTTCTAGTTGAAAAGATCGTCATAGAGTGACATCGCGACGAAGTCTATTCGAGAAAGTCATCATATCAAAAGGAATAGAATGGAGAAGTCTCAGAGAATCCTCGCATGAATGTGCCCAATGTGATTAAAAATTAGACATTTATTGTCTCAAAAACTTCCACAGTGACTATACGGCTATATGTTGTATTTGGGCTATTTTTCCAAATCTCAATTTGAACAACACAATTAATGAAATGCGTACTTAATGTCGCGGACATTTCGCTGCAAATAAGAGCGGGAGGAGATGTTTTCCGTACATCGCACGCGGATTTTAGTTGCAAAATTACTTCCATAGTACTTTACAGTTACTGCCCTGTGTTTGCTGGGGTGGTAACTGTTGCTGGTATAAAGCCATGTATTAGAGTGAGTAATTGAGTATAATGAAAAATGATCACCTATTTATTGAAAACCGAAAACAACAATACATTTCTGATGGAAAACCCATTGATTTAACAATGAATCACAAGAATAACATCGAAACAGATTTGACTAAGAACATGGATTACACAGTTTTGTTGTATCTTGAGCAGAAAGTCTATGCTACATAGGTAAATTTACGTCAAGAGTTGTGAGACATAATTGAACATCACTTAAATGACCTAACAGCTGATCCTCAACTGTTCAGAAGAATAATACATTCTTAAAAAAAGAATATAGAATCGTGTATTCCTCGAAACGTAGAACATTTTGAGCACTTACTTTCATGTTTCTAATCAAATATCTCTTAATTTTTTACTTATGATTCTGATTCTTTGTTCCATCAATAACTTCAGCACAAGAATAATTTTATTGTTTTTGAATCTGAATAAATAGGTAATTGAACTCAATAAAATTCATTTTATACCAGCATCATTACTACATTATTTTCAAATCGAAATCAAAGAGGAAATATTCCGAAAACGGAACATAGTATCAAGTTTCAACAGGAGTACCTTTTTGGTGTAAAATTGAATGATGTTCAAGTTCATAGGCCCTTTCGTTTGCATAAAAAGTGTAGCACATTCGAACACTTCGTGTAATCTACACCGCATTTGAGCATTCTTTTGAAAAGTGCATTTCACACCAGTGTAGCTCATCTCCACCTAGTCTTGGGCAGGTGTGAATTACACTCAAATTCAAGTATGAATAAAATCGCGATGAATGACTCGAAATACATGTTTGAATATATTTATAATTCATAAACACCTATACCGGAGAACTAGTTACATCAAATACCGAGTTTAAAAATCCGAATTGCACTTTTCCTCTTCAATTCAATTTTCTTCGTTCGTTTGAAATTCGTTGGTGTAGCTGCACGAAATATCAGCTGATTCGTAGTGAAGTGCATTTTACACGACACTGAGAAGCAGACGAAAGAACCTCCATCATATTTGGATTGAAAAATCTAACCTCAAAATAGTTATGTTCAAAACTTCTCAGCACAAACCGTGTAAGTAGCGCCCTCTATGGGAGTCAGATATAAAAACAAATTCATGCGGTGTGTGAGATTTCAAGAAACATCCATACAAAATTTCATTACAATGCTGCCAGTAGTTTCGGAATGATCGTGAAAAATGTGTAAAAAAATATTTTTTCAACACCTTGTATCATGAAAACGGATGCCGTTACGACATTTTTTCACTGAGCAAACTCAACTTATTTTGCAGTGTTCTACCTACCCTAGCAAGGAGGTTAGGTTTTTTTGAAACACCCTGTATATGGTGATCCAATTTCCTGGGTCACTTTAGTATTAGTTTGACATGCAATTTTCAGGAATTTGAATTCAGTTGTTTCTATGCATTCAGGGTTGTTTTTCTATGCTGTGATATATTGTCAGAGATGAAATATTCACAATTAACCATTTCTTTTCATACTTTGAAAAAAAGAAAATTGTTGTTTGTATTATATATTTTCAAAAAAAAAGCAAATCCAACAGTTGGTATTTGATTTTCCTCCCTAATTCTCAACTTCCATATTTTTTTCCTTTTCCTGTGATTCAGCAATTCCATCTTCATTATCCAACTTTCCCTTGTTTTCCTGATTGCTACTAGAAACATCATGTTTTGCTGGTTTGTTCAGCCTTTTTTCTTCCTCCTCCAAAGTTTTCTTGCTGAACATCCTCAATTTGAAGTTTTGAAGAAACCTCAATTCACCATTCCAGGTACGAAGCAAATTGAACTGGACTAGATCCAATAGATTTGGCATCTCTAAAATAAAACTGCTATAAGAATAAATTACAAGTGAAACAAAACTTTTTAATAAAAAGCTTTTATTTAAACGCTGTAAAAAGAAGAAAATAAAATTTTTCTTAATAATATTAACTATCAACTTATAACCTCATTATACACAATTTATATGATCATAATAGTTTGTCGCGCGATTCACTTGTGCCATATTGGATTTAGAATAACGTCACATTATTTTTCGAATTACTCTCAACGAGCCCTTTCATTTGATACCCATATTGTAGAAGTAGATTAAAAATGACCATTCCGCCATCTTGGATGGTCCGCCATATTCGATTTAGAATGACATCACATCATTTTTAGAGTTACTCTCAACGAGCCTTTTCATTTGATACCCATATTGTAAAAGCATATCAAAAATAGCTATTCCGCCATCTTGGATGGTCCGCCATATTGGATTTAGAATAACGTCACATTATTTTTCGAATTACTCTCAACGAGCCCTTTCATTTGATACCCTTATTGTAGAGGTAGATTAAAAATGACCATTCCGCCATCTTGGATGGTCCGCCATATTAGATTTAGAATGACATCACATCATTTTTCTAGTTACTCTCAACGAGCCTTTCAATTAGATACCCATATTGTAAAAGTGTATCAAAAATAGATATCCCGCCATCTTGGATAGTCCGCCATATTGGATTTAGAATAACTTGACACCCTACCTATTCCACATGTGTTGAATTCTTCCTTCTCACGTTTTATAGTCAAATTGATTATATCTTCTCTACTGGCATGCTGTCTATTTTTCCTGTGTCCAATTGAATGTTTGATGTTGATCTGTTCTAATTCCTCATCAAACCTTGACAAGTATTTGGCTATGAGTTTATCCACTTGCTGGGGAGAACATATTGCCCATTGTGGGTCAACTTGGTCTTTGAACCATAATAATTTTTCCCCAATAAGGTTCAGTTTGATATTGCTTGATAATTTGTGTTTTTGTCTTATCTGTTGTCTGAAATTTTTGAAAAATTATTTCTATCAGTCATCAAAAGATTAGGTGGTAGGAAGGTTCTTTTTACTTTTTTATTTGCTTGGTAAGAGCTCTAGTTTTTCTGCTGTTAGGGTGTTTACATTTTTCCAGTTGTTTGATTTTCGGCTGCAAAATGCAAATAAATTGAGATTGAGAAAATATGAACAATCCTGGTGGAAACATGTACATTCACTTGGAATTTCATACTGTTGGCAGTTTCACCGTTATATCCACCAAGAGAGTTCGAGATATGATATATCTGATTATCGAATTTACCATTCTGATCTGAATTCAAGGAGCAAATCAAATACAGCAAAAAAATAATTGATAACCAAACTTCTTGATGGTAGTCTTATACATAACCTAACTATTTTTCTTCTGTTTATTAGGTCCATTAGCCTTGTACTTTGATTTTCGAAGGACAAACAGCGTTGGGTTTTTCGTAGCGATCCTTCGTACTAAAATCTAGTACGCAATTGTAATAGATCATAGTAGATTTGACATGGGAATAATGAAAATGAATACCATTTCGGGTAGTTTTGAAACAATATAAACACTCAATAGCTACTTTAACGAAAAATGGAACGAAATGAATAACTCTGTCCATAATGAAAATGTGAATTGAAACAAAATATTGAATACTTCTGACAAAAATAAAAGGTGAAGTTTCATACAGTGAGCAAGTTAAGGTTGGACTATATTCATCAAAAGTTTCATATGGAAATTATGAAAAAAGCTCAGACACTTCGATTGTCTTTTTCAGATACGAATTCGTTGGTCTACTCATATTTTTGCTGACATTATCATGATAAATTACATTCTTATGACTGAAATCGAAGAACGTGCTAGATTATGGAGGTTTTATCTGTTGTTAAGTTGTCGTATTTGCGACATTTGCGTACTGAGCGAGGTGTAATAGTAATAGATTCAGTACAATTGTAATAGCATCCCCTACGCTCACGACAAACTTATGGGTGCCTTCCGTTAGGCCAGTTCAGGCCTGTTCGTTTGAATTGCTGAACTTGCTAAAGTTGATTTGTTTCCCATTGTTGTCTCTCTTCATGGCATAATGTGAACAGAGAAAGTCATAGAAAAAAATCAAGTTTAGCAGGTAGAGCAAGCACAAACGAACAGGCCTTTCGTTTGTATTGCTTATCTTGCTAAAGTTGATATTTTTTCCATAATAGTTGTCTGTTCATGGGATGATGTAAACGAAAGTCATAGAAAAAAATTATGTTCAGCAGGTAGAGCAAGGACAAACGAACAGGCCTGTTTTGAGCAATGTTACAGCTGTCACAGTGTCACATTCATTTGACAATTGACAAACTGACGTTGACAGATGGTTATATTTCGTTTTCGATGGTGGCATTACTGAGTGGCGGCAACTTTGGCAAATTATTTCATTCTTCGATCTTCGGTTTGTTGAACTTTAGGTTAAACTTTATGAGCAAAATAATCATTGGAATTCGAATAAATCGGGAATTTTCCAAGTAATATGAGGTGCACCATTCCAGAAATATCCTGGCACAATAGAGAACCGGTGCTCAGCGTTGATATCCATCCAGTTTCCAATGATTTTTATAGGTTAGCTTCTGGTGGAGGAGACAGTCATATTTTGGTGAGTGCTCCAAAACAAAAAGCACAAAGTACATTTCCACTGTGGCAAAATCTTTTCAGATATGGCAGATGACCGTTTGCGAAAATGGATCCGTGAAACAAGAAGTTATTGCTGATTTAACTAGACACCAAAAGGCTGTGAACACAGTTAGATGGTCCCCTTCTGGCCAATATTTGGCGTCTGCCGATGATGATGCGAACATCATAGTGTGGCAATTGAAAACTGACAATATACCTTTGCTAGAAGGAGAGTCTGAAGACAAAGAAATTTGGATTGTTTATAAGGTAAAACATTTTGCATAGGTGAATAAACTCTGTTCTTTGTGCTTGTTAATTTGTGTGTCCTTTTAGATATTGAGGGGCCATAAAGAAGATGTATATGATATGTGTTGGTCAGTTGATAATAAGAAATTGCTGTCTGGGTCTGTGGACAATACTGCTATTCTGTGGGATTTGGTGAAGGGTAAAATGGACCATATTTTGTCTGACCATAAGGGATTTGTTCAGGTATGTACTTGTGCTTTTTTTTAACATTATGTATCATATGGGAATTAAGAAGCAGTGTCATGCCTTTTATTTCTGAATTTGTTCTCAATGAATTCATTAACAGGACATATTTGTAAAGATCTCAGATATTGTGATCTGTAGCAAAGTGCTTGCCAAATAAGTATCATTTCTCATTTTTTTTTTCAAACAAAAAGCTTTAATTGATTGTGAAGTGCAAAGGTGTTGTTTTGTTTTTGTACATACCTATTGATATCTGCAATTTATAAAAAAACTCAACCTTAATGTCATAAATGCTTTTGTAAAAAAAACTGTCATTGTAGGTTCATTGTTCCAGTTTTTATTTTTTTTTGTAAAATATTTCACTATGGAAGGATATTAATTGGGTGGTTACAAAATAATGCAAAAAGATATAGATGTGTCATTTTCATTGCAAATTATGATGCCAACATTTCAGATTCCTGATTTGGTAGCTCAAAATTATGAAAACACCATCCTAGTGTGTTTTTTGTACCCAATGCATGAAATATTTGGGAGTTCTGTTACTCTTTTTTGTGAACTAAATATTATCATTTGTAGAAAAAATATTATTCCATTTCATTCATATGACCTGAAATATATGCCCTTGGTTATTAGTCAGTATTAAATATTTTTTTGAGATAATTTGTGTGTCATATAGGTTAGACCTGAAACATTGAGGATTTCTGGTCTTCTTTCAGTTTATTGGAAGTTGACATCAAAGCACACTCTGTATTATGTTAGGTTCACTGTAAGTTTAAAATAACAGTCCTAATCAGAACCTGAAATTTGAATTTCTTTTGAGTTGGACATTATTTTGGACAGTAGCATATTTATGTTTTCATTTTCTTGAAAAAGAGTCACCAAAAAGGGTTGGAAATAATTATACAGCATGTTTACTATGTTTATAAGCATGTGCCACTTTATCACAGTTATTGTTCCTGCAATTTCAACCAAAATGGCATTAAACTGATGTTAAATAACATCAACAATATGAATTTTTTTTTTGGGGATGGACATCATGTTGGGCAGCAGCACATGTTTTTATTGTGTTGAAAAAGGGTCACCAAAGAGGTTTGGAAATAATTATACAGCAGGTTCACTGTATTTAAAAGCATGTGCCACACTTTATCACAGTTATTGTTCCTGCAATTTCAACCAAAATGGCATTAAACTGATATTAGATATCATCAACAATATGCATTTTTTTTGGGGATGGACATCATGTTGGGCAGCAGCACATGTTTTTATTGTGCTGAAAATGGGTAACCAAAAAGGTTTGGAAATAATTATACAGCAGGTTCACTGTATTTAAAAGTATGTGCCACACTTTATCACAGTTATTGTTCCTGCAATTTCAACCAAAATGGCATTAAACTGATATTAGATATCATCAACAATATGCATTTTTTTTTGGGGGATGGACATCATGTTGGGCAGCAGCACATGTTTTTATTGTGCTGAAAATGGGTAACCAAAGAGGTTTGTAAATAATTATACAGCAGGTTCACTGTATTTAAAAGTATGTGCCACATTTCAACACAGTTATTGTTCCTGCAATTTCAACCAAAATGGCATTAAACTGATATTAGATATCATCAACATTATGCATTTTTTTTGGGGATGGACATCATGTTGGGCAGCAGCACATGTTTTTATTGTGCTGAAAATGGGTCACCATAGAGGTTTGGAAATAATTATACAGCAGGTTCACTGTATTTAAAATCATGTGCCACATTTCATCACAGTTATTGTTCCTGCAATTTCAACCAGAATGGCATTAAACTGATATTAAGATATCATCAACAATATGCATTTTTTTTGGGGATGGACATCATGTTGGGCAGCAGCACATGTTTTTATTGTGCTGAAAATGGGTAACCAAAGAGGTTTGGAAATAATTATACAGCAGGTTCACTGTATTTAAAAGTATGTGCCACACCTCATCACAGTTATTGTTCCTGCAATTTCAACCAAAATGGCATTAAACTGATATTAAGATATCATCAACAATATGCATTTTTTTTGGGGATGGACATCATGTTGGGCAGCAGCACATGTTTTTATTGTGCTGAAAATGGGTAACCAAAAAGGTTTGGAAATAATTATACAGCAGGTTCACTGTATTTAAAAGTATGTGCCACACTTTATCACAGTTATTGTTCCTGCAATTTCAACCAAAATGGCATTAAACTGATATTAGATATCATCAACAATATGCATTTTTTTTTGGGGGATGGACATCATGTTGGGCAGCAGCACATGTTTTTATTGTGCTGAAAATGGGTAACCAAAGAGGTTTGTAAATAATTATACAGCAGGTTCACTGTATTTAAAAGTATGTGCCACATTTCAACACAGTTATTGTTCCTGCAATTTCAACCAAAATGGCATTAAACTGATATTAGATATCATCAACATTATGCATTTTTTTTGGGGATGGACATCATGTTGGGCAGCAGCACATGTTTTTATTGTGCTGAAAATGGGTCACCATAGAGGTTTGGAAATAATTATACAGCAGGTTCACTGTATTTAAAATCATGTGCCACATTTCATCACAGTTATTGTTCCTGCAATTTCAACCAGAATGGCATTAAACTGATATTAAGATATCATCAACAATATGCATTTTTTTTGGGGATGGACATCATGTTGGGCAGCAGCACATGTTTTTATTGTGCTGAAAATGGGTAACCAAAGAGGTTTGGAAATAATTATACAGCAGGTTCACTGTATTTAAAAGTATGTGCCACACTTCATCACAGTTATTGTTCCTGCAATTTCAACCAAAATGGCATTAAACTGATATTAGATATCATCAACAATATGCATTTTTTTTGGGGGATGGACATCATGTTGGGCAGCAGCACATGTTTTTATTGTGCTGAAAATGGGTAACCAAAGAGGTTTGGAAATAATTATACAGCAGGTTCACTGTATTTAAAATCATGTGCCACATTTCATCACAGTTATTGTTCCTGCAATTTCAACCAGAATGGCATTAAACTGATATTAGATATCATCAACATTATGCATTTTTTTTGGGGATGGACATCATGTTGGGCAGCAGCACATGTTTTTATTGTGCTGAAAATGGGTCACCATAGAGGTTTGGAAATAATTATACAGCAGGTTCACTGTATTTAAAAGCATGTGCCACATTTCATCACAGTTATTGTTCCTGCAATTTCAACCAAAATGGCATTAAACTGATATTAGGATATCATCAACAATATGCATTTTTTTTGGGGATGGACATCATGTTGGGCAGCAGCACATGTTTTTATTGTGTTGAAAATGGGTAACCAAAGAGGTTTGTAAATAATTATACAGCAGGTTCACTGTATTTAAAAGTATGTGCCACACCTCATCACAGTTATTGTTCCTGCAATTTCAACCAAAATGGCATTAAACTGATATTAAGATATCATCAACAATATGCATTTTTTTTGGGGATGGACATCATGTTGGGCAGCAGCACATGTTTTTATTGTGCTGAAAATGGGTAACCAAAGAGGTTTGGAAATAATTATACAGCAGGTTCACTGTATTCAAAAGCATGTGCCACACTTTATCACAGTTATTGTTCCTGCAATTTCAACCAAAATGGCATTAAACTGATATTAGATATCATCAACAATATGCATTTTTCTTGGGGGGATGGACATCATGTTGGGCAGCAGCACATGTTTTTATTGTGTTGAAAAAGGGTCACCAAAGAGGTTTGGAAATAATTATACAGCAGGTTCACTGTATTCAAAAGCATGTGCCACATTTCATCACAGTTATTGTTCCTGCAATTTCAACCAAAATGGCATTAAACTGATATTAGATATCATCAACAATATGCATTTTTTTTTGGGGGATGGACATCATGTTGGGCAGCAGCACACGTTTTTATTGTGTTGAAAAAGAGTCACCAAAGAGGTTTGGAAATAATTATACAGCAGGTTCACTGTGTTTAAAAACTTGTGCCACATTTCATCACAGTTATTGTTCCTGCAATTTCAACCAAAATGGCATTAAACTGATATTAGGATATCATCAACAATATGAATTTTTTTTGAGATGGACATTATTTTGGACAGTAGCACATGGTTTTATTGTGTTAATCATTCTAGAGTTTTCATAAAATGCATTAAAAATAAATGTGCCAGGACTCCAGTTGGAATCAACAAGGTGCCTGCCAAAATTGCCGAATTTCTTAATTTGCCTGATTCCCATCTATATACTGGACATTGTTTCCGACGTTCCTCAGCTAGTTTGTTGGCGGACTCTGGTGCTAGTCTTACTATAATTAAAAGACATGGTGGATGGAAGTCCAGTACAGTAGCAGACGGTTATATAGAAGACTCGCTACAAGGGAAACAGAACATTGCAGATCGAATTTGGCGAAAACTTCGGCAGATAATATTGCTCTCTGCCCTGGTACAAGCTTCACGAAAATAAATTCTCTCACATCTACCAATGAGACTGGCCATGGAGTTTCGTATAATAATTGTAGATTCCCTAATTGTACTTTTAATTGAATAAACACTTGATTTTGAATTATGTTTACATATTTTTACTAGTGCTAGTGATTCATATAAGTATCTATGCTGATTGAAGAGGTACTCTTCTAGATTTGAGCTGAGCAAAATCGGTAATAACATCTTCAAAATCTATTTTTTCGAGCATATCACATTCTACCGACATTAATTGGGGAAGACCACTGATTTTTCAAAACGACATTATCGTGAACTCTATACTGAAAAACTACCAGTGAATTAATTTTGAATTTTTTCATTCATGCTAAGACGATGAAAAAAATAAATTAGTATATGTCCATTTCAAAACACACAATTCCTGCGCCATTTGAAATTTCATTAATTCATTGGTGTGACTGGTGCGACGTCTTATTCCCAACACGCCTATTGTCCTTGAACCGACCAATTACACTGCAACACTGCAGAATGCCGAGGTATCAGAGAGAAATAGCTACAGTTCGGGACTAATACGTCACGACTCCACCATCATATTTGGCTGTTTGAAATATCGAATGAAATATGCTGATTTCAAAACGATATAGATTCGATTCCCTTCAACTTCAACTCATAATATTGATTGTACATAGAATGTAAATCAGGATTCGTCGATTGAAAGAGGTTTGCAAGGATTTCTTCCCTCAGTGGTCTTCCCCATTTATTCAATCTCTCTTGAAGCATTGTACTTCTTAATTCACTTTCAATTCGTTTTAATTTGGAGAAGGAGCGTTCCCCACTGCAGTTCGTTACCATCATGCTTAGAAAGATTCTCAGTGGGATTATCGCGAAAGGCAATTGAAATGAAAAATTATATTGAAATTTATTTAACATGCTGCATTCGGTAAGCCTGATTTTCAGGCGGGAGTAGAGTAGCTATCAGTGGCGGCTCCTCAGAGGAGGCAACGGAGGCTGAGCCTCCTCAGAGATTCTCCTTAAACTGATATTATCTATACTTTCTCATTAAAAAGACACCAAAATACATGGATTTTGATTTTATTTCCTGTATTTAGGTTAATATTTTTGAATTGGCAACAGTGCTTGCCCACGCATCACACGTTGAAGTCTGCAAATCACGCGTAAAATATTCAACTTGGCAACATCTATAGGAGGCTAGACTCCTTCACATCGCGCAGCCCACGCGCGCAATGCAAATGCCCGAATACGCCCGAATAGCACGTGTTTGTCGTGTCGCGTCGCGAATTGCGGACAATCCAATGCGAGTGCATTGTTTATGTTTATGTTAGGTTAATGGTTAGGGGCTCTATAAATTTCTGAAAAATGAGTGTTTTAAACGATTGCGATTTAGTAGAATACTTTTTGGTGAACCCATTCAGTGCTCTGTCTTATGAAGATAAATTGATTGTGAAAAACAAACGTATGACACCGGAATTAAAAAATCTGATTGTAACAGGTAGCAAACAAAATCGTTCGTTCAATTCTGATAATTATAAAAAATATATCTGGTTGACGGGATCTGACGTAAGGAATAAGCTATTTTGTTGGTACTGCGTATTATTTTCAACCGATAAGTCATCATGTTGGGGGCGATTAGGATATAATGATTTGAAAAATTTGCCTCGCGGATTGGATATAGACGCTGCAAATCACAGGAACACATCTCTTCGAGTTATAAGTTCAGGTTAACTGGTAAACAGAATGTCATTAAGGCTATTGATTTGGGTGAGTCGTAGAGAGTTGTTTTTCACAATACATCACATATCATTCAGCCTCCTCTGTCATGAAAGTCACGAGCCGCCACTGGTAGCTATCGGGACTAGGGGGCCCCAATCCTCGAGGGGCCCTGGGGAAGAGGGGCCTGTACCTGCTACTTACTAATGTGATGACTATTCCTATACAAATGTATTTTTTATAAAGAAAAATAAAGTATTATTATAATTATTATAAGGAAAGGTGGTCGGAAATCGACAATCGCTCAGTCTAAATACGCCTTTTTTCCTGTATTGTCGTTTTTGAAATCCTAGGGTGTGGCCTGGGATCCGAAGGGCCAGTTTCTGGCTACCATCAGCACCGACAGAATCTGCAGACTTTTTGACGTGTCTGGAAAACACGTTAGAGCTAGAATACACAAAGGCAAGCTGCCGTTACCATCTGATCATTTCTTGTTCGAGAAGGTAATTCCATTTGCGTCTAATAGTTGATAATTTGTAATTTTTTTCTACCACTAGCTATAGAACCTAGTATTATTTACTCCTTTTCAGGACGTAAAGTATGTTTTCATACAACTGTAAAAAAAAACTGCACTTTTTTTATATAAACTACGCAACAGTAATTTCGCCGCACCCCAAAATTTTGCCTTTGTTGAAATATGAATAACTTTTTTCTGTTTTTAAACAAATTGAATTCGGATCACACTGTTCGCTAGCCAATCCTTCAGTTATAATCTCGTAATTCTTTAAAACATAAGGTTATCCACATAAAATCGCTACAGGGTGTTACCTGAAACTGTGCAAAATTTCGGAAATTTCAAAAGTATTCCAAATGAAGAACAACTTTTTTTTTAAACTTTGACAGTAGAGGCATGTAGATGATTTCATTATCTTGGGACAGTTCTCGAATTGTCTCCTTATTTCTTTCATTCAGAGAGTGATCTCAAAAAATTAACTTTCGGGTTTTGTAGTCATAACTTTTCTCCTCGTCAACCGATTTTTGAAATCTCAAGCTCATTTTGGAGCTCAAACTTCAGATGAAGAGATATGAAGATCAGAATTGACTCTAGATGAATATTATATAGTGTGTCTAACTTCTAATGGAAGCACCCCTGTATGTTTCGTAATTGTTGAGATTCTGAAATTTGCAAGAGCGGTTGATAAACTGAAAATACACACTATGAGTGATGGAGTCGTCTCCAGTGATATACACTGCTCGCCAACAGCCAAAATAAGCTGAAAATCACTTCGGATTCAAAATCAGGACGCCCCTCTCGCTTCCTCCTGCCCATTTCAGAACCTTAACTCAATAATTACGTGAGATACGGGGGTGCTTCCATGAGAAGTAAGACAAAATTTAATTTTTCTGAACTGAAAATTTTCGAGGAAAAATATGTATAGTTAGTGAATTCGACGTCCTGATTCCGAATCCGAAGTGATTTTCCTATCTTTTCTCCTAGAAGTGAGGCACACTGTATAATATTCATCTTGAGTCAATTCTGATCTTCAATTCTCTTAATCTGAAGTTTCAGCTCCACAATGAGATTTTAAAAACGGGTTGACAAGGAAAAAAGTTGTGACTGCCAAACCAGATAGTGAATTTTTTGAGATCACTCTGTAAATAAAAGAGTTGAGAAGACAATTTGAAAAATGTCCCTAGGTAATCTTCAAGCCTCTGCTGTCGAAGTTGAAGAAAAAAAGTTTTTGTTCATTTGGGATCCTTTTGAAAATTCCGAAATCTTTCACAGTTTCAGGTGACACTCTGTAGCGATTTTATATGAAGAACCTTATGTTTTAAAGAAGTACGAGATTATAGCTGAAGGACTGGGCTTAGCGAATAGTGTAATCCGAATTCAAATTATTCGAAGCAGAAAAAAGTTATTCATATTTTAACAGGGACATTATTTTGGGGTGCGACGAAATTAGAGTTGCGTAGTTTATTTTGTGTGCCTAAAGTGTACAATCTTTCAATGTCAAAATACTGAATCGTTATTTGACGGGAAAGTGTGAAAACAAGGTTATTTTTTTAAAGGTTTTAGCTTGGCGATTGAATGAATGCTTGCGTAAAAGGGGTCCACCATTATTTACTTCTTTTCAGGACGTAAAGTATGTTTTCCTACAACTGTCAAGAAACTGCACTTTTCTAATATATTTTGTGTGCCTAAAGTGTACAATCTTTCAATATCAAAATTCTGATTCATTATTTTACGGAAAAATGTGAAAAAAAAGTACACTGTTTTTCACGGTTCTTGCTGAATGCTTGCGTGAAAGGGGCCCATATATTGCGTTGTAAGTAGGCTGTTTTGTTCGGCGAACAAGTCTGTTCGAACGAAAATGATGCAAAACCGAAGTATTTGGCTGCAAAACGATCGTTTTCGCTAGCCACACACCACACACTTCGGTTTTACGTCATCTATTTCCAAACATATTTGTTCGAAGAACAAAACAGTCCACCAACTACGCAGTCTATCGGCTCCTTTACGGAATTCATCAAGGCAGCAAGCGATCAAATCAAGGCGGATGACTTCCATGTAAATCATGATTAAGTTGTCTCTTTATAAATATCTCCATTGTTTGAACACTAGATTTAAGCTAACCCTCAACTTTGGCTCTCCTTATTTCAATATTCTTTTATCATCAAGGAGGGCAAGAACACTAGATTTACGCTAACCCTCAACTTTGGCTCTCCTTATTTCAATATTCTTTTATCATCAAGGAGGGCAAGAACACTAGATTTACGCTAACCCTCAACTTTGGCTCTCCTTATTTCAATATTCTTTTATCATCAAGGAGGGCAAGAACACTAGATTTAAGCTAACCCTCAACTTTGGCTCCTCCTTATTTCAATATTCTTTTATCATCAAGGAGGGCAAGAACACTAGATTTAAGCTAACCCTCAACTTTGGCTCCTCCTTATTTCAATATTCTTTTATCATCAAGGAGGGCAAGAACACTAGATTTACGCTAACCCTCAACTATTGGCTCTCCTCATTTCAATATTCTTTTATCATCAAGGAGGGCAAGAACACTAGATTTACGCTAACCCTCAACTTTGGCTCTCCTTATTTCAATATTCTTTTATCATCAAGGAGGGCAAGAACACTAGATTTAAGCTAACCCTCAACTTTGGCTCCTCCTTATTTCAATATTCTTTTATCATCAAGGAGGGCAAGAACACTAGATTTACGCTAACCCTCAACTTTGGCTCTCCTTATTTCAATATTCTTTTATCATCAAGGAGGGCAAGAACACTAGATTTACGCTAACCCTCAACTATTGGCTCTCCTCATTTCAATATTCTTTTATCATCAAGGAGGGCAAGAACACTAGATTTACGCTAACCCTCAACTTTGGCTCTCCTTATTTCAATATTCTTTTATCATCAAGGAGGGCAAGAACACTAGATTTAAGCTAACCCTCAACTTTGGCTCCTCCTTATTTCAATATTCTTTTATCATCAAGGAGGGCAAGAACACTAGATTTACGCTAACCCTCAACTTTGGCTCTCCTTATTTCAATATTCTTTTATCATCAAGGAGGGCAAGAACACTAGATTTAAGCTAACCCTCAACTTTGGCCCCTCCTTATTTCAATATTCTTTTATCATCAAGGAGGGCAAGAACACTAGATTTACGCTAACCCTCAACTTTGGCTCTCCTTATTTCAATATTCTTTTATCATCAAGGAGGGCAAGAACACTAGATTTAAGCTAACCCTCAACTTTGGCTCCTCCTTATTTCAATATTCTTTTATCATCAAGGAGGGCAAGAACACTAGATTTACGCTAACCCTCAACTATTGGCTCTCCTCATTTCAATATTCTTTTATCATCATCAAGGAAAGCAAATACTTTCACGACGACACCTTCAAGAGTTTCTTCCGAAGATTGGAGTTTTCTCCAGACGGTTCACTGTTGGTGGTGCCTTCTGGACATATCCAGGCAGAGGACTGCAAGAAAATACTGAACGCTACATTAGTTTTTACATTGGACAATTTCAACGAGTAAGTTATCATCACCGTTTGTATCAGTAGTTTTTATGAAGGTGACAGTGGAATTTATTTTTAATGGTCCAGCATCGATGGAAATATGGTTTATTCGGAGTGTATTTACTTTTTCAGCTAGTTTGTTTTTGTCAAATTTACGAAAGCTCAACCAGGTGCTTGAAATTATCTCAATTTACATGAAAATACTGATATCAAAAGAAGAAGGGATGTTTTTACACTTACCCTTCCCCGCATGTGACGCCTCTGAATAATATTCTGAAATTTTGAATTCAGAGTATTATTTACCATCAAGTTTTTATGCCGCACACTAATTTTCGAGAATTTATTTTGAAGGATTTTGAAGTCATGCAAGGAATACGCTCCTGAAAGGATGCCGCTTACTTTTGAATCACCCTGTATAAGTGTTATTAGTCAGAGTAGTTATCTAAATGTAACTGTTGAAGAATGTGAATCAGATTGCAGAAGTGACACAGTTGTATTGGATACCTGATGATGTCAAAGTGTAGTCCAATAGATATTAACTAAATTCATTCCTGTTTCAAAAGTCAAAGTAACACATTACATAAATACCAGTTTATGTTTCAAGCATCATGCTTCTCTTATTTGTGTAAGTACTTGAGATGTTTAAACATAAAAAAAATTCATTATAAGCTAATTTATTAAAATCCTCTAGGGTTAGGATAACAAATGAAGTACTCAGTTCGGAATAGAGGTCACTAGTTTACTGAAAATGTGGTTGATAAGGGACGCTTTCGCAAATTGATTTTCAATGAACAGACCATAACTACTACTAACTAGGTTTTCATTTGTTAGAGAGCCACTATTCATGATAATGAAGCTCCTGGGCAGTTATGAGTGTTGACCTCATTCGACTTCAGACCATGGTAGTGATCAGATGACAATCACGTGGTCTGAAAGTCAGGTTAATGTTTGTAAAAGTCCAATTTGTTTTAAATCACCTGTTCTGAATGAAAATCCAATATTCAATGGGAGATTTATTAAGTGAGTGCTAAAATTATCAGACTCTTTTACCTCTACGCCGGTATAGAGGCCGGATGATAGCGGATTCATCGAATAAGGGGTCCATACCTAAGTCAAACGTGTTCCATTATCTCTACACCGGTAACCAGGCCTGATCAACAACGGTTTTATTGAATAAGAGGAGTACATATACGATCTGAACACTGATGACTCGGCTTCAGGTCATTGTTATAGACAATCGGTGTCCTATGTGGCTAGTACACATATATGTACTACTAGTAGATATATATGTTATTATTAAATAATTACCTGATCTGGAGAAATTGTTACCCTAAGGAGACAGAAATCCAATAAACCCAAAGAGAAGAAGAAGAAGAAGAAGTGTGTTGACCTGTTGATGACACAGGAGTATTATGTAAAGACATTGCTATATTTTCAAAATTATCTAACTTCAATTTATATACAGGGCATTGTTTTCGCCGCTCGTCGGCAACTTTATCAGTAAATGCTGGCACTGAAGAGCCATAGCGGTTGGCGATAAGCTACTGTAGCTGAGAGGTACTAAGATGATTCCTAAAAGAATAAGATAGATACTGCAAATGAAATATACTTACAGTTCTATGACACCCCAACCAGTTTTAGGACATCAACAACATATATGCAACAAACACAAAAAGAAACAATAGATGTAATAATAATTCAGTATACTGGTTTTTGAAAATGAGTACTTTAATTAAAATTTGTAGATGAAGTATAGTATAAACTTGCAGTAATGGTCATAATTCACGCAGATGAATAACACCACTCGCCTGCGGCCTCGTGCTGCAAACTTCATCTGATTGAGATATAAATAATATATACTATAAGTCACTCCGTACGATAATGATAATAATAAAGTTGCTTCATTCATCATCATAATTTCTACATACAAAATATATGAATTGAAAGTAAACAAAATTTTAACAAAAAGCTTTTATTTAAACGCTCTAAAAAGAGTAAAATAAAATGTTCCTTTATAATTTAAACTATCGACTTATAACTTCATTATACACAATTTATATGATCGTAAAAGCTTGTATCATGAAAACGGATGCCGTTACGACATTTTTTCACTGAGCAAACCCAACTTATTTTGCAGTGTTGTACCTACCCTAGCAAGGTGGTCATGTTTTTTTGAAATACCCTGTATGAAGCAATACATTCTCTATGTGATGAGAACAAAAATCAAAATTTTCCAGGCCAGCAATCGTCCTGCCTTTGCCTCAACAATCCAGCACCGTGGTCAGATTCTGTCCCATTCTCTTCGAACATCACTTGCAAGGGCAGGAGCCCTTCGTGCGGCTGCCCTACAGAATGATATTCGCCGTCGGCACCGATCATGACGTCATTCTTTACGACACTCAGCAATCGGTGCCCTTTGCCCGGTTCCACGAGATCCACTACACTAGATTGACGGACTTGACGTGGTCAGGTGGGTTTAGAGTTTTTTTTCTACAAGCGTGCGTGATTCACCCTGTACCCGCACGCAATTCAGTTTGGGAAGTGTAATTTTCCCGCAGTAGCCGTCTAGTGGCAAAGCTCTAAGGTAGGATACAGAGTGGTTTACTTGTAGTACCACTCTGTAGCATATAGACGTAGGGGTCTGGACGTGTGACTATAGATGGCAGCGCCATACAGTGTGTGTCGCGATTTCTGTATCCTACCTTAGAGCTGTGCCACTAGATGGCTACAACATGACTATAACTTCATGTTATACCCTGCGTATAATAAAGTCGATTGATTGGTTGATTGAGAATGAAGAAATATTGAAAAATAATAATTGATTGTTATATAAATCCCCCAATAGCCTTTAATTTATCTGATGTGGTAGTTCTAATTTTGATTATTATTCTTGATGGTAGGATCAACTTCTTGAATAGCTTTATTATGAAGTATTTTAGAAAGAATGCTGTCTCTCAAATTAACGTTGTATCCGTTGTTGAACTTCAACCTATTTCGGATCATCAACTGAGAAATTAGCTTCATTTCTACATAAACAGGACTTGATAGTGGCATATTGAAAAAATAACACGTTGGGACGATTTATCAAGAATAATAAAGACAAAACTTCTAAATTCGAAAAATCAGGGCTATACAAACTCAACTGTGGATCTTGTCCTAAGGTATATATCGGTCAGACAGGTCGTACGTTTAATCAGCGCAATCATGAACTGAAGATGAATTTTATGAAAAAGAAAACAAATTCAACATACGCCAACCGTGTATTAGAAGAAAACCATAGTTTTGATGATGTTTTCGAAATTCTACACGTAGAAAATAAAGGACTGAAACTCGAATCATTTTGAATCATTATAAATCAACAAACTCAAAAATTTTGACATTTTACTTAATGATCAATTAGACCTCAATAGTTCACAACTGTTGAATTTGTTTTCTTAGTAAGTAATAATATGTCTTTGCTATCAACTCTTTCAAGTTAATCCGGTATACTGTTAATGTAGATATTGTGCCTAATTTCCGAATATGAAGGTTAATCGTACCTGTCCACAGGTAACTAATCCTCCAGGTTGGGAAAGTAGGATATATAAAAGTCAAGCAAGCCAACGTTAGTTTAGTTCATTGTATTAGTATACCACCTGACGAAGCTACTGTGTCAGCGAAACATGCCGTGTGTTTGAGAATTTTGTGTAAATCTTATCGTTTGTGAAGTTTTTACCTGAAAAGATGTCACCCATGGCCTCGCTCAGTTGCAGAAATAATTGAGAGCTGCTCGTTCACAAATTGTCACCCTGTATACATAACATACTAATCGGTATAACAGGTGACGGATCGATGTTGGTCGCTTCATCCACTGACGGGTTTTGCGCTCTCATAACCTTCGAGAAAGACGAGCTGGGAATCCCCTATTCCAAAGAAGAGGAGTTGGAGGAAGAAGTAGAAAATGCCGTGGAAACGGTCGTTAAAGACGAGAACGTCGACGTCAACAATAAAGGTAAAGAAAGTCGAAAATCCTGATCTAAATCGCCCGGTATCTTGGACAAGAGTTGTTAGGAAAAAATGAATACTAGCTTAAAAACTAAAGAAACAAGCTCTCATAGATAGCCAAACTGAAAAGAAAATAAAATAATAAAGGTTTGTTGATAAATACACTACATAGAAAATATTAGCACCTTGGTAACTACTGGTGAGGTTAAGTAACCAGTATATTCATTCTATGTGCTGTGTTTATCATGATAATTTCATGACTATATAGGTCGCGTGCACGATGACCGACCCTGGAGGCAAACTATTGAAACACAACCTCACTCTTCTGTGAATTATTGAAACACAACCTCACTTTTTAGATTTGTTTACAGAGGAATCAAAGGATTGAAATAGTTTTTCACAATATTTTGGCATACGAATCGTGTTTTTTGTGCTATTCATTAATTTAACGTAGTTTTGACAGGTGACAAAGAGAAAGAAAAAACGCGGTCCAGTTTCTTGAAGCAGTGGGCTCAAAAGCAAACGACAGCGAAGAAAAGCGAGCCCTCGGGTGCCAAAAACACGCTCGCTGTTGCTGGTGACGTCATCATGATAACCGACGACGAGGAGGAAGAGGAGGAAAAGCGGGAGGAGCTGCGAGGGGCTGTCAAAGAGATCAACAGGTTGATGCCGAGAAGGATACAACCGACGAGAGTGGAAGAGGGCAGCGAAGCGAAGCCCCTCAAGGTGGGTAGTATGTTTTTTACGGGTGACTATTCCACTCTTGATCTCGAGAACCAATCAGAATCGACCATTTTCACGGTTTCTTCTGTATTTTAGCGATATTTTTTGATTATTAAATTTTATCGGACTTGCTCTACGAATACAGAAGCCGAATTGACCCACACGTGACCAACTAACCTCGTTTATCAACGATAAAATTTTGACATCGTGTCTGGTCTATATTGCTTTGAATTCAAATCAGAGACAATAACAAACAATAACCTACCTACTTTATTTCATAACTTTAAAATTCGCGTTAGTGAGACATTTTGTGTGAAAGGCGAGACAATTTTATTCTGGCTGGACGTTTCATGTGAAAAAATACAACAGGTATACCTATATCTATTTTTTATACTATTTTGATATATGATGAATCAAGAAAAACGGTTCGGGGATCATTCTTTGAAAGAGATTAGAGAAACTATCACCATTCTAACATCACAGAATACAATCAAAACACGCACATCAATATGGAACCAGTTTATGGACTTTTGTAAGTTGTCGGGAACGATTATTGAGTTCTTGTGAGTACAGGATCCCAAATGATGAGATATCTGCCATAGTTTACATTGCTTCTGGAATATCCTGAAAAAAATCGGATTAGTTTTATACTTCTCTGATTGCGCAATATATCATTCATTATAATTCACATCTATGAAAGAAAACATGGGACTATCCTTCAGAGCATTGCTTCATTGAAACAACGACTGTTGATGTCTGGAAGTGCACAGACAATTTGGAAAAGAACTGGTATAAAACCACTGTTTATACCTAACTCTTAGAGGCGACACCCTCCTTTGTAGAGAGGCATTACGAACGCCAAAGTTGATACACTCCCCTCGTAAGGGTACCGGACGTGATTCCATACACTCACAATGTCGAATAATTTTTCGACTTTTTGATTGAATGATTGATAAAAGTCGTTTTTTATGAAGAAATGCTCGAAGAAGAATAAAATTACGATCTGTATTTGAATGTAATGTTCATTGAGACTTATCTTGGACATCTCCATATTCCATCAATCTGTTTGACAGATGTTAAGCTCCTAAGTGAATCGTCGTCAACGATTATTGAGTTCTTGCGAGTACAGGATCCCAAATGATGAGATATCTACCATATTTTACGTTGCTTCTGGAAAATCCTGGAAAAAAATCGGATTAGTATCATTTTGAATTCAATGTTCATGAAAACTTATCTTGGACATCTCCATATTCCATTAATCTCTCTGATAGATGTTGAGCTCCTAAGTGAATTGTCGTGCACGATTATTGAGTTCTTGCGAGTACATGATCCCAAATGATGAGATATCTACCATAGTTCACATTGCTTCTAGAATATCCTGAAAATAATAATCGGATTAGTACTATTTTGAATTTAATGTTCATGAAAACTTATCTTGGACATCTCCATATTCCATTAATCTGTCTGACAGATGTTGAGTTCCTTAATGAAATGTCGTGAACGATTATTGAGTTCTTGCGAGTACAGGATCCCAAATGATGAGATATCTGCCATAGTTTACATTGCTTCTGGAATAACCTGAAAAAAAAAAAAAATCGGATTATACTTCTCTGATTGCGCGATATTTTATTCATTATAATTCACATCTATGAAAGAAAACATGGGTGTATCCTTCAGAGCACTGCTTCATTGAAACAACGACTGTTGATTTCTGGAAGTGCACAGATAATTTGGAAAAGAACTGGTATAAAACCACTGTTTATACCTAACTCTTGAAGGCGACACCCTCCTTTGTAGAGAGGCATTACGAACGCCAAAGTTGATACACTCCCCTCGTAAGGGTACCGGACGTGATTCCATACACTCACAATGTCGAATAATTTTTCGACTTTTTGATTGAATGATTGATAAAAGTCGTTTTTTATGAAGAAATGCTCGAAGAAGAATAAAATTACGATCTGTATTTGAATGTAATGTTCATTGAGACTTATCTTGGACATCTCCATATTCCATCAATCTGTTTGACAGATGTTAAGCTCCTAAGTGAATCGTCCTCAACGATTATTGAGTTCTTGCGAGTACAGGATCCCAAATGATGAGATATCTACCATAGTTTACATTGCTTCTGGAAAATCTTGAAAAAAAATCGGATTAGTATCATTTTGAATTCAATGTTCATGAAAACTTATCTTGGACATCTCCATATTCAATTAATCTGTCTGAAAGATGTTGAGCTCCTAAGTGAATTGTCGTGCACGATTATTGAGTTCTTGCGAGTACATGATCTCAAATGATGAGATATCTACCATAGTTCACATTGCTTCTAGAATATCCTGAAAATAATAATCGGATTAGTACTATTTTGAATTTAATGTTCATGAAAACTTATCTTGGACATCTCCATATTCCATTAATCTGTCTGACAGATGTTGAGTTCCTTAATGAAATGTCGTGAACGATTATTGAGTTCTTGCGAGTACAGGATCCCAAATGATGAGATATCTGCCATAGTTTACATTGCTTCTGGAATAACCTGAAAAAAAAAAAAAATCGGATTATACTTCTCTGATTGCGCGATATTTTATTCATTATGATTCACATCTATGAAAGAAAACATGGGTGTATCCTTCAGAGCACTGCTTCATTGAAACAACGACTGTTGATTTCTGAACGTGCACAGATAATTTGGAAAAGAACTGGTATAAAACCACTGTTTATACCTAACTCTTAGAGGCGACACCCTCCTTTGTAGAGAGGCATTACGAACGCCAAAGTTGATACACTCCCCTCGTAAGGGTACCGGACGTGATTCCATACACTCACAATGTCGAATAATTTTTCGACTTTTTGATTGAATGATTGATAAAAGTCGTTTTTTATGAAGAAATGCTCGAAGAAGAATAAATCTACGATCTTTATTTGAATTTAATGTCCATGAAAACTTATCTTGGACATCTCCATATTATTCCATCAATCTGTTTGACAGATGTTAAGCTCCTAAGTGAATCGTCGTCAACGATTATTGAGTTCTTGCGAGTACAGGATCCCAAATGATGAGATATCTGCCATAGTTTACATTGCTTCTGGAATGTCTTGAAAAAAATAATCGGATTAGTATTATTTTGAATTTAATGTTCATGAAAACTTATCTTGGACATCTCCATATTCCATTAATCTGTCTGACAGATGTTGAGCTCCTTAATGAAATGTCGTGAACGATTATTGAGTTCTTGCAAGTACAGGATCAAAAATGATGAGATATCTGCCATAGTTTACATTGCTTCTGGAATATCCTGAAAAAAAATCGGATTATGCTTCTCTGATTGCGCGATATATTATCCATTATAATTCACATCTATGAAAGGAAACATGGGTGTATCCGTCAGAGCACTGCTTCATTGAAACAACGACTGTTTTCTGAACGTACACAGATAATTTGGAAAAGAACTGGTATAAAACCACTGTTTATACCTAACTCTTAGAGGCGACACCCTCCTTTGTAGAGAGGCATTACGAACGCCAAAGTTGATACACTCCCCTCGTAAGGGTACCGGACGTGATTCCATACACTCACAATGTCGAATAATTTTTCGACTTTTTGATTGAATGATTGATAAAAGTCGTTTTTTATGAAGAAATGCTCGAAGAAGAATAAATCTACGATCTTTATTTGAATTTAATGTCCATAAAAACTTATCTTGGACATCTCCATATTATTCCATCAATCTGTTTGACAGATGTTAAGCTCCTAAGTGCATCGTCGTCAACGATTATTGAGTTCTTGCGAGTACAGGATCCCAAATGATGAGATATCTGCCATAGTTTACATTGCTTCTGGAATATCCTGAAAAAAATCGGATTAGTATCATTTTGAATTCAATGTTCATGAAAACTTATCTTGGACATCTCCATATTCCATTATTCTGTCTGACAGATGTTGAGCTCCTAAGTGAATTGTCGTGAACGATTATTGAGTTCTTGCGAGTACAGGATCCCAAATGATGAGATATCTGCCATAGTTTACATTGCTTCTGGAATATCCTGAAAAAAAATCGGATTATGCTTCTCTGATTGCGCGATATATTATTCATTATAATTCACATCTATGAAAGAAAACTCGGGTGTATCCTTCAGAGCACTGCTTCATTGAAACAACGACTGTTTTCTGAACGTACACAGATAATTTGGAAAAGAACTGGTATAAAACCACTGTTTATACCTAACTCTTGAAGGCGACACCCTCCTTTGTAGAGAGGCATTACGAACGCCAAAGTTGATACACTCCCCTCGTAAGGGTACCGGACGTGATTCCATACACTCACAATGTCGACTGATTTTTCGACTCTGAATGAATGATGAAAGTCGTTTTTTATGAAGAAATGCTCGAAGAAGAATGAAATAAAGATCTGTATTTGAATTTAATGTTCATCAAAACTTATCTTGGACATCTCCATATTCCATCAATCTGTCTGACAGATGTTGAGCTCCTAATTGTATCCGTCGTCAACTATTATTGAGTTCTTGCGAGTGCAGGATCCCAAATAATGAGATATCTGCCATAGTTTTCATTGCTTCTGGAATATCCTGAAAAAAATAATCGGATTAGTATTATTTTCAATTCAATGTTCATGAAAACTTATCTTGGACATCTCCATATTCCATCAATCTGTCTGACAGATGTTGAGCTCCTTGATGAATTGTCGTGAACGATTATCGAGTTCTTGCGAGTACAGGATCCCAAATGATGAGATATCTGCCATAGTTTACATTGCTTCTGGAATATCCTGAAAAAAAAATCGGATTAGTATTCTTTTGAATTTAATGTTCATGAAAACTTATCTTGGACATCTCCATTTTCCATTAATCTGTTTGACAGCTGTTGAACTCCTTAATGAAATGTCGTGAACGATTATTGAGTTCTTGTGAGTACAGGATCCCAAATGATTGAGATATCTGCCATAGTTTACATTGCTTCTGGAATATCCTGAAAAAAAAAATCGGAT